CTGTATAAAAGTAAACATTGATCAACATGGCAAATCTGTTACCAAAATGTCTTCAGCAGAACTTGAGAAAAGTGTTTGTATTATTATTTTTTTTTTATTTTCATACCTGTCAAAAGAAGTAGACTTCCAAACAAAGTCCACCACAAAGTTATGAGTGCATTCAGTAGGAACCCCTGCATTGCTCTTCAATTCAATGGCAACTTCATCACTATGGTCTAGTACAGGTCAGGAAACTAATGCAACATATCTTTACTTTTATGGGTACATTACTGATATCAAAAGTAACTTGTAACTTTATTAAATTCCAGCCTAACAAATACCATACAGTTTTAAGTAAGGATACTGTCAGGAATCTTGATGACATGGCCCACACCTGACCAGGGTTTGTGTAACTCTCCCTGGTATCGAAGCCTCAACTCATCACCATGCATCAATTTCATTTCTGTAATAATGATAAATGAAGTCATAATAATTAAACGAGACATACTTATCTCTGATATATTTACTTAACTTATAAAGGAATTCATTCTTATCAGTATCCTTATGTAACTGTTCTCGTGTTTACTTTTTTCAACATTCAAAGCAGAATGGTTTACTTTCAAGAAGAATTAAATTACATAATTTATCAACATGGGACAAGCTCTTTTCTTTACCATCGTTTGCCTTTGGCAGATGGAAGTAAGCAATCCTCTTCTTGTTTAGACCAACATCCCAGCGTACTACAATGTTATCCTGAGTCTGCGATTCCTTCAGCTTCTTGTCATAGTCAGCCTCCAACTTCACCAGTGGTCCAAAGATGTTCTGGTACTGGTACGCATCATCATATCTGAAAAATTAAAATCACATTTCAGTTGATCTTAATAATTAGTACATGTACATGTAGCCAGACTCTTTTGTAAAATGTTTATAAGGAATAATCACATTTGAAAATGTTTTCCCTTATTTGACACTATTTGAATGAAGTGCATATATCTCTGTATAAAGACAGTCTTGTCACATGACCACAAATTTATTGCAGTGTCACAAATGGTCGACACAATTTCTCAGTGACATCATAAAGTTTTGACTGCTTTCAATGCCTTGAATTTTTACCACTGACGTTAAAAAAATCATTTTGTGGGTTTAAAAATATAATACCCAAATATTTCTTATATATATAACTCAGTCACTAATGTACATGTAAATATGACCGATAAGGTATCATTTTTAAACATTTATTGGGTTAGTGGGTAATCAAATCAATTTTCCAATGCTATGGGCATTTATCGGGACTAATACAATATATCATTAGTGTGTGTATCACTATAAACCAAAGACCCCTGAAAATTTATTTCTTATATCTAAATTTCAAGTCATCAAGAATATTTCTCATGCAAATGGTCTCAAAAGCTACAAACTAGGCAAGGGAATTAATAAATTCTAGCATAATGATTATATTACATTGCCTTCAATCACATAGCATATAAATAAGCTCATACACACATTAAGAGCTGAGAAATTCCAATACTTTATCAGGATATGATAATTTATTGCAATGTTTGATCTTGATCCCACAAGTTCCATCCTGTTAGTACATAGAGATTTAAGGAAAAAGGACAGTACTTCCGATTTCCCGAGAATTATTGATCATGCCTAGTCATAAAACATCCTAGATGAATACTTGTATACATACACTGTATGTAATCAATGTGTGAACTGCAGTGGAATGGATTGTGCAGTCTAAAGTTCAAAATAATATTCTTATACAATATATACCCATTTCAACAATACTAAGACCGAGTATAGGTCTAAATTTGCAGCCCTCTACTGGCAAGTGGTGGCATCTCCATATGAGTGAAAAATTCTCAAAAGGTACGTTAAACAACAAACAATACTATTAAAAAGACAAAAGTGTTCCTTCGCAGCACTAATACATTTAGTACTGTTCTTGTCAGAATCTCTTGGCATACTTACTTGTCTTTATATAACCAGAATTTGAAATTATTTTTATTTTCAGACCACCCAATGGACATCCCCAAAGAAAAACCAAACGACCAAAAAACCAGAACATAAAATAACTGCCTTGACCTTATATAACTTTTTTCACTTAAGTCAGAAACAAATTCATATACAAATCTTTAACACACTTTTCCATACGACCTTGAAGTAAGGTCAAAAATATTATTCCATTAGCTTCTACATCTTTTTAATTATAAAGCAGCCATTAGGTTACCAATAAATTCCCATAATTTATGTCACATTTTCTGATAAAGATTTCTTTTTTTTTGCACAGTATGTTAAACTTTATAAGTTCTGTCAACAAACAGGTGTCAGGTATTTAAGATACACAGTGACAAGAAAGTGTGTAAGCCATCTTCTATAGAGCAAGACCCCTCCATTTTAAAACTAAAACTATATACAAATGTATTTTTCAATTCAAATATACTAATATATTCAAATATATGTAATACAACCTTTATGAGTTCATAGAACCATTGCATTACAGTTATTGCAAAAATCCAGACTCTACACTTCTGATCTTAATATCCTAAAATACTTTATCAAGATTATGTTAAGAGATGATGATAATTATTGACAAACCCCCTTGTTATCAAGTACAGCATAAATTTATATAATTTAATTTGTGATTAAAGTGTTCCAGTTTAACTTGATAATAATGACTGAATAAAAGAATTAAAATTTCCACAACATATAAATTTTCTTTGTTCTTACCTTAGCAACACCTGGGTAGGTTCTTCATCCACCCCTGGTTTTTCTAGATCCTCCAGTGTAGCTTCAGGGTTGTCCTTCCATAGTTCCTCTAGCTTATTGATCTGCTGAGCTGAGATCTGACGGCTCCTCATCTGCTCCTGGTCAGATGGCACCTTGACCAGCCAAGATAGAAACTGTCTGTCCTGGATCAATGGCTGCCACTGACTTGGGTCCCTAGATAAGAGAAAGGAATTTTAATTATTTCTTGAATTCATCATGTTCGTAAATATTTAGTAAAATAGTGCAAGATTCAAGATGCTGAAAAAGATTATGTGCCCTTTTGAAGTTTTTACAAAATCACTGATCAAAATCATTCACACTAATAAGTGCACATGTATAATAAATGAAGCTACAATTTTTGTGTGAAAAAAGCTTTCAAATACATCCACTCAAAATGAGTGTAATTAAAATCTATGTAAAACTGCTCACCAATTCATATCCTTCAGGTTGGTAAGGGTGGCACATGGCTGACGACACAACAGTACAACCACGGAGTCGGCCTTGGCAGGGATAAAGCCCAGCAGGAAAACATTCCGACAGCCACAGTTGTAACACTCCAGCACGGTCTCTCCCAGGGGGCCATCTTTGTGCAGTGTCACTTCCTTAGCCTTGGCTCTCACAAGATGATTGATGATGTGACTGCAAGAAAAGAAGACAAAAATAAACCAAAGTCTAAATCACAATATAATTTAAAGGAGACATAGTACATGTAGTAATATTTACTCCTGGAAAAATGCTAACAAGATTTCATTGACCTAGTACGTAGATTTGTATTTTATTTTCCTTTTAAAACAGTTTAAAGACTGACAAAAAAACAAATCAAATGATATTTCTACCTTCCAGAAGTATTCCCTCTGCCATTGCAGAACCACTTCTTTGTGCTGTTACAGAACACCACAGATGCAGGGTCATGAATTCCACAGTAACTGCATCAAAAAATAATGAGTGTGTTACAAATTTGAACTGTACAAATGCTAAAATCCAAATTCTGTTTTTATATACATCATGTTAACATATATGCATATTTCTTTTATTATAAGCAACTTAAAACAGTCAAAACCAAACATTTGTAGTACCTTAATTCAGGGCTGTCCCTAACAATTAAAAAAAAAGCAGGGGATGTTAAGAAAGTAGTAAAGGATCAAGGGTTCCTCCCCTAAAAGGGAGTTGAGGGGAAAATTCAGAATGACCAGGGTAGTTAATCATTATAGGTGGGGAAATCCCCAGTCCCCGGGTCTTATGGACAACCCTGATAGTTCCATCATTAGTTTCAATTCAAAGCAATTTCATGATAATTTTGTGATGTTCTAAAATTAATTTCATTTTGTCATATAAATATATTTCATAAAAGAACAGAATTTTTACAAATCTTACGAGCATGCATGCTTGGGCAGATCTTTCATCATAAACTGTTCTTCCTCCTCTTCCTCAAAATTGAGTTCCCCCACCCCCTGGGTGATTGATGTAACTCCTTTATCCAGGCCATTTTGCACTGGAGTCTCTGGACCATTGACCTGCAAAGTACACATTACGCATAATCCACTTTTTAAAAACCATTAGTATTCTCTTGTTTCATTTTTGTTTGACTACAGATTCATAACTGGCAAAGATGAAAGTTATACAATTACTAGGCCTACCAGTGATTTTGAACCTAAAAATAGTTTTTCCAAAATCCTTCCCTTTCCAAGGAACAAAGTTTTACAATCAAAAGTAAATTACATTAACATTTAATTTAATCTCTAAATCAAAACAAAAATGAAATAAATATTTAGAAGAAGCATCGATATGTGCACAGATGCATGTGGCCACATGTCACATGGCGACTCCATTACGCCATTACCATCTGGAAAAACTTCCTCAGAATCCACGTACCTGGCTTTGACTTTGTCCATGTTCTAGTTGTGAAGCTTGGGTCTGTGACTGAGTCTGGGATGGTAGAGTGAAATCCGTGTAGTCATAGTCAGTTCCTTGAGTGTCGGCCCCAATGAGGTCCTCTTCAGTTTCGAGGAAAGTCAAGGATTGGGTATTTGGGACATACGCGTCCACACTCATAGTGACATAGCGATTCCTTGACACTAGTACCAAATAAACCTAATCCTAGTGTTTTCAAATAATTTCCGACGCAACGGTCGAATTGAAAATGTTTACAACTGAAAGTAGAATTTCTTCGTACACCGTTCACGCCATTTCGTTCTTCGTTGCCTACGTCACACAGAACACAATATCCTCTGACGCATGTGTACTCAGTACACAACATTTTAACACGTTTTTCTCATCAGTGACTTGAGAAGTGATCACTGGTAGACTAACAGGGTTAATTTTCCTCTTGTTGTGGAATGTAAGAGAATAATACGTTAAAAAAAAGTATTGCAGATATTTAGGTGAAGATGTTCAGCATATAATTTTGTCATGGACTTTTTTATGAACACAGTTTTCATAATCATGATATTCAGTATTTATCAAAGCTGACCTATTGTTGGAATATGTTTGCACAATGACCATGGGGAAAAAATAGAGTTTAGATTTTATAAAAGTAAAAAGAAATATTGAAACGCTAGCTTTTTCAGATTAGTCTATTTAGAGATGAAAACATAAAGAAATGAATGGCTAAATTTAATTTTTATCATATTCTTTCAGGGGATTCTGTACATCATTGAGAGAGCAACCATATGATGTTAAAGATCTTGTTTGCGTACTGACCTAACCATAGCTTTGAACTGTTGATAATGAATAGGAGAGTTCACTATCCTGGACCTCCAGGGAATCCTAATTCATTTTTTCCACAATTTAATCCAGCATTTCGCTTCTCACGGGTTGTTCAGCAGCAGTACACCTTTGTTCCTGCCCAGCATCGTTTTCGGCATCCACCTTTTCTCAACTTTGACAACGGATGGCAGAATCTTCAAATTGATGTTTCTAATCCACCTGTTGATTATAGAGAAACAATCAGACAAGATATTCTATCACAACTCCACAAACATCCCAGCACTAGTCATCAAAACCGCAAGTAAGATAGTGATATATTTTAACCTATGAAAAATTTTCATGTATACAATTAGATCAGTTAGATTTATTGTGATATACAGTGTCACAAAGCATGTGAATAAAATATGATAATAAATATTTTTAGATGTTACATACATGTGGATTAAATTTGATAAAAAAAAAAATAAATAACATAAGTGTGATGTGATTTTACAGCTGTCATTTGAAGTGGTAGGATTGCATCTGATCATGATTTGTCTGTTGCCATTGAGAGTCCTATGGTAATGTGTAATAGTCTGTGTTAAAAAAATGAAATCCTGCTGAGGCTATATATAGCAGTTTGGAAAATTTTTTGTTTTTTCTTATTTTTGACTTTTTGATTTTCTTTATATCCTTCATTTTTAAATGTCATGATGCAGAATTTTACAACTCCATTTTGAGATTTTTTTGTCAATTATCCCTGTTTTAATTTTATTTCTTATAATTATGTATTGCAGCATTATTGTTTTATTTTTTTTTATTTATAACTTAATTTCTAGGAGACCTGCAGAATCTGTTCCAAGTTCTTCTAACAGCAAGAAATCCAGGAGTGATCTCCCAGTTGAATCCTGTTCTGTAATTAAAGATGTGCCTGTCCCTCCACCAGGATACAGTCCCATACACAATGTAAGTAAAAAAACAGAGACAAATGTCTAATAAGCATAGATACACAATGTAAAAAACAAGCTTTGACAAATTATGATTGTTTATTCTGTAAACTATTTTAATTTTATCTTCAAATAATTTTTTAAGTACTTGCAATTCTTGCAAAAAGTTCAGTATAAACCTCTTCTGCATTTGCACAGTTTTAAATTAAGCATAAATGAACATAAAATGGATACAGCTTGTTCCCATTTATAATTTCTCCTACTACTGTATGTGAGAGTGTAACAAAGTTGTAAAAATTTCAACTGCCTTGTGATATATTCCAGATTACTGAGGCAATCATCCGATACTTCTTAGAGAATCACCAGACAGACAAAGCATACAAGCAGAAACTTCAACTTAGAGATGTACTCTTCAAAATATTTCAAGCTTCTATGCCAAGTAAGTTTCCATGGAGATGTACATTGAATTAAATGATAGGTAATGTGGCAAGTGATAATAAAAGTGAGTTACTTCATGTACAAGTAATTATACTATTGACATTTCCAAGAAATGTATACATTTTTGATGCATCATTTGATGTACATTTTAATTTCATTATATTTTAAATTTGCATCTTAATATAATTTGCTGTTTATCAAATTGATGCATCCTATCTGTAAGAGTTGATTATTTTATTTAGACTGTGGATTGTACATAGTTGGGTCCTCTATGAGTGGCTTTGGGACCATGAAGAGTGATATGGACATGTGTCTGATGATCACAGAAGATGGAGTTAGTATAGGGATTGCTCAATAAAAACAACTTTATTCCCATTAATATACATGTTCTGTTTGGGTAGACTTGTTAATAGAACAAATCTTGCACAGAGAAGTGTACTCATTAAAACCTCTGAATGAAAATTAATGTAATAAAAGTACTCTTTACCAATAAAAGCATGCAATTTTTCTCATCAATGTAGTCTTAGATTTCATAGATTTATTGACTTCTGAAAATAAGATTTGTGAAGAGCTTGCCCACACCCCCACAGTCAGAGATATACCATTGGTATAGCCTTCCTGTACCTGTTTTTGTATTATCAAAGTACAAGAGTTTCATTACAGATTGACCAGAAAAGAGAAGCTCCAGAAATTCTCTATCTTATCCAGAAAGCCCTATATAAATGCAGTAAGTGAAGAATGTTCCATAAAGTAACTTTTCATACATGTGTCTAAGTTTTAAAATAAGGTCATCACACTGGTTCGGCATTAATTTTAAACTAACATACAGATGCAATATACATCCATCTGGCATTAGAAATTGAATCTTGAAAGGATAAAGAATAGAAGCCTAACAATTATTCAAGATTCGAGTTTTCATACAAAAAAGAGAATACAGCCATTAAGGGTGTTACATCTATTTTCATGAAATAGAAAGGGCTACAACACACATACAAGGAAGTGCTAGGAACTGAAAATTTTACTTCATTATAAACAAAATTTGCTATATCCATTAAATTCACTTAATATTTTAAAGCCAAGGAGAATGAAAATCACTACAATGTAAGCGTCAATTCATTATAAGCTTGTTAGCTATAAACAGTGTTCTACTGAATCATGATGTCAACTGACGCTAAGAAATTTACTCATTGCTTTTATTTCCACTACAGGTTTTGTGAGGGAATCCACAGTTATCAGAGCTAAAGTCCCAATTCTACGCTTTAATGATCTCGTAAGGTAATTATATTTCCAGTAATTCTACTCTTCAGTGATCTTGTAAGGTAATTGTATTTCTAGTAATTCTACGCTTTAATGATCTCGTAAGGTAATTACATTTCCAGTAGTTCTACCCCTTAATGATCTTGTAAGTTTATTATATTTCCAGTATTAATTTTTTGCTTTAATGATCTTGTAAGGTAATTATATTTTCATTGATGTTTACCGTACATACATAATTAATACACATACAGTATGACAGATTAGTTTTTATTAGCATACATATAAATGTATTTCCATTTTCAGCAAAGCCCAAATAGATCTAAATGTCAACAATAGTGTTGGAATTCGTAATACTCATTTACTCAAGTATTACTGCATGAGTAAGTAATGTTTAATATAATGATAATTTTAAGATAAAACTTTGCACTGAATGATTAACATACATTGAATCCCATGTCAGATGTGAGACTTGGGTCACAGGTAAAAAAAATACAATCAGGTTGATAAAAAATACAATCAGGTTCACAGGAAACTTCAGGGAGGATCATTTACATGAAAAATCATGTTGGTCATGAAGTAAGAAAGTTAATTTGAAAAAAAATAATTAAGTGTACAAGTACAGTAAAACTCAGTTAAAAGGAAACTGTCACTGGGAACTCAAATTTTGCTTCCTTGTGACTGAGATTCCTTATATCTGTGTAAGGAATCTACTGAAAAGTCTTCTATGGGATTTGTAAAATGTTTCTTATAACCAAGATTTCCTTATAAGCAAGTTCTTTATAACCAAATTTTACTATAATTATGTCCAAACCAATGTAAATTATATGTTCAAGGTTTTCTGTAATGTAGTTAATATGATTAATGTTAATGTTTGACATTGGTAAGTTTGAATACTGTACATTAACTTGATACTTCATGTACAGTACTTGACACTTGAAAATTTTGTTTGTAGCTGACTGGAGAGTGAGACCACTAGTACTGTACATAAAGAAGTGGGCTCGTTTCCATGACATCAATGATGCCAGTAAAGCCACCATATCAAGTTATTCTCTCTGTCTCATGCTCATCCATTATCTACAATGTAAGTAAAAAATAAATACTTATTTCTACAATTGTCTGTTATTTTACTCGACCATTTAGTAATCGAAATGTTGTAGATGTAGCTGTTCTCTCAGTGCAGCAAAAAATAAATTCTGGAATGACATTTGTGTACATAGTAATTTATTTTATAATCCAATATTGAATTACAGATGCTTGTTCACCACCAGTTCTACCGTCCCTACAGGAACTCTATCCAGTAAGATAAACTCAGTTAATTACTAATATGTAGTAATTAGTCAACTTTCCTGTGTGTATATGTACAGTATATTCAGTTCTTTTATTGTAAGTGGCAAAAAAAAGCATTTATACACTGTAAATGAGATGATAGTACATTAAGCTTTACAAAACAGGAACGCTTCAAAGATTCGTTAGATATCCGAGACCTGAAGTTTGACGATACAGTGTCCTATAAGAGTGACAATGGACAGAGTGTAGGGGAACTTTTTCTTGGATTCCTGGGTTACTATAGCAACAAATTCAGGTAAGTAATAGTAACTATATACATTGTATATATATTAAGGATGAATGAACAAAAAGTCATAACTATTACTTATCGACATCTACTAATAATCGATTAATCACTGATACCACAGACTATCAATCATAGTTCTTAATCTTTTGAACACGAATACCAATTTCCGCAATTTCTAGAGGGATCCAAGGTCTTATTTTAGTTGCATTGCTATGTACATTTAATAACTCTCAAATTCCTAGGGGTCCACCCCCCCCCCCCCCCCCCCTTTAGATCCAAGCATGTAGAAATATATCTCCTTTGCTCTGGCTTTCATTTTCCATGTATACAAACATACACAAAACAACTGAAGCCATTCTGTGAATTTTCTTCTCCAGTATGCTTGTACATGTAGTATAGTTATGAATATGAATGGACATGATGACTGTTCATTAATATTTCTAGGTTTGATGAGGATTGTATATCGATAAGGGATGCAACAAAGTATAGCTTAGATGACTACATGAGATTCAAGAATGAATATTTTCAGATGCAGCCTCTTTGTATTGAAGGTGGGTATTTAATGAAGATATTTCAACTTGAAAAGAATTTAATGTTCTGTTTGTATTTTACATGATCTAAAACATACCTCATTGGTGTTGCTATTTCAGAGCCATTTGACTTTTCCAATACAGCAAGATCTTGTCATGATAAAAATAAGTTCAACCGAGTGAAAAAAGTGTTCAAAACAAGTTACCAGGAACTGCAGAAAAAGAAAGATGTCAACTGTCTGTTCTCACAGCCATTTTAAAGGATTAGTGCTGAGGACCTATGGTTTGGGACCATTGTTGGAAGCATCATGGTAGTGTGAATGTGAATTGTATGACATTGTCTGGTATGCTTATAAGGCATTGTCCACGATGCTGATAGGAGAGTTGATCTGTATACGTAACAAATCGGAGATATACTGAAGTATGAAACTACAGAAATTTAGATGGTGCTAAATAAACATGTACAGTGTATAGTGCAATGACTAAAAAAGGGTGAATCAAGTGTTAAATTACCCTGACATGTAGAGTGATAGAACTGTATCATTCATGACATGCAGTGTACATGTATTCAGGAAATCATGTATCACATACATGTACATTTACCTTTAAATATGCAGTGTAAATATTCAGCACTGCAAAATTTTGTTACAGAGAAAGGCAGCTCAGACTTTTTTTTTTCTAATTTGTGATTTGTGAATTAAAAATAATGGTGATTCTTCATTCATTTTTCTTGAGGATTGACTGATTATCATGTTTGAAAGTTTGTACAGTATGTAAGAAAGTATTGATACAACTGTTCATTGTAAATAAATTTTCTATATACTTTGCAATTTCTTCTTCAATAAATCTATTTTGAATTACTCAAGAAGTAAGGATATTATACATGTGTGTACATTGTATACTCTATATATACTGCAAATACATGTACTGTGCATACATGTACTGTGACATTAGCAACTGTCTAAGCACCGAAAAGTGGCACAATATAAGGAATATAGATACACTGCATTTATACTTACTTTCAGATCTTTCAGTCTCAACTTACTACAGGGACAGCAAGCCTACTAGTATTTAGTTATGAGCCAAAAGATCAAAGTCTTTGTTGGGTGTTTTGGACATGTATGTAGAGCATCGTTTGACCTATATATGCTTCAGAGGTGGTAGCTCACCAGAAAACCTCATTCGAGGGTCAAAAGGCTGGAAGATTACCAACAAGTCCTTCATAGTGTTGTGGACAGTGATGTTTGACCTTTCAGTTTTCCTAAAATTGTTCAGGTGTAGATTATGAATATCTAACTGATCATTAAAATGCATGTAGTTTGCCTGCTGGATGTTCATTTGCTAAGAACACAAGACCACCCTGGGGTCATTTTAGTTTTGGTGAAAGGCTCATTGCTTTTATTAATCATGCAAACAGTTTGAGAGACCATGGTGAGTCTGGTACCTAGGAATAGTTATTAAATCAGAACTCGTGGCAATTATGATTCTGTTAGAGATGTGACAAATGTTATAAAGCACCACTGTTATATATAACCAGGTTCCATTAGTCTTGAAAGAATATAATTGGTTTGAAAAACCATTCATTCATCCTCTTTACTGGTGCCAAAAGTAGAAACTGACGTTCTATACTAACAACCTTGTCAGATTGTAGAACACTGCAGAACCATCAATTCCTTTTAAATTCATCCCCCCCCCCCCCCCTTGAAGATACCCACATACACTAGGCTTTCATATTTCACATGTACATTGACTGAGACAAGATCTCTCCAAACATACTATGATTTTTGACCCTGTGACCTTGAAATGTGACCTACTTTAAAAAAGTTTAATATTGCTTATAACTTTTGAATAATAGAAGATAGGGTTTTCATATTTGACATGGGCATTACCTGCGACAAGATGTTTCCAAATTTGCAGTAATTTTTTACCCTGTGATTGACATTGACATTTGGCTTAATTCTCAAAAATGTTAACATTAGTGATAACTTTTGAAAGAGAGAAGATAGGGGGTCTATCTTTGACAACTGCATTACTTGTAACAAGATGTTCACAAATGTGTAATATTTGAACATGTGACCTTGACAAAGTTTGATCTAATTTTCAAAAATTTTATCATTGCTGCTAACTTTTTAAGGAGAGAAGACAGGGCACATATATTTGACATGTGCATTACCTGTTTCAAGACTTTTCTAAATGTTCTCTATTTTTGACATTGTGACCTTGACCTTCAAGTTTAACCTACAGTCTTTTTTTCTGCATTGGTAATAATGTTTGAAAGAGAGAAGATAGGGCTTTCATATTTTACATTACTTATGACAACACCTTTCAGAAAGATATATTACTTCATTACCTTGACCTAGAAGTCTGACCTTCTTATAAACTTTGGCCATAACCTACTCTAGAAGAGACAAGGCATTCGTTTTTTTTCACATGTACATGACTTGTGACAAGATCTTTTGGATTGTATTATGATTTGACCTCATGACCTTGTTCTTGAAGTGATGCAGTTTTGGGAAGCTTTAATCTTTGCCATAATTTTTATCAATTCATTAATTTATTTTTTTGTATGATGGACAGACAAGACAGGACATACAAACAAGACAGTTACAATATGGCATAAATAATGGCATCCCAACTACTAAGACACCGAAAACAGGGGACCACAATTCTTTGAATTGGCTTGTTAGACTTCAAATAAAAGTTCATCAAAACTTATGTAAGAACGGAGACAGCTTTGGCGTTTGCTGTCTAATAAGACATGGCCCACTCCTAATTACTAACCCCCTCTCAACCTGACCAGCATCAACACAAAAATCAGCTCAGTCATAATGTTTAATCACTGAAAAACATTCATTTTGGCACTGAGGACATACAAAATGACAGGAAGCATACACATTGTTACATTACACAAATGAATTTTTGATGAATAGATATGACACTGGTGTGAAGAGGAGACCAAGTAAAATTGTCACTACATAAACCTTAAAATATTCTTAACTTCACAACCATGTTTAAAGAAATATTGATAAAATACAATTTTCATAAAATCTGAGGTTTATAAAAACAGTGAGCATCTCTATAAAGTAATACAGAGAATGCATAAAAAAAAATCCTAAATAAATATGTTGACTTCCTGTTTAGTTTTCGAAGTTAATTTTTTTTTTACATAAAAATTCAAAATATTTTTCATGCAATAAAATTCTGTTTCAAAGTCCTATGTTTTCTCCAACAAATAAGAAGTCTTAACAAAAACACAACATGTTTTTGTATATTTATACTCGTACTATACTAGAAAGTTATGGAGAAGTAGTAAAAATGCTTTTGAGTTTACAAGTATATTTCAGCATACATGAACATTTACACATTTTCTAAGCATTCATAAAATCTATTTAAACCAGAAGTCTCTGATGAGACTGTAGCTCTACTGGTCTGTACGTATAATGAAGGAAAAGTAGCACTTGGATTTGAAACTTTGCAACACGCAACAATAAATAGAATTATGTATCTTAATGTAGTCTACTTCTGTGCCAAGTTATATTAAAATCGAACGAAAACTGTAGGAGGAGTAGAGTTTTGAAAGTATTTCACAGAAATTTCTATTTTTAGTAACCATGACAATAGCATTCATTGAAATCAAAAACCGAAACACATATTATGTATTGTAGTGTAGTCTACTTGTGTGCCAAATTAGATTGAAATCAACCAAAACTTTAGGAGGAGTAACGTTTTAAAGGAACTTCACAGAAATTTCTATTTTTAGTAACCATGGCAACACAGTTCATTGAAATCAAAATCCGATGCAGTAAATTATGTATCTTAGTGTAGTCTACTTGTGTGCCAAGTTATATTGAAATCAGACCAAAACTGTAGGAGGAGTAGCGTTTTAAAAGAATTTCACAGAACTCACTATTTTTAGTAACCATGGCAACATCGTTCATCGAAATCAAAAACTGATGCACTAAATTATGTATCTTAGTGTAGTCTACTCGTGTGCCAAGTTATATTGAAATCAGACCAAAACTGTAGGAGGAGTAGTGTTTTGAAAAACTGTTTACAGACAGACAGACAGCTAGATAGACGGACGGACAACGGACACCTTACTATCGCATAAGCTCTTCTGGTCTCTGACCAGTAGAGCTAAAAACTATGAGAATTCATATGCATGTATAAAAAAGCTTGTATTCTTTTATGAGCAGTTATACATAACACAGCATTTGTCTGTGTTTACAAAAAAATTAAAAATACTACTAAGAGCAGAAGATGGGAAATACTAAAAGTACATATAGATTGGAGCAACAAATGATAAAACTGAAAAATATAAAATGCACATGAAAATGAAATATACAACATATCCATGTATACATATGAACATACAGCTTTTCCCCATTCAGTTCGCTGTCTATTTAATTAATGGCTAACACATCAGAGAGTATTTATCATCTAACGGTCATTATTAACTAGCTGCATACTACCTAATCCTCGATGCTATGAGTTGATCAAGACTATGAGATACATCTATTGGATAAGGAGTATCTTCCTGATGAGTGGAAAATGTGGTGGATCCAGGAGTTATAAGGAGCAGTTATATATAATATGAATCAGAATCCAACATAAAACCATCTGATTTCGTCACACTTTAAAGTCATAACTGTATCTAGGGTGCCCTGTATAACTCAGTCTTCTACCGTTGATTAAGCACTGAATGACCCACTCTGAGGCCACCAATGGGATTGCGTACTTTTTGCTGTAACGTAACACAGATTTAGGACAGGTGAGATCAGTCACTATCACATTTACAGGAGTACCTAAAAAAAAATCAACAAACAATTACAGAAGGACATTTCACTAATTTATTACAAGAGAAATGCATCTCTGAGGTCCTTGAATCTCTCTTAAATAAAACAGGTTTTCAAAATGAACAGTATGTTAAGTAAAAATAGCTTCAAAATGTATATACATGTAGGTATGAAAATTCCACCATTGATGACCTTGTTCTTACCAGAATTTACTGATGGCAGCTTGTCCAGTACCTGACATCCAGCTAACCTCAGTGTAAAGGACCACTCCTCCAAGAATTTCTTGTGGGATGAGGACACAAACACAGATAAGCCCTTTAGATCACCTTTCCTGTTAGACCTGAATGTAATCAAGAACAAATGGGATGATTTGTGATTTGTGGGCTGGCATTTTTAGAATCACCCATGTACTTCATTACATCTTATAAACATACATCTGTCACTCTCCATTTTACTTTGTAGCTGCACATGGGGAAAAAAAAAACCAAAAAACAAAAAACAAAAAACCCCAATACAAAAAAACTAGTAAAAGTGAAGTAAATAAATGATAAATGATACCCACCATTCCATTAGCTTCCTCTTTTCTATACTGACTCCAGCTTGCAGTTTGTAAGCTTTGTAATCCAACAACATTCCCTAATTATAATAATTTAAAATTCTCTTTCAAAGGGAGTATCAGTAAAAATCAAAATATATCAGTCAATGCTTGTATACATGTAGTGAAACCTAAATATTTTCGCAGAAGGCTTAAAATTTCCAGTTTCCCTTAAGATTGAGACCAATTCTCAAGCAAATAATTTTGTTCCCCACAAATTGACTAACCTCAGAAGATGAATCCCTTATCCAAAGGTGAGATACACATGGAATGGCTGCTGCCAAACACTGGAAGTATTTAATGGTCCTCTGGTAGGAATTAGAGATCAGAAAACACTGCTTGGCACTGGCAATCTGTCAACAATTACAAGTTGTTTTCTTTCAATTATTACAAGTGGCCAATCTATATTTTTTATGAAATCAAAATTATCCAATACAAAAAATACATGTATATGCATTACCATCATTTTCTTCTTCATAGATTAACAGTTTGTTTTTTTGTAAAAAAAAAAAAAAAAGTAATACCTACTGTTTTTTGTGCATAGAATTATGTCCAAAAACCAAACAAAATGATGTACTGGATATACATGTATCAGTATTCGAGATACGTACACCTACACATATATAACAATAGATTTAACTCTATGCTGTAAATTACATTTATTCACAAAAAGTCAGATGAAAAAATAAATTCTATATATACTCTTGGGCTTACCATTATGTACATGTATATTCAATTTTCTTCTTATCCAATTGAAGCAAACTTAAATAAAACATGAAAACTCTGTAAACAAGATTAATCAAATCTAAGACCTCGTACCTCAGCCTCGTCAAACTTGTCGAGGACCCTTCCTCCCCCAGCTACGATCCTCCTTGTGATGTCTTGTTTATCAAAAGGAGCCTCATCATCATCTGTAAAATGTTCAGTGGTTTGTTCAATTCACAATTTCATATTCTGTATGCTACCTTCTGGGTTATTTTTGCTCAATTCATTCCCACCATCAGGAAGTAAACTTAAAACTACTAAACTTGAAGCAAGGGTTTATGGCATGAAAGCAGCAAGAGAACAAGCTGTTTCGGCAAAAATATAAATCCACTGACAGATGAAAGTTCGATTTCACCTTACAATAAACGAGGCCGAGTCTTATTATTTCTATCCTAGATATTTTGATAATTTTTTTTTAATGAATTTTTACTATTATATTAATTATTTTAAGATAAAAAAACCAAATGTTTACCATCCTGATTTCTTAGGGGGCCATCTCAAAAGTTGTCAAATTTCACTATTGGACCCTATGGGAATTTTGTTGGAAAAGTGCCAAATTATCGTATTTTCCCCATATTTTTTGTATTTCTGCCCTAAGGATTTCCTTTTCAGTCAAATACATGAAAGTTATTGTAAAAAGTCACCAAATACCATTGTAAAATTTCAAAAATGTTGACCATCTGGTTTGGTCTAGGTATTATTACAAAGTTTTTTTTTTTCCAATGCCCAATACCTCTAAATTTGCCACATTGCGGTATATATTTTGTATACAGTATATCGGCGCAGATGAATTATTTTGGTTAAAAGAATAACAATGTTTAGATTGCTGGTATGATTCCTTTGATGTTCTGTCAACAGTTTTTAATAAAATGTCCATGGACGCCTTGAATACTCAAGCGAGTTATGCGTCATTCTTCAACCTCATGCACTGCTTACAGAACCGAGAACAGTGACGTCGTGAAAGCCATTTCAGCGTTTATTCCTAATCATTGTCTTAAAAGCACATTTTAAAACCCACAAACGTTACAGATAATGAAAAATAATGTTAATTTTGTATCAAAATTACAATACTTAGGATAGGTGTTATGCTGCACCTACGACTGCATGAACTAAAAAGCTGTGCAAAGTCACGTGCACTCAAATTAGACTCGGCCTCATTAAATTCTATTTGAAAAACAAATGCTCCTGAGGAATTTCAATGCATTGCCAGGTACAAAATGAAGAAATTCTATCTCAATGATAATTCTCGTATTAATGAAGACCACAGAAACTAGTGTTTCCTGTTTAAATGAAATTTTCTTACTTTCTGCTGAGCTCTCATCAGAGGTCAAGTTTGGATTGCGCAGGAGAGCCTTTTCCTCTTCTTTAAAGTCTCTGGATTTCTCCACATAAGTCAGCAGAAACACAAGACCAGAAAATGGCAATGGATTTGAGGGCTGCTTCTCTTTGTCAAATAAACCTTATAAGGAAATGAAGAAGTATAATTTTTTTAACACATCACCCACACTCACATTAACTCGTATTTTCCTGAATATTTAAGCTTACCTTGTCTGATCTTTGTGGATGACACATTCAAGATTACCTTGACTGACCGTTGTGGGTGACACATTCAAACTTACCTTCTCTAAACCTTTGTGGTTGACTCATTCAAGCTTACCTTGTCTGACCTTTGTGGGTGGCTCATTCAAGCCTACCTTGTCTAACCTTTGTGGGTGACTAATGCGTGCCTACCTTGTTTGACCTTTGTTGGTGAATAATTCATGCTTACCTTGTCTGACCTTTCTGGGAGATCTCCTATGTTCAATAGGAGAAACTGCCACAGGTATATCAGGATATGTAGGGGTGGATTCAGGGTCTGCAAGTATTTTAATTACACATCAATGTAAATAAAGTTAAACTTTGGTATCTCAAACATTGAAATCTCAAATACCATAGATACGTCAAAATGATTAGGAAGACCCAACCATTTTTTTAAAGATATTTTAAGATCAATATCTCAGCCCCATCAAGTTCAAGATAATGAGGTTTGACTGTGAAATATTTCTTACTTGTTTAATGCTGTAAATCACCTTTTATTTGCAAGAACTTTATTTAAGCATTATGATGCATGACTGCTCATGAATAATTTCATTTACATGTAAACATGTATTTATAATTACCAAAATTTGTGAAAATTTTGACTCCCTTATGAATACTAAACAACTATCTTGACACGAAAATAAAGTATCAAGAAAATTGGTGATCTACAGTAAATGAAACTAACAGTATCAGTATTCTCAAAATGATTTGTCAGGTCCTAGACTCAGTGATTGGGAAGGGCTTGCCCATGTGCCATAGTCGCATTGAAGTGAAAATTGGCACATTAGATCAACCATTGGTGGCGCCAAGGTGCGCATTCAAATCTTCGCAATGTAAGTTAGAAATATATTGCATAGGTTTACTTCGGTTTAAAATGCAGTCATTTTAATGCAACAAATTTCATTGGTTAAAACCCGTCAAAAACTGCTTCCTGTTACATGAAGCGCTTTATAAAGGACAACAAAGGTACATTACCTCACTCATTTTCAATGTTTAATTGAAATTTTGACGTTATTGATCTAATATTCAAGAAAAACATATTGTTTGCGGGTTCCTTTAAATGTGCTACACTGCATACGTGAAAAATAAAATTTGGTTAATGAAGAAATGTGTTTCTTTTCGTATTTGACGTTTGTTTGTCATTTTATTTTTTTCTTAAAATGGCCCATCAGAATACATAGATGGCTCATTCATTTTCAAAATGGCCCGTTAAAAACTTTGACAGTTGCGCCACAATCTCATTGACCATGATGGCCTTCCCAATCACTAAAGACTCATGGATTACACCCCAACCATTTGGTAAGCTCCAAAAATAATGAATTTAGAGCTATTGGTATCTACTGTAGCAATAAAATATACAAAGAAAAAAAATTACATAAAATGTCACCACTGGAACTTGTAAAACTGTGTAATTATACTATATGCATATATGTAACTTGTGTTTTTTCAAAATGAAGATGTTCAATTATTCAGTAATAAAGGATTCTTGTTTTCTGCTAGAAACCACAGAGCATGAACATGTTAAAAATTTCTGTTGCAGTATCCAAGTTTATGCAAACATTAACATGAACATGTTGGTTTGTCTACCCCTTAGACTTTCCATTTTGGTAAAAAATAAATAAAACTATAACCCTACCTACTGCTTTCCTTTTGCCCTTCCCCTTTTCTTTTGGTGTAGGTGTACTGGTTGCTTTCTGTGGTATGGGTGGGAATTTCTTCCTCAGGGCCCTTGAAGTTGAAGGTTTCTCTAGGTCTGACTCTTCACTCTTCCTCACACCTTTTGATGTAGAGGGTTCCTCAAAATTCTCTGTTTTGTTGGCTGCTCTTCTGGTTGAGGGTCTGTGTGGTTTAGATTTGCTGGTAGTATCTGTAGAATCTGATGATTTACCGACTCTGGACTTGGTCCACTCACTCTGAGCATACTTACTGCCCGCCCTTCTCTTTCCTTCCACAAGGTTATCTGTCAATTTAGAAATTCTACATACAAGAAGCCAGGCTATGAAATAATTAACATTTATGACACACTAGTCTAGAGGACTAGTTAAGAGTATGAAGAACTAGTCTCTTGCCAACAGTTCAGGTGCCCAAAACCTTGGAACCTCAAAGATCTTAACTCCCCCTCCTCTCAAAATGAACACCACTTATCCAAAGGATCGAATACTTTATTTTTCCATTCAAAAGGTAAAAATGGCACTATATAATAAAGATTCTGTGAAAGTCTCATTAGGTTTTATTCAGTGGTATAGGAGGAGTTGCAGGTAAAAGATGGGAACCCCACATATTATAGAAACAAGAGGCCCATGGGCCACAACGCTCACCTGAGTCAATATGGCCCTGCTGTTCTTCGTCAGCAGATTTCTTCTCTTATATATTCATATAAAGCTTTGATGGCCTGTTCTAGGCATACCCTACCCCAGGTGCCATGTTATGAATGAAGCTGAATATAAACCTTCTGAGGATGCTGCTATATTCAGATAACTAATCATGGTTTTGTTGTTCTTTAAAACAGAATTTTAAAGATGTCTGACACCCTACCCTGGGGTTGGGGGGTTGGGGGGTGGGGTAGGGTCATGATTTGAACAAACTTGAATGTACACTACCTGAGGATGCCTCCATATCAATATGACTAATCATGACTTTGTTGTTCTTGAGAAGAAGATTTTTAAAGATATTTCCTATATACAGTATTTTCTTTCGTAAAACTTTGATCCCCCATTATGGCCCCACCCTACTACTGGAGGATGCATTGAACAAACTTGAATCTACAATACCTGGGAATGCTTCGATATCAATATGACTAATCATGACTTTCCTGTTCTTGAAAAGATCTTTAAAAATTTTTCCTATATATTCCTATGTAAAACTTTGATCCCCCATTGTAGCCCCACCCTACCCCCGGGGGTCATGATTTGAACAAACTTGAATCTACACTACCTGAGGATGATTCCATATCAATATGACTAACTCTGGCTTTGTTGTTCTTGAGAAAAAGATTTTCAAAGAATTTCCCTATATATTCCTATGTAAAAATTTGATCCCCCATTGTGGCCCCACCCTACGATCGGGGGTCATGATTTGAACAAACTTGAATGTACACTACCTGAGGATGATTCCATATCAATATGACTAATTGTGGCTTTGTTGTTTTTGAGAAGAAGATTATTAAAGAATTTTCCTATATATTCCTATGTAAAACTTTGATACCCCATTGTGGCCCCACCCTACCCCTGGGGGGTCATAATCTGAACAAACTTGAATCTACACTATGTAATGAAGGTTTCACATAAGTTTCAACTTTTCTGGCCCAATGGTTCTTGAGAAGAAGATTTTTAAAAGATGACACCAAATTTTCACCAATTCTTAATTATCTCCCCTTGGAATAGGGCGTGGCCCTTCATTTGAACAAACTTGAACCCCCTTTACCCAAGGATGCTTTGTGGCAAGTTTGGTTGAAATTGGCCCAGTGGTTCTTGAAAAGAAGTCAAAAATGTGAAAAGTTTAAAGACAGACAGACAGACGGACTACAGACAAAATGTGATCAGAAAAGCTCACTTGAACTAACAAGAGGCCCAAGGGCCAGATCGCTCACCTGAGGACTGTGGCTAGGAAAAAAGGAAAAATCAGTTTAGTATTGAAAAGCATAAATGCATAAGTGGTCCAAACCTACTCCTAAAAAGGGAGGGGGGGGGGTCATGATTTGAACAAACTTGAATCTACACTATCTGAGGATGCTTCCGTATAAATATGACAAACTGTGGCTTTGCTGTTCTTGAGATTTTTAAAGATTTTTCCTATATATTCCTATGTAAAACTTTGATCATACATTGTTGCCCCACCCTACCCCCGGGGGTCATGATTTGAACAAACTTGAATCTACACCACCTGAGGATGCTTCCACATAAATATGACCAATAATAGCTTTGCTGTTCTTGAGAAGAAGATTTTTAAGATTTTTCCTATATATTCCTATGTAAAACTTTGATCGTCCATTGTGGCCCCACCCTACCCCCGGGGGTCATAATTTGAACAAATTTGAATCTACACCACCTGAGGATGCTTCCACATAAATGTGACCAATCATAGCTTTGCTGTTCTTGAGAAGATTTTTGAAGATTTTTCCTATGTACACCTATGTTAAACATTGATCGTCCATTTTGGCCCCACCCTACCCCCGGGGGTCATAATTTGAACAAATTTGAATCTACACCACCTGAGGATGCTTCCAAATAAATATGACCAATCATAGCTTTGCTGTTCTTGAGAAGAAGATTTTTGAAGATTTTTCCTATATATTCCTATGTAAAACTTTGATCGTCCATTGTGGCCCCACCCTATCCCCGGGGGTCATGATTTGAACAAACTTGAATCTACACTACCTGACAATAATTCCACATGAGTTTCATCTTTCCTGGCCCACTGTTTCTTGAGAAGAAGATTTTTCAATAATGCCATTAATTTTTTGCTATTTCGTAATTATCTCCCATTGGAGGAGGGCGTGGCCCTTCATTTGAACAAACTTGAAACCCCTTCACCCTAGGATACTTTGTGCCAAGTTTGATTGAAATTGGCCTAGTAGTTCTGGAGAAGAAGATGAAAATGTGAAAAGTTTACGACAACAACGACGCAGACGACGACAGACAACGGACAAATTTTGATCAGAAAAGCTCACTTGAGCCTTCGGCTCAGGTGAGCTAAAAATGGCAGAATCCATGTTTTGCTATGGGAGACCCAAAATATGTGTCTGATCAAAACGTAAAACAGAAGATGAGCAATGCCACTCTGTAATAAAAATTTGTGAAAGTTTCATTAAATTGTATTCCGTGGTATAAAAGGAGTTGTGGATAAGGGATAGCTACCCCCAAGTGTAACAGACCGATGGGAGTATGTACAGATGGACACCCCTATCACTATATACCTGCCACTTTTTAAGTGGGGGTAATGATGTGGCAATTTTGAATACTGCCCCCCAAGATACATGTTATACACATTACTATTACTTACCCAGACTAACATTGCCTGGATTGGGCTCTACAGTGGGAGCAGATTTCTGGGGGGAGACTGGGAGGTCAGTCAACAACAGGTTGGCCTGGTCCTCATTTAAGATCACCTGACTCTTGTGAAACCTGTAAATAAAGTAATACATATATACAGAAAGATAAGTAACTGACAGAGACAACATAGGTTCCTAAGATTGCTGACCATTGACAAATCAACCCCAAAATATGAATATGATTAAATGAACTCCCTAGAATGGTGATATTATTTTGATGCACGTACATGTTTTTATGTAATCATTCTTTTTATATTCATTGTACATGTATTTTTTTACAGGTACAATGCATATTAAAACAATTAGTATTCCCATAGAATTCACTGGAAATGAGACTGCCATACCAAATAAATTTTACTTTATGTACATGTACATGTGAACTAAACTAATTCCACAATTCCTGTACAGATACCAGATAGAAGATAATTAACGCTATAAACAGAATGCACCTATAGTATATACACATGTATCTTTCTGAGATCACTTACACAAGCAATAACAAAAATTACTTTTCGTGCTAAAAATATCATTTTGTGCTAGTAAAAATCACTAAATCAATGTTTAGTTACTTACATTCGTTGTTCCCCTGAGTCCTTCTCCACAGAATATTGGACAACCCCTCCCTTCTTTTCCTGGCCAACAATCAGACCAGCATCAAAATAGCCATCCTGTGACTGAACCATGACAGGTTGACCCAAGGGGAGTCGCTCCACCCACAGAATCTGAGAGTGTCTGACCCAGCAGGAGTCTCCGTCATCAAACTTTACCTGGTACCTGTGATGTCAGGATAAATATAATGTTAGGCTGTATAAAAATACATCTAATACAAGATGTCAAAATGTGAGACTGTATTTCAACTAGAATCTACATCTAAAGAGAAGGTCAAACAAATAGATAAACTGCACAGATTAAATATAATGATGTTAACAAAAAGAAAGATTATTCAAGAGGAAGATAATTATCATTTTATGATCTTTAACAACTCCAACATTTTATACCTAGATCCATCCACTCTCAGTATTGTTCCCGGATAAAAATATCCATCCTTCCACTTAGCCATTATCCTAGAATCTGTAATAAGCAGACAATTTATTAAACAAGAAATTACTAACAAGTCTAGTTGATTCTTCTAAAGCTACAATTTTTTGTCTTTCATATTAATGTATTTCGAGAAGTAATAGTAATAACTGAAAGCTACAATTGAAAACCATTGCCTCAGATAATATGCAAGTTTTGAGATTATCTCCCTTGGTGCACTCTTTTGTTATGGAGGGGAGTTTGGTTTCCAGGTAAACCGTCAGGTGGGACAGTTATTTTCATTGGATACGTTACATCATGATACATGTATATGCCAGTCTGTCATAACTGATTGTCGGGATGACTCAACTCAAAAATTACCGAATTGAAGTAAAGGCATAATTTTTTCTTCCTACTAAAAAAATCGGATCAAATGAAAATATCAAAGTGGATAAGACTTTTCAGATGAGGGAAGACATATGGAACTCTAATGAATACACAAGCATCTGATCATTGCATGTTGGCATTCTGAATGACACAATGACTCTCTCTTATAATAATTTCAAAGAGCCCACTAATCTTTTAGAAAAGGTTTTACAATCAAGGAAGCATCTTTTTGACAAAGACTATGACGGTTCTTTTGTTTTTGTTTTTTTTTTTTTAAATTTGAAAATATTTTATATAACCAGTCTGAGATTAAGAAATTACAACAAAATACCTTTAACAGGTTCAGTTCTAATCAGTCCAACACCAGTGGTTTCTGATGTTGCTGTGATGTTTTGTTCATCTTGAAATGGAACCTCAGAGCTATTGAAAAAGAAACAATACCTAATTCTACAAGTGCATTAGGCCTAAGTGAATACATGTATCATCACAATGTTCATATGCACTGAATGATATCACAGAAATGTTTATTTTGTACCTGACTTCTCCACTAGATCCAACCTTCTGTCTTTCCTCTGGGATATCTCTACTAGCTCCTAAAAAGTTTCATTCACATAAACATACTGTAGAAAAGATACAGTATTTACATACACATATATTTATTTCCCTAAGTCAAGCAATCAGTTATTATTCAAAGAAATGGTAGTAAAATACAGTATACATGTACATGTAACAGGCATAATGCTAGACTGTTCCAAGTTTGCATGTGTCGCCTTGCATCATTAAAGACATAATTTAAACTAAAAGGTGGTATTTTTTTTTTTACATATCGTACTAGCATTATAGTTCAAGCTAAGTTCAAGCTTGGATTAACAAGAGTTTGTTCCTGTTCATCATTAATATTACAGCATTATTCCTAGAGAAAGAGTGATGGACTATATCTACATGTACATGCATACATCTCAGTAGTTTGACTTAAGAGTCTGTGATCTGGTTGACCAAGGGTTATGATGAAACACTAGGATCAAAGAATTCAACTTCAGCATCAGAGAAACAGGCATTTCAGAAAGACTTGAAGAATATTTATTTTCCTCAAATCAAAAGACTGATGAAGGCAATGCATTATAAAATCTGAATTGCAACTGCTGTACATGGTGGACATACTCTCTATATTTGGGAGGGGATGGGGTGGGGGTGGGGGGTTGTTGTTGTTATGAAGTTACTTGTTACTTTCTGAAGTTAAAAGATAATGTACAACGTTTTAGTCAAATCTACTGCATTTTTAACTCAAGTTATCTCTTGCTGTTAAAATCTGTTTTAAATTGTGAATATCATTAGATAGAAGTTTGTTGCCTTTCTTTCTGCAGAATGACTTACCAGTACTGGTCCTGGGTTTACTGACTACTGACTCGGCTTGGACAGATGCAGGATCAAAAACGAATCCAGTGGAGACATTAGGTGTAAAAGAAGCAGATCTTATGGAGGCAGCTTTTGGGACTTGAGAGGTGGTAGTAACCACAGGCAGCGGTGCCAAAACTCTGTCTACAGGCTCGGCTAATTCCTGGACAGGGGAGATAACCTGTGATACCTCAGTACTGTAAATAAAAAATGGGTCAAATTATGTTGCTTTTCTTTACTTCTGCTATTAAGTACTTTGGAGCTTTTTCCTCTGAGTGCTTCAAGTATATGCTGAGTTAGTGAGACATATTTACAGATTAAATGAAATGTTCTTTTTATTGTTCTTTAAACCAACCTGCCATCCAGACTTAAGATGCTTGGTTGCCTCGATGGTACATCATGTTCACTCAATGAAGAAGGAACTACAAAAAAGTTTTTGTAAAATTATTAACAATATATATATCTGAGAGTGAAAATGTGGTATATTAACAAGTACTGAACAGTTTCATCTTTTCTCCAGTAAAAGAGTATAATTATGTTCACTGTACTTCTTACTTCATTTTTTCCTTACCATTAGATGAACCTGACTTTGAAAGACTTGAACTTATGTCACCAAGGTCTCCCGAGGTCAGGGAACTTCCTGTGCGTGATGGAGACAGAGTACTTGGAGACAATGCCTCCATTTCCTGATAAGTCTTCACTTTAATAGTTACGGGTTCCTTTGAAACCTGTACAAAATTTAAATGTTACTCGATTACATTAAAACACGATTATAGCAAATCATCAGGGAAGAATGCATTGCTTTGTTGTTTCCATAATTTATATCCGGTTTACTATTCAGTTCATTAGAGACATGTACATGTATTTGAAATATTCTTTTTTGTATAAAGGTGCTTTACTGTATACTTCTGGATGCAGTAAAATAAAAACTGCATGTATGATGACAAAACTGAAAATCTTCTCTGAACATTCACTTTGATAGCTAACTACAAGTAAATTCTTGTCAGTGATGTACACGTACCTCTTTCTCTGACTTGGATACAATCTTTCCCTGCCTTATGATCTCTGTTATTTCTGTCCGAACTTCAAACTGCTTTACCTTCACAATGATGGTCTTACGTTCAACATCTTGTGAAGCAGTCAGTTGCTGAACAGTTTTAAAAAAGAAATTGAAATATGTGTTAGTATTTTTTTCCCCTAATTACTGTATTTATTCAAATACTGCAAATTGTCAAAATTCAGATTGAAAATGAATGACCAGTCTTGTATTTTCTCAGTTAAGAACAATCTGTAAACTAGACTACACGTCTATAACAAGACTACACATGTCTATATACTGGACTATGCAAGTCTATAAACTGGACTACATAGGTCTATAAACTTGACTACATACGTCTATAAACCAGACTACATAGGTCTATAAATTGGACTAAATATGTCTAGAAACTGGACTACACATTCTATAAACTGGAATACATATGTCTAAAAACTGGACTACATATCTTTATACTGGACTACATAAGTCTATAAAATGGACTACTCACGTCTACAAACTGTACTACATACAGTATGTCTATAAACTGGACTACATATGTCTTTAAACTGGACTACAAATGTCTTAAACTAGATACTCAAGTCTATAAATTGGACTACATGTCTCTAAACTGGACTACACATGTCTTTAAACTGGACTACAAATGTCTTTAAACTAGATACTCAAGTCTATAAACTGGACTACATGTCTATAAACTGGACTACATGTCTATAAACTGGACTACACAGGTATATAAACTGGACTACACAGGTCTATAAACGGGACTACACAAGTCTATAAACTGGACTACACAAGTCTAAAAACTGGACTACACAAGTCTATAAACTGGACTACACGCCTATAAACTGGACTACACAAGTCTTTAAACTGGACTACACAAATCTATAAACTGAACTATACATCTATAAACTGGACTACACAAGTCTATAAACTGGACTACACAAGTCTATAAACTGGACTACACGTGTCTATAAACTGGACTACACGTCTATAAACTGGACTACACAAGTCTATAAACTGAACTACACAAGTCTAACTAGACTACACAAGTCTAACTAGACTACACATTACACCTACTTGATCTAGATCTGATGACTTCCTCAGTGGAACCTTGAACCTCGGTTCTGTTTGACTGGTCCTGATCTTTGATGGTCTGTTTGTTGGGGTCACTGAAGTGGACATCAGAGGTGGTTTGGCCAGAACAGATTCTAGGGATGATGCCCGGGCAAGTGGTGGAGAAAGCACAATGGTTGACCTCTCTGATAGCAGACTTGGCCTTGTCATATTTATCTGGGAGCTCTCCTCACTGCTGGTAGATGAAGTTGTAGTCACTGTAGGGGTTGTCAACAAAGTGGGGGTTACTGCTTCTGTGGTTTCTTTCTGAGAACTTTTTCTGATGCGACCTCCTGTCCTTAGCTTTGTTAAGCTCTTTCTTTTCTTCCCAGAGACAGGGGTTTGTACAATTGGATTTGCTGGTTGTCTGCGTTTCTTCTGTGCTTTGGTGACCTAATCAAAATGTAGTGCATGTCCATATACATGTGTAAGGACATACATGTAGTTAAGTTTATACAGTTTTATTTGAACAAATTTAGTCCATCTAATTTAACAAAAGTATGAAGGTAAGAAATTGTATTTCAAAAACATTTAAGTAAAACAAGAGGCCCATGGGCCACATCGCTCACCTGAGTAGCTTTGGCCATGCTGTTCTTTACCAGATTCCCCCCCCCCCTTTTAAGATACCTATTGTGGCCCCGCCCTACCCCCGGGGGTCATGATTTGAACAATTTAGAATCTACACTACCTCAGGATGCTTCCAAATAAGTTTCAGCTTTATTGGTCCAGTGGTTCTTGAAAAGAAGATTTTTCTTATAAATTTCAATGTAAAACTTGGATTCCCTATTGTGTCCCTACCTACTCCCAGGGGGTCATGATTTGAACAATGGATGCTTCCACTTAAGTTTCAGCTTTTCTGGCCCAGTGGTTCTTGAGAAGAAGATTTTAAAAGATTTTTCCTATATATTTCAATGTAAAACTTGGATTCCCTATTGTGGCTCTGCCCTACCCCCAGGGGTCATGATTTGAACAATTTAGAATCTACGCTACCCCAGGATGCTTCCATATAAGTTTCAGTTTTTCTGGCCAAGTTGTTCTTGAGAAGAAGATTTTTAAAGATTTTTCTTATATATTTCAATGTAAAACTTGGATTCCCTAGTGTGGCCCCGCCCTACCCCCGGGGGTCATGATTTGAACAATTTATAATCTACACTACACCAGGATACTTCCATGTAAGTTTCAGCTTTTCTGGCCCAGTGGTTCTTGAGTAGATTTGTAAAGATTTTTCTTATATATTTCAATTTTAAACTTGGATTCCCTAGTGTGGCCCCGCCCTACCCCCGGGGGTCATGATTTGAACAATTTATAATCTACACTACCCAAGGATGCTTCCATCTAAGTTTCAGCTTTTCTGGCCCAGTGGTTCTTGAGAAGATTTGTAAAGATTTTTCTTATATATTTCAATGTAAAACTTGGATTCCCTATTGTGGCCCCGCCCTACCCCCGGGGGTCATGATTTGAACAATTAACAATCTACACTACCCCAGGATGCTTCCAAACAAGTTTCAGCTTTTCTGGCCCAGTCGTTCTTGAGAAGAAGATTTTTAAAGATTTTTCTTATGTATTTCAATTTTAAACTTGGATTCCCTAGTGTGGCCCCGCCCTACCCCCGGGGGTCATGATTTTAACAATTTAGAATCTAAACTATCCCAGGATGCTTCCAGATAAGTTTCAGCTTTTCTGGCCCAGTGGTTCTTGAGAAGAAGATTTTTTAATGACCCCACCCTATTTTTGTCTTTTCTTGATTATCTCCCCTTGTAAGGGGACTTGGCCCTTTATTTTAACAATTTACACTCCACTTTGTACCAAGTTTGGTTAAAATTGGCCTAGTTTTTCTTGAGAAGAAGTTGAAAATGTGAAAAGTTTACAGACGGACGGGCAGACGGACGGACGACGGACAACGGGTGATCAGAAAAGCTCACTTGAGCTTTCAGCTCAGGTGAGCTAAAAAATTATGTTTTACTTTTATCTGAGTAGTTTCAGGTTCACGGTTTTGATCCACTTTTTCTTCCTCTGGGATGTGTACAGGAATGGCTATCAAGGGTTCTGGTTCGTGACTCTGAACAACTACTTCCTGCTCAGCAATGTGAGTGGTACTCTGCTCATCCTCCACGCTAGCCTGGTAGCCCCCCTCTGTAGACACTGAGGTCTTCTTGTGGAGTGATACTCTCGACTGGCTACCCTCACTAGAAATAGATGGAACCTTCCTTAATGGAGTTCCTCCTGATGTCACCTTGTCTGTCAGCTGTGATGTCTTTTCCACTGAAGTAGTTTCTGGGGTTCCAGTCAGTTTTGACTGTGACTTTGTGATATGACTGGCGACCTCATCTAAATCATCCTGACTTAATGGCTGAGATTTTTTGCGTTTGTGCACAATTACTACTACTTCATCATCACTAAAAATATAAAAAGATTGAACAATAAAATAAAAAGAGATTTACATTTATTTATTCTAAGAGAACCTTCGAACAGAATATACATGCCTTGATCAAATGGTGCTATTAAAAGAGCACCTGTTGGAAACAAGCCCCTGTACAAGTCTGCTTACCTGTCCTCTTGAATCAGTCTTTTCTGTGGAGAATCTCTCCCTGTTACACTTCTGAAAACATTCTTTTGAGTCTCCTCTGAGTCCCTGATTTTTATGTTCTGTACATCTGGCTGCTTCAGGGTAAAGCTATGACTGGACACCTGGGATTGGGACTCCATTGTCCCAGGTATTGCAGAATGGGACTCCATTGTCACAGGTATTGCAGGTGGTGTGTCTTCTAGACTGAAGGTAATCAGAAAAGTTAAATTGATATTAAGTTAAATATACAATGTAAGTATCTCTACCTCAGCTGGGCTGATAAAAAAAACAACTTTAAGATCACAGTTTTCAAGATCTCAATCCTAAACTACAGTTGAAACGTTGGACTCACTTCAAAATGTCCTTGGTATTCAACATACCCAAACTGATTTGTGATACCTAAGTTCAACTATAATTGAATTCCAGGCAAAAAAATATTAACATGTAATAAACATTATCACAAACTGTTAAACTTCTTTACTTACTCCACACATAGATGACTGGGCCCCTGCTCTGGACTATCCAGAATATAATGACTAGGCCCTGCTTCTTGACTGGTTCTTTCACTTGCCTTGTCTTCAACTCCAGGTTTGGATGATTTTCCATTCAATATTTTTGGATGTAAAAGCTCCCCATCTTTTGGCAATGACAATGCAAAGTTTTCTGCAAAACAACAATGCTATTTATTTCCTTACAATCAAACCAATCAGATATGAAGCAGCAAACGAAAATTTTTATGTCTCATGTCCTAAATTTTTTTTTAAAAATGACACTCTATTGCATTTTTCACCTGATTCAGAAGCCATTGTTACATCCATTACTCTGCTTTTGGTCTCTGAAGCCAATTTCCTAAGTTCACTAACATCTATGTCCTGGTCTCTATCCAGTTTGGATGGCTGAGAAAGACAAGCTTTTCTCTTTTGCTGCAGTGTCTGCTTTTCTGTTGAAACATATATGTACATGAAGGCCTTGAGTAGTTGCTGAGAAAACTGTGATAGAAATTTGGTATGGAAAGACATAGGGATAAACAGGAAGTTGACATCAGATTCATACAAAAATGAATCCCACCATGTGGCATGCCTTAAACAAGAGGCCCATGGGCCACATCGCTCACCTGAGCACATTTGTTGGGCAACAGCACAAATCGGTTCAGTATTGAAAAGTTTACGGGAAGGGGGGGGGGGGGAGGGGGGGGGATTTTAAACTACCTGATGATGCTTCCATGTCAATATAACAAATGGCTTTGTTGTACTTGAGAAGATTTTTAAAAATTTTGATCCCCCATTGTGGCTCCTCCCTATCCAAGGGGTCATCATTTCAACAAACTTGAATCTACGCTACCTGCAGATTCTTCCATATCAATATGATAAACATAGCTTTTCTGTTCTTGAGAAGAAATGTTTTTTCTATATGTTCTTATGTAAAACTTTTGATCCCCCATTGCCCCCCCCCCTCCACCCCAGCCCCACCCCCGGGTCATCATTTGAACGAAATTGAATTTAAACTATCTGAGGATGCTTTCACATCAAAATGACTATACATGATTTTCAGTTCTTGAGAAGAGGATATTTTCCTATATGCTCCTATGTAAAATTTTCAATCCCCCATTGTGGCCCCACCCTATCCCCGGGGGTCAGCATTTGAACAAACTTGAATCTACACTTTCTGAGGATGCTTCTATCAAAATGACTAATCATGGCTTTGCAGTTCTTCAGAAGAAGATATTTTCCTATATATTTCTATTTAAGACTTTGATCCTCCATTGTTGCCCCACCCTACCCCCAGGGGTCATGATTTGTACTAAATAGAATCTATACTACCTGAGGATGCTTCCACATAAATATGATTAATCATGACTTTGCTGTTCCTGAGAAGAAGATTTTTAAAATTTTTCCTATATATTTTTATGTAAAACTTTGATCCTCCATTGTGGCCCAGCCCTACCCCCGGAGGTCATGATTTGAACAAACTTGAATCTACACTACCTGAGGATGCTTCCATATAAATATGACCAATCAGGGCTTTGCTGTTCTTGAGAAGAAGATTTTTGAAGGTTTTCCCTATATATTTCTATGTAAAACTTTGATCCTCCATTGTGGCCCCGCCCTACCCCGGGGGTCTTGATTTGAACAAACTTGAATCCACACTACCTGACGATGCTTCCATATAAATATGACTCATCATGGCTTTGCTGTTCTTGAGAAGAAGATTTTTAAAGGTTTTTCCTATATATTTCTATAAAACTTTGATACTCCATTGTGGCCCCGCCCTACCCCCAGGGGTCATGATTTGAACAAATTTGAATCTACACTACCTAAGGATGCTTCCACATGAGTTTCATCTTTCCTGGCCCTGTGGTTCTTGAGAAGAAGATTTTTAAAAGATGCTATTAATTTTTCACTAATTCTTTATTATCTCCCCTTAAAAGAGGTGTGGCCCTTCACTTGAACAAATTTGAATCCCCTTCACCCAAGGATGCTTTGTGGCAAGTTTGGTTGAAATCTGCCCAGTGGTTCTGGAGAAGAAGTCGAAAATGTGAAAAGTTTACAGACAGACAGACGGACAGACAGACAGACAGACGGACAGACGGACTACAGACAAAATGTGATCAGAAAAGCTCACTTGAGCTTTCAGCTCAGGTGAGCTAAAAAGAGTGTGCTAAAATTTTAAGCATCTGTGATAAGTAGTTGCTGAGAAACTGTGACAAAAATTTGGTATGGACAGACGCATGGATAAACAGGAAGTTGACATCAGATTCGTACAAAAATGAATCCCACCATATGGCATGCCAAAAGAAAAAGTGTGCTTAAATGTCAAGCATCTGCAAAGAGTAGTTTGCTGAGAAAACTAAGGGCAGGCAAACAGACAGACAAACACAAAGACCAACAGACAGAAACACAAGGGTAAAACAGTAGATGCCCCTCTCCTTCAGGGTGGGGGTATAAGAAAAGGATGTATGCTCAATTACTCAATACAAACCTGTGACTAGATCCTGACTTTTGACCAGTGGAAGCCTTGTTCTGTTTTGGTCTGGGACTACCTCTATATCTGTTTCTCTGCCCGATTTATCACTCTGTGATGGTGTCAATCGCAAGGACAACTCCTGAGATTCTGGCACTTGGTCCATCTCTGTGAAATCATTTAGACATTGTTCAGCAAACCCACAGTGTAGTATCTCCAAGTGCATATATATTTATTACCACTTGTTTTGAAAGTTAAGGTTGAATGACTCGTTTAAAAATTTACTTCTAACACAATCTTTTTTTTAAAACTAATATTACCTTCTTTTTTTAAATGATACATTCATTTGACATTGTTAACATGTCTTATAGAAATCCTTTTGCTCTTTGACAATGTGAAACTCTAATTACAAATCTGCTCTGGTTTTGGCAAACAAGTATGCATGAGTAAAGTTCAAATTCCTAATGCATTCTCATTTTTATATACAAATACAATTAATTTAAAAGATATTTTTTTTAATTTTTCATTTATTTGTACCTGTAGGATCAGTGCTGTGGATAGAAATGACGTCCATGAACTCAGTTCCAACAACTTCTACCGAATCAGCTGTGTGTTTCTGGAGAAATTTTTTTTGTTTCAGTTCATTATTTTCCAAGATAATTGATTATATTTACAGAATGGCACAAGTTATTTGCCTTTGTTGAAATTGTGCTCTTTTTATATTGATGATGCAATATGTTTCATAATTATTGATGATGTAAGCCAAGACCATGTTAAAATTTGAACTATCCAAATCTATTGATGCTGAGATAATAAGGTTTATGAATTACATGTCAAATGAAATACATTAGGTAATTGACCATACTGTACTGTACTAAATGTATAATCGACATGTTGCAAGTTTTAAAACAAAAATTATTCAAAAGAAACATACTGGTGAGTCCAGATAGGTGTTTCAGATCTCAGTGATACAACTGTATTTTCTAGATTATTTAATGATGTTGAAACTTTGATCTTTCAAATAAAATATTGCTTCCTTGTGATCCACTTTTTAAAATCAGCTAATTTATAACTAACACCATATTTTTTCATCCAAATGCTCCTTTCAAAATTTTATATAAAAACCATATGAACCATTGATATGGGATTCAGAGAAACTGTAAACATGTGTATGTGTCGAATATTACAGAAAAATTAAATCTATCCAAACAAGAGGTACTGTGAGTGAGCTCTCAAAATAATAACCCCAATATGATATTGCCCTTTTATAATTTTGTAAATATGATCTTGAACTTGCCAAAATGACCTTGGTTAAAAAATGATATATCTTCTGGTCATAAGAATATGGACATTCATTGTCTCTCCATTCGGAAATTATAGACCTAACATGAATTTTACTTTTCTGCTAGTGACCTTGACCTTGTCACAATGATCTTGGTAGATTCAAAACTAAGTCAGGGCTCACATCAACTAAAAATTTAAATTCAAGGATATCCAGCTAAAAATTATAAAACTCCATCTATTTCCAGCAATATTTTTCCATTAGCTTAAGTGTACAAAATTTTGCAGGAGCTACATGTACCTGAACATGAGATGACCTTCAAAATCTCAGAGAGCGTACATATACTTACCTCTACATGTGATGACCTCTGAGTATCAGAGTAGTGTAGATGTAGTTACCTGTATACATGTGATGACAATTGAGTCTTGGAGTAGTCAGTAGTGTATATATAATTACCTGTACATTTGAGGACCTCTGAGTCTCTGAGTAGTGTAGATGTAAGGATTGGTCATCTGAATTCCCAGCCAAAGTAGACACCCTCTTTGGATCATACTCTACTGACTGGAATGAAGTCATAAACACACATATGAATTATCCTCAAAGATGAAAACATGTTACTGGACTATTCTTCTGTAAGACTTGACTTAAACTTATTAATTTATAAAATATATGGGCATAATTAATTGTTATAATTAACCTCTGACTTGGTCTTCTGTTCCTCTTCTTCCTCTTTCTCCTCAGAGGAACTCCGAGTCTTCTTCACTGGGTCCTCAGGTTTATCAGACTTCATTTTCTATATATAAAAAAAATAAGGTATAATAGCATCACATATTTGTTCACAGTAAAAACTAAACCAACATTCTTTATATGCACATAAAACAATAAACCCTGTATTGTAATCTCTGTCCTCTAATGCAGAGTTGCGGAAAACTGCTGGTCATGCCGGCAAAACAGTTAAAAATGCATGTGACCGGTAAAAACGCCATCGATGTCGGTCCAAATGACCAGCCCTTTTTCTGGTTAAGTTTTGTTTTTCCTCTTATCATTGGCACACTTTCCAGCCCAATTACCATAGAAAATATCACATGCAATAACGCAATACTTTTTCTTTATACAAGATCAAGGCTAATGAAAGCAAAACCAGCATGGCCACGTAGCCCATTAAATTTACAACTGGAATGAAACCAGGTAAAAAACATAAAGTGACAGATGAAGACAAAGCTAAATATAAATAATCTCAACAGAAAGAATCCAAACCCGTTGGAGAAAGTGGTAAATCTTGTACTCCTGACTGTCCTGGATTTCGGTTTTTCATTGATCCTGTTTATATCTTGATCATCAATGCACAGAATTTCTTCAAATTTCTCAGATACATTTTCTAGGTTGATATAAATTCCCCAAAGCATAAATGTTTCAACAAAATTAGGTATACTATGCTGAATTAGCATTGTCACCTGCCCAAAAGAGGTAAATCTAGTACTGTGTTATAAATGCAAAAGCCAAAAGAGACAACCTAGAAATGGAGACTGAGTATATGTTATATTATTATGAAGTAAAAAGATGTGTAATGAAGTAAATAAATTTTATGGGGGTTTTTTGTTGCATTTTTGCGACTTAAGATTTCGAACTGACTAAAATCACTTCGGACTGGCTTATTTTGACTTCTTGCCAGTCTGAATGACTGGCTATCTGAAAAAGTTTTCCACAATTCTGTATAAATGTTACCTGAAGAACAGTGACATCATCTGCCAGGGTGGGGTCCTGTTGAGGGTCATACTGAGCTGGGTTATCTACGGAGTCATCTAGTGTAAAACAAGATTTACATGTAATTAGTTCCACTCAATATGATCACATAAAATAATTAATTTTTAATAAAAGTGCAGAATTTGGTCTCATATCTATTTCAATGTCAATATACAATATAAAATGTCCCTCTTCATTTTCAGTCTCTGTTTTATGACTGATACGATGATTGAATCATCAAAATAATACTTAGAATTTTTTCAAGAAAAGATACTTATTGCAATTCATAGTCTGAAACCATGTTCCACTCAATCATTTTATTTACTCCATTTTTGCAAAGTTAATTTGTTGGAGTACACATATATTAAAAACAATAAAAGAAAAGATGAGATCTGCAAGTTAAATTCTCTGGCAGTACCTCTAATTTTTATGCACAGTTAAGAAGTTATCACTGTCCCCTATCTTTCCAAAAGTTAACAGGTAAACAAGTCTCAGACACAAATAATGATGACTACTAATTCAGCAAGGAGCTACGCAACCAATGGACAGCAAACAGTCTCTTAAACTAAATGATTGGGTATTATGGTTAAATGGTAACAAATCAAATACACGTCTGACCAGTCTCCAAAAACTTCTTGAGAAAAGGTAACTATCCAAAACATCGCAATATTTATTGCCATGGGCCATCAAACATTGCAAAATATCGCAATGTAATTCTTCTATACCCTCCCTTATTTCCCATATTCTATGAAGAGTGCCCCTTCCTTTATTAATAACACCTGACTTTGTTTTACTTACCTTTAAAAGACCCATCAGTGGGTGAGCTGGGTATAATTCTTGGGAGATCAGCAAATTCTTCAGGGGTGGAGGGAAAGGGGTCAGACTCAGTAGTTTCAGGGACTAGCATGGGCTGATTAGATAAATGTAAAGATCCCACAAACCCTGCTGGGGTACAGATGTCTCTATCCTCATCTGCAATCACAGTTATTTTTTTAACAGCTGTTGTATTTTTTTTTATTTACATTCCACATGTATTTTGCTTATAAAATGTGTGGAAAGCTTCCGCTTTCAACACACCATAACACAGATGTCACAAACATTTAATGCAGTGTTAGTGCAATGTCATAAGCGAAAATCAAAATTCATGCTCACATTGAAGAGTTTAGGGGGTAGAAACTGTTGAAATGGCTCTTCCATTAATTGAAACTTAGCCGAAGGATAATACAGGTATTTTGAAATATAAATTACATTTGCAGATAAGGCAGTGAGTTAAAAAATGTGAATACATGTACAATCATTGAATTATTTTTTTTTAAAAATGTAGTCTCATAACTGCAATAGTGTGTGCAAACAAATTTTCAAAACATGTTACTCAATTTGTTTGCAGTTATGAGACTACATCTTTCAAAAAATAATAATTTAATGCTTCATTAAAAGTAATTCAAAGCAGATAATAGAAATGGAATAAATCTTTCAACAGTAACTGTTTAACCAGGGGTGTGCAATTAAAAAAAAAATTAGCACTAGCCCATGGGCTAGTGGCAGCAATAAAGTTACTAGTCCCAAGTAAAAAGTTACTAGCCTAAATGTAGGGGGGGGGGGGGGGTATCAACTAATATTAAAAGAAAATTAATAATTTATTGTTGATATCATTCTTTTTAAAATTAAAGTTTAATTCTCACTAGTAAAATTAAATCATGTAAAAGTTAATAATTATCATAGTAAATAAAAATGAATTCAAATAAATTATCTTATCTAAAATGAAGTGAAAATCATTTTTTCATCTCAATTCATTAAATACGCTGGAAGTATATTTTATGTAAACCACATAACACTTATCTTTCAGTTGATTGAGTGATCGTAAATAATTTAATGAGATATCTGCATGTGTATATACCATACACAGAGGAATAGAGGAAATTCGGATTAGAAAAAAACGATTGTTTTTGGAAGTAAATTTGTCAGGTACGTAGTACTGCAAAATGGATATGATTATGGAGATTTACGAACAATAGGAGCATGCTGCCGAAAATTTGTCATTGCTTGAGAATTTATTAGCAAAAAATGAGTGAAAATACCGATAGTGATATTCATGTATTGCATTGGTAGTTTTAATTTTTACTAGCCCAAGGGGCTACCTACGTGCAGAAAACTACTAGCCTGACCCCAAAAAATGGTAGCCCCGGGAGTCTGGTGATGCTAATTGCACACCCCTGTTAACTAAATTATTCCATAGGAAAAATTCCACTTTCATCAACATTTTAAATGATCTGGAATTTTGTTGCAAACGTTTTTGCACAGAATGCCTGATAGCTGTAATCTTTAAATGTGGATTTTCCGATACAATAGTTGTTTACACACATTTTGCATGATACTGTACTGTGAAAGCAGAAATTTGTTGGGTATCAGATTTCATTTATTTCATAGATAACATTTATTGACAAAATTAAATTTCTAAGGAAAATTTTTATATAGTTCTATACACTACATGTATCTAATATGGTTACTTTTGAAACAAAATTACTTCCTGTTGAAATCATTGTAGATCACAAAACTACAAAATTTCAAAACTTAGCGTGGAAACCTGTGGATGTCGCATTTGCATTAGAAAAGGAGAAAAACGAACTTGATTTCATCATGAAGTTTTTATAAACATTTGTTCTCTAATATGTCATACTGAAAATACATGAAATCTATGAAAATTGGGAAATAAATTGGGAAATTTCTCAACAGATTTTTAATTTTCTGGTAAAATTTTGGAAACCTTACTCAAAACAGTTGGTTTTTGCATAATTCATGTAATTAAAAAATATATGAGATATAAGATAAAGATGTAAAGAATATTTTTTGTTATACATGTTTTTATCAAATTTCTACAGATAATGAGATAATCAGCAATAAATGTGCCCACTATTGCATTTTATCCTCATTCTGTCATAGCAGGAATTTATCTCTGGTAGTGAGCTAGTAAACTACATGTAGTGCTGAAAGGCAGCCTAGAGCTTATTAGTAGCAGGCTCTCTACAGAGAGTCTCTGGCAGTTAAAGAGTTAAATTAAAAGATTTAAAACACACAAGGTAATAGTGAATGCAGGGTTCGACACTAACGTTAGTCCGTTAGTCTCAGACTAATACATTTTAATTCGGACTAATAAAATTTGTGGCTAATTAGTCCGAACGGACCAATAAAAATTCCTGGAAAACAATATTAATAATTTACCAATGTCCGATTCTCCACAACTTTTACTGGAAAACCCCGCATTTATTTTTAGATTTCTAGCTTCTTGGCGGGTAGTTAGACATGAATAAGTGCTTAATTTTCAGACTGATTGATATGAAGTAAAACATTTTAGCTATCATAATTTATATGACACGCAAAAGAACGAGGTCAGACATTTTGGATGTAATGTAAAGAGAAAAAGAACGAGATCGGGAATACGATTGTACTCGTTGAACGCGAGATTTCAACGAATCTGTGCAGTGGAATAAATCATTTCACGTGAATGCTTTGTTTATTTAAAAAAAAGGTTAAAAACTATATTGAAATGTTTATTTTTAAATCAATGTTACAAAACATTGATGTTTCCTTTTTTTGACGGACTCATAAAATTGCATGCGGACTAGTAAAAGTAAAGAAACACTAGTCCAGCCGGACTAAAGCCTAAAAAAGTTAGTGTCGAACCCTGGAATGTAAATACTAATCCAACATACCTTCATTTTCAAACATATCCTGTGGAGACAAAGACCTGAATAATGCTGAAGTCCTGGAAAAGAGAGAATTTTATACTACTCTAATAGCAGTAAATTTCTTCTGAATATATTGCTGATCATTTGTTGCAATTTGAACTTTATATTTGTTCTTTTTTTTATTAAATCAAAATCCACGCTTACTTTCCATTACTACTCATTGTTGGCTTTTGACTCTCTGTCTTTCCTGGTTTCTCAATCACAGTGACTTCCATTTCTAACTCGGACTCACTTAGTTCTGTTTCAGTGGCTAAAATTTGTGGAGCTTCTGAAAAATAAATGTGTTTCCCCAACATCACTGATATTATCAGGGATAGACATTAACTTTTAGATTTACTTGCCCTTCGGACAAGTGATCTCAAACTTTGACTTGTCCGAATGCAAAACTTGGTTGCCCAAAATAATGAAAGAACTTCAGAATAAATTTTTATTACTGTAAATGTTATGACAAGAAAAAAATGTGACCAAATACACTACTGTCAATTTGGCAAGGTGAGGTACCTGAAGAAATTTCTATGATGCGTTTGTACATAAATGTATATCACTGTCCTTGTAAATTTAGCCTGTTAACACTGCCATATATAGCAATAACACTCCGTTTTATAAAATTCATATTTTTAAACTTATTTTCGGTAGGATTCTTTTGTGAATCGTGATTTTCTGAGATAACTGTGAAACAACGCTGAAGGAAGATAGTTGCTACGTAACATACATCGATCTTTACCTTAATGATCAGGATACATCGTGTTACTCTGTACTTATATTCTGTGAGTGAATAAATAATCTAATATCCAAATTTCCAGAGATGTTAGACGAACAGCATATTTACCAGGAAAAAAAACGGAATAACGACCGGATTTTCAAATGAAAGGTATAATCCAGAAATGCTGACAAGGAATTCCGAATGCAAAAACAATGTCAGTCAGGTACCTGGCGGAAATTAAGTCTTCAATTTATTGGGTTTTTTTTTTAATATAAATTAATGTAAACTAAATAAATATGTACATTTCTATGAGAAAAATTCACTTGCCCGATCGGACAAGTACGTCGTAAGATTCACTTGCCCGAACTGAGAATTTACTTGTCCCGGGCAATCGGACAACCGTTAATGTCGATCCCTGATTATCTTTAAAAGATGATTTATAATCTGTTTTACCTGATATTTTGAACTTGATTACAAGATGTCTCATTTACCTGCTGGTTTTTGTTCGTCTCCAGATGTGTCCATTACAGAGGTAATGCATTTTCTGGAAGTCTTAGCCTCTTCCTCCTGACAATAAAACATGAAAATTAAGAAATAAAATATTTAATGAAGTGTCTGTCTAATGAATGATACTAAGGAAACCCTTGTAGACTTCAATAAATTGGATATAAAATCAAAGATAATAGTTCAAAACTGATAATGACTGGTTGAAGTAATTGAAAATCATTCTTTTTACAAACCCTTTCACGTTTCACTAAATTAATGCTTTGACCCAGAAACTTATATGCATATACCAGTTACTTTGACATATTAATCATTTTTCATCATATGTAAATTAAAGCTACATATGGTGTATCTGAGCTAAAAAAAAAAAATAAAATAAAAATACAAGATTTTGTCTAGATAAACATGATATATATTTCTTATTTTCAAATTAAAATTTTCACTGATTTTTAACTTAAATAACATCATGTTTCCATAGTTATATTAACTTTAAACTGTGTCTGTTATTTAAATGCAGAGTCGGTAAATAAATTGGTTATTGTTTTAAATTTCTAATATCTTTGAAACGTGATTGATTTAAATTGTGTAGTTTACAGGAAAGTCCTATCTTTATATAAAGTAATAAAGCAAATAGAAAGATCTTTTTAGTTTTAGTAAGTCTGAACTTGTATAAAATACACCATATGACTTTAAGGCTTTGGTTTGAAAATATAGTGAATTAATAATCATGATACCAAATATCAACCTAAATTTTACGAGGAAAATGGGATACTTTTTACCAGACAATGACATATGTACTCACTGAATTAATATGCCCCATTACTACACTAACTCAATGTTTCACAGAATCTAGAACTCTTTATAATCATGTGTACCTTTTTTATCATATAAAATTCAAGTTACTTGACACTATAATGAACACATATTTGTTACATCGCATTTAGTATACTGAAATTGAGCTTGATATATTGACTTCCTACTTTCTGTTCTCTTGGCTGCAGGGCGGGCCATATCTGCATCACATCACCCTCGTCTGGGTTTTTGGAATGAGATTCTGACTGCGAGTCCAGTACCATGAAACCAACACTTCCCGGCTGTGTCTCAAAATCATACTCTATACTTGCTGAATCAGAATCTTCCGCCTCCATCTGTCATCGATTCTGCATTATGAATAAAAAAAAAAATAACGTTAGTGGTAGTCCATTTTAATACATGGCTTTCCAGTCTGAACCTAAAGTAAATCGTCAGTCTGTCCAGAGACATATTTTTATATGTCTCTGGTCTGCCAGAATTCTTTGCAGAAAAAAAGAATTATTGTCCTTACCTTGAGTTTCACTAACAGCAATGAACATCACATCTTCATAAAACAAAACTAAAAACCACAGCCTGATAACGGTTAGTTACAGCACCTGAGCCCAGTATGCATCATCACCGTCTATGTAGAATGCTTTGCAATGTTCAACAGCTAACAGCGTTTTCAACGTGAATTCCATCAACAGTCAGTAGCCTATTTAGTTAATCTTTTGTTTAAATGCACCATGTGCAGCACGGATCAATTCATGGTACATTTTAGGTAGTTGTATTTTAAACTATAGAGGAAATTCAGAAACATGTTGACACTTCCCGCGCTCCATTGTAGCCTCGAAACAAACAGATAATAATTGTTAGATTGGCCTTGCTTGTCTGATATACACGATGAAAAGTATGGTTATTGTCCATTTTTAAAAACAATTGAAATAATAATTTTCAAAGATTTTACAATATTTCTCAGTAATATGATTTTTATTTTAGAGTAAAGGATCTGTCAAACAAGGCCGATAACTTTCTTTTCTTCCGGTTGAGGCGAACTGATCGCAAAGATCAGACATGAAGGTAGCTAAAAATTTGAAATTCGTCTCTATCGAGCCACAATACATCAAATAAATACATCAGTGAAATATTTCAATAAATGATGCTTTACTCAGCTGCCATTTTGAGCTATTGCAAAGATAGGAATCTTCGATGTTGGTAGATTTTAGCACTACGACCCCACATGTTTACCATGATTTTAATGTTCAGTACGGTAGTCGTTTGTACGATCAGACAGACAGATGAGGAGAAACACATTGCGACTTCAGCTTCGTTAATAGATGATGAAAAACAATATTATATTATTTTATATTGATATTTTATGGAGCCAGAAACACACTTTTACTAAAAGTTATCGTTGGAGGAACCAGAGACATATCAGGGACCTATATAGTATATATATATTATACTATATAGGATATAGGTCCCTGGACATATAAAAATATTACATGTCTCTGGAGAAACCAAAATATCTCATGGTTAATAATAAGCCTATTAATTATGTATACCCTATGATTTATCCTGTATAAACAGCAGAGTCCTGTATGAATGATGTCCTTTTCTGCAGTGATAGTAAATCATTTGGTGCTGCTTTAAATGATAACTATTGTATTTTTCTGTTATTATAGCTCAACATCTCATATCCAGCCACTGGCTGTCAAAAACTCATCGAAGTTGATGATGAAAAGAAATTGAGACCTTTCTATGAAAAGAGGATGGCTTCTGAAGTTCCAGCAGACAGTCTTGGTGATGAGTGGAAGGTTGGTAGGGTGTATTTCATAAATTGTTGGATAAAAGTTTGTGAAAGTACTTCTTGTTGTTAGAATTTAGATATCGATATTTTGAATCAGCTAAATTACAGTGCTTACTCAAGAAGGTAATTCAGTGACATGATTTTAGTTATTTCAAAATTTGATGTGAGTGTATTAGTATTTGGTTTGCAGGGGTATGTCTTGAGGATTGCAGGAGGAAATGACAAACAAGGATTTCCAATGAAACAGGGAATTCTCACCAATGTGAGAGTTAGACTCCTTCTTAGCAAAGGGCATTCCTGCTTCCGCCCAAGGCGTGATGGAGAACGTCGCAGGAAGTCTGTCAGGGGGTGCATTGTGGACTCCAACCTCAGTGTTTTGGCTATGGTCATAGTGAAAAAAGGTTTGACAGATTGTTCTATTTTGCCGATTCAGAATTTAACTCATTTCACTGATTGCAAAATTTAGAAAGATGATAAAGATAAATCATATAAAATAAGTATTGATCTTGGAAGTAAAAAATTCTGATTAATACTTTTGTAATTCATCAGTTTGTTTGTAGTGTTTATGATGTATCAACATTTCTAAACCCAACTCTCTGAATCTATTAAGATTTTGACGAGAGCATTATTCTGAAATGCTGCAAACTGTTGATGACTTGTTAACTAAGACTTTTCTATTCTTCTATATGGATTTTGAACATTTCTTGGTTATGTCACTTCAGAGTTGGTTGACATTTTAGTAGTTTCTTCCATTGCTATTTTAGTGTTTTTATTCAGTCTTCCATCAGATTTTGAAATGTTGAAACTCTTTCTTCTGTCGGTAATTAAAATTGGAGCAGGGTTATAAAGTTTTGGTAAGAAAAAAGAAGACAATGGCGATGATTTTTCTTTCCATGTTTCCTAAACAGTTGCAAATTTAACACTGAACTATGGAATGTCAGCTTCTTGAAAATGTTAATAAATTAATATTTCACTGCTAGGGGTGAAACGATACACCTCCATCACGGTTCAATACGCATTGTATAATTTTGTCTTGGTACGGTTATTTTCGATACGATACATTTTCATAGAAGGAAACAAATTCAACCTTGATTTATGCTTTCTTTTACTAAATCTAGTCACTTAATTTAGGAATTTTATTTGCAAATTGACTAGAAGAAATTGATAAGAATTATTTGACTGTCAAAAATTATTTTACAAACTATCAATCATCAAAAATATACGTTTTATATACTTATTTATACTGAGTAACGTGTTTTACCTTATGCCAAACCTGACTGAATAACAATCCCGACTGAAAAATGAACTGAACTGAAAATTAGAGATTTTCCACCATGTATCAAACCGAGAAAAAATATCGCGGTGAATCGATACTGCGGTGAACTGTTTCACTCCTTTTCACTGCCATGATTTATTGACAGTTAAACCCTCACTTTAAGGTGATTTGTATGGAATTTTATATTAATATATTTTTAATGAAAATTACTTAAAGCTTAAATCTTCCTCAGTCTATAATTTCTCCATAAAAGTTAAAAAGAAAAGTATTTAGCCAAATTACAGATTACCAGGAAAAGAATCTGTTTTTTGTGATCAAGTCGCAAAGTTCACAATCACAATCCTTCAGCTTTACCTTTAATAAAGATTCTTTTGTCTTTGGTTTCCACTCTGCATCATTCTAAGGATGTTGAAAGTCACATACCTTTTAAGTTCAGAAGTAGAAACACATTTATTAAAAAAAATCCTTTGAAGATCCTTTGTGCATGCACTAGGTACAACTCAAGTCGTGTACAGAATTCTAAGAAATGCTATTTTCTGCATTTTACAAACTCATTTCAATACTTCCATAATTTCTTATCATCCAGCAATTTGTGTGTCTATGATGTATTTAAACATTTCTAAACCCATCTCTCTGAATTCAGAATTTTGACGAGAGTTATTTTTCTGAGACGCTGCAAATTGCTAATAGCTTTTTAACTGTAACAATTACAAATTTATGTTATTCTTGAAATGAGCTGAAATTTTCCTACCAGTATTATTATCCTGTAATCTTTCTGTACACTAATTACATTATTTTCATTATGTCTAGGTGAGAAGGAGATTCCTGGTCTTACAGACAACACAATCCCCCGTCGGCTTGGACCTAAGAGAGCCAGCAAAATCAGAAAGCTGTTTAACCTTTCCAAGGAAGATGACGTCCGCCAGTACGTTGTTAGGAGGCCACTTGCAGCAAAGGAGGGTAGGTTGTCCAGTAATGATTATGGAGTCTTGTTAGTTGTAAATCTGTGCCCAGTTTTTAGGGGTTATGGATGTACAGTATAATCTTTGTAGTCTGGTCAGGCCAAAAAATAATAGTCTTGTTTCCTGCTACCAGCCTGAAAAAAAAAGGGTAGATAGAAAATTATTTTATTTTATCCGTCGGAATTTTTTGGATAATGAACTAGTACAAGATCAAATTAAAAATGTCACAGGTCAATATTGTCTTTTAAAATTAAATTCCATGTCTTTTGATGCACAACTCGAGTGGTATTTTATGAAAATCAATATTTAAAAAACAAAATTTCATGAAATGCAGTTTTGTGTTGACATGGAAACAGATTATGGTGACAGAACGATGTAATTCCGGATTTTTTTTTTCTCCAAAAACTAAAAAAAAACTTTAGGGTCAGGAAAAATAAAATAGGGTCGGTCGGGTAGCAGGAAACAGGACTATTTTTTATGCCCCCGGATCGAAAGATCCCGGGGGTATATTGTTTTTGTCCTGTCTGTCTGTTCGTCTGTCTGTCTGTTGTCAACTTTATGACTTTCATATTTCACATGTGTATTCCTTGTGACAAGACCTTTCTTTGAGTACCATCAAATTTGACCTTTTGACCTTGACCTTGGAGTTTGACCCACTTTTGCAAAATTTTATGAGACTTTAACCTTGGCCATAACTTCTGAATAGTTGGTGCTTGGGGTTTCAAACTACACATATGTATTCTTTGTGACAAGGCCTCCCTTTGGATACCAACAACTGTGACCTTTTGACGTTTGACCTACTTTTGAAAAACTTTAACCTTGGCCATAACTTTTGAACAGTTGGAGCTTGGGGTTTCACACTTTACAGGTATATTCCTTGTGACAAGACCTTCCTCTGGATATCAACCTCTTTGACCCTTTGACCTTGACCTAGGAGTTTGACCTACTTTTGAAAAACTTTAACCTTGGACATAACTTTTGAACGGTTGGAGCTAGGGCTTTCAAACTTCACATATTTAATCCTTGTGACAAGACCTTTCTTTGGATAACAACCACTTTGACCTTTTGACCTTGATCTAGGAGTTTGACCTACTTTTGAAAATTTTAACCTTGGCAGGGTTCGAAATTCACCATATACAACTCGCAAAATGCGAGTTAGAATTCCCAAATTGCGAGTTAAAAATTAGGTAACTCGCAAAAACTTGCGAGTTGATTTTTTTGCATTGAAACTGTAGCAAAATTATATAATACGACAGAACACAATGTTTTTGATTTAAATCAGTAATTTAAATAGAAGTCACACTGTAGTTGTATTTTGTGTATTGTACAGTAGTTACTTTTTCCTTAAGTTACATGTATTTAATTTATATAAATTTAACTTTATACGAAAATTGCGAGTAGTCTTATAAAATTGCGAGTTCACTTTCTTGGTACTCGCAATTATTTGCGAGTTGTAATTTTAGGGAGTTTCTAACCCTGCTTGGCCATAACTTTTGAATGGTTGAGGCTAGGGCTTTCATACCTCACATATGTAATCCTTGTGACATCACCTTCCTTTGGATACCAACCACTTTGACCTTGACAAAGGAGTTTGACCTACTTTTGAAAAACTTTAACCTTCGCCCTAACTTTTGAATGGTTGGTGCTAGGGCTTTCATACTTCACGTATGTAATCCTTGTGACAAGAACTTACTTACTTGTAAAAAACTTTAACCTTCGCCATAACTTTTGAACAGTTGCAGCTAGGGCTTTCAAATTTCACAGGTATATTCCTTGAGACAAGACCTTTCTTTGGGTACCAACATTTTTTTTTTATTTTTTGGCCTGGATTTTGACTTGCATTTGAGAAACTTTAATCTTCGCCATAAGCTGCCATACGGGGGCATCAGTGTTTCACAAACACATTTTGTTTTTTTTTTGGCCTTTAAAATGAGGGGGTGGGGGATTTGATGGATACACAAGATCAGGAATGCAGGGGGAAAATGGACTTTCTATTGTTGTGGACTAATATTACATCCTGAAAGGCATGGATTTTAATCATTTCATTCTATTACATAATTAATATATTCCAACAATTTTAGGGAAGAAAATTTCTTACTATGGATGGGACTATATTGATAGGTAAAAGTTGCATTAATCAATTAAATGTAATTTCTGATAAAGGTTTGTGTAGGGTATGACTGACTTCTCCCTTCAAAATGCAAGAGTCTTCGAGTAACCAGGGTTTTTGTTACAAGTTGACTTCAGCATTTTGGTTACAAGTTGACGTTGGGTTCGCTATGACTTGGTTAGGAATCTGTCAGGTTATGAGTTGACATGATGCTGCCTACTTTTGTGTCTATTGCTTGTTTAAGTACATGTATTATTCTTTACATTATTAAAGAAATCAGACTTCAAAATTTAGACAGAGATCATTTGAACAAATTTTATTATGGCTTTGATGTCTGCAATGATGAAAAACTCTCAGCTCACTTTGAAATAATGTGAAAACAAAACTGTTGACAGAGCAGACCTTTAATGCCATTCTTGCTTTTGGCTGAAAATGCAAACAAAGAAACAAGACACAGATATATCAGCAACATTCTTTATTTTTGAGTTACTTCCCTTAGAATCTATTTTAATTCATAGTGGTAAAGAGACTGACTGAGTGTTTCTATAATGTAATTTTCTTTATTGGAAACACAATTTTTATAGAAAATATTGGCATGGATTTGTTTTTCAATGTTTGTTCGTATTTACTAAATAGTGCCTCCTTCACAAGACCTAGAAACTGTTCTCAGTATTATTTATACTGAGTATATTATCTCAATCACAATTTTATATGCGAAAAAAAAACAACATGAATTAAACCTTTTTTCTACGGATAACCGTGCCTTACCATTGTCCTTAAATCTATTTTCAATTTTATGTAGCCTTAAAAAAAAATTTATGGAGAAACCAGCAAATGTAAGTGTAGTAGTGGCCTTTAGTGAAGAATAACACCACTTATGGGTTCATCGTTTATTATTAAATACTTCAGTGTTGATATGGATGGACACAATGATAATATAATTGTTGTAGTTATAGTTTTAAGCCATGTAATAGGAATAAACAATATTGAGTATAAAAAATCAACAATAAACTTACAAGGGAATATGTATATTACAAGAAGGATAACTCTTGCTATCTTCTTAAAGTTTAAAGTACTTTACAAGTTATTTCCCTTGACTGCATTAAAAATATATTAAAAACATTAATTCTGATAATGAATATTATGCATATACAATATTACTCCATAAATATATACATTTCAATGCAACTATTTCACATTACATTTATCTATGATAAAAGTATTATATTTCATATGCTTATCAATTAATCACCTGTTTATGGAACAAGGCTTAAACTCAATAAGCTGCCTGAATCAAGTCTCGGGTATACTACATATCAACTGTAAATAATAATTTAACTATATAACTTCAAAATCAATAATCAGATCCCATCAATGAAATTGATAACTGATATTTATAAATTACTAAGGTCGAATGATAAAAGTAAAAGAAATAAACTTGATAATCAAATCAATTGAATTTACTCATGAATGATAGAAAATGCATAGATTAGATAATTTACAGAAATATTGAATCAGATATTAATCAAGATAATAAAATATAGAGTGCACTTACTATCTGTCAGTACATCTTTCAGGTCAATCAGGATAATTCAAATATGGCAGACTTCACATAGATACAGTCACTACATAATTATATATTATAAGAACTTTCCTCTAAGGAATCTAACTTTCTAATGAACAAAGGCAGTTCACCAAAAGCGGGAAAATATATAAAGTAAATCTATTGGTTCTTCAAACCACATGACATGTATCACATGTCTGAAAATGACCACATAGGTAAAATAGCCATAGGCATTAAATACCAAAAAGTCATTAATTGAAGAAGTCAACTAATGATCAATGAATAGCACAATAAAAGAACCAAGGGAGAATAGGGCAATACAGGAATGTGTATCCAATTGTGTTTCAACTAAATATATACAAAATGATGATGATGTAGATGATGATCAAGTGAAATAATTATAAAACAACAAGACACACAATATACTTTTAGTATCATTTATTAATCATAAATATATTGAAAATATCACCCTATTACATAAGAACTTGATATATCATGATTTATTGCAATATTTTCCAGAAATTGTGGTACTTTTTCTTCACAATACACAACCCCAGAATTAACTTGTGTCCTTTTTACTTCATCTGTGCCTGTAGAACCTGTAAGAGGGCTTGTTTACTTACGAATTACATTATCTTGTCACACAGCCTCATTGATAAATATCTTGTCACACAGCCTCATTGATAAATTCACTTAAAATTTCTCTTGGTGCTTTGCAATGATGAAAAATTCTCAGCTCACTTTGAAAACAAAAGTTTGAAAATTCAAAATATATCTGAGCAGAGCACTGAATGTTAAAATTAAGATTGCTCATGCTCACTAACAAATATTCCTATTTTAACATAAATTTTCTCTGTTTTACAGGCAAGAAGGCTAAGACAAAGGCCCCTAAAATCCAGAGATTGGTTACACCAGTTGTTCTTCAGAGGAAGAGACATAGGTTGGCTCTGAAGAAGAAGAAACACGCCAAGCGCAGGGAAGACGCTGCCGAGTACGCCAAAATCTTGGCACAGAGACTAAAGGAAGCCAAGGAGAGAAAGAGGAGCAGGTCTGGAAGCCGGACCTCAATGTCTGCCTCCACATCTAAGTGATGATGTTATTGTACAAATAAAAAAAATACTGAAGTACTCAAGCCTTGAGTTTTTTAGTCCCCCTCCCCCCTTTTTTGGAAAATTCAGTGTTCAATATCCAGTTTCGTCAGGACTCTGAGAACATAGGACAAACAAACAAAAACAAAGATGTGTTTGTGAAACACTGATGCCCCCGTGTGGCAACTTATAGCAAAGGTTAAACTTTCTCAAATGCAAATCAAATTTGTTGGTACCCAAAGTTAGGTCTTGTCTCAAAGAATAAACCTGTGAAATATGAAAGCCCTAGCAGCAACCATTGAATATATATGAAAAGGTTAATTTTTTTCAGGAGTGAGTCAAACATCAAGGTCAAAATTAATGGTGCCCAAGGAAAGGTCATCTCCCAAGAAATACACAGGTGAAATATGAAAGCTGAAGCACCAATAGTTCAAAAGTTATTACGAAGGTTGAACTTTTCGAAAAGTAGGTTACACTCCAAGGTCAAAGGGTCAAAGTTGTTGGTATCCAAAGGAAGGTCCTGTCACAAGGATTACATATTTGTAGTATGAAAGCCCTAGCACCAACCATTCAAAAGTTGTGGCCAAGGTTAAAGTTTTCCAAAAGTAGGTCAAATGTCAAGGTCTAAGGGTCAAAGTTGTTGGTATCCAAAGGAAGGTCTTGTCACAAAGATAACACATGTGAAAATGGAAAGCCCTAACACCAACCGTTCAAAAGTTATGACCAAGGTAAAAGTTTTTCAAAAGTAGGTCAAATGTCAAGGTCAAAGTTGTTGGTATCCAAAGGAAGGTCTTGTCACAAGGATTCCTTATGTAAAGTATGAAAGCGCTAGCAACAACCGTTCAAAAGTTATGGCCAAGGTTAAAGTTTTTCAAAAGTAGGTCAAGGTCAAAAGATCAAAGTTGTTGGTATCCAAAGGAAGGCCTTGTCACAAGGATTACACATGTGAAGTATGAAAGCGCTAGCTCTAATTGTTCAAAAGTTATGGCCAAGGTTGAAGTCTCATAAAATTTTGCAAAACTGGGTCAAACTCCAAGGTCAAGGTCAAATATGGTGATACCCAAAGAAAGGTCTTGTCACAAGAAATACACATGTGAAATATGAAAGCCATAGCTCCAACCAATCAAAAGTTATGGGCAAGGTTAAAGTTTTTGCGGACAAACAGACAGATGGACGGACAAGGCAAAAACTATATACCCCCGAATCTTCGATACGGGGACATAAAAAATAAGTTGGAGAGATTAATTTTAAAATGTGCAGTTTGAAAACATATTTATTAAGAAGTTTTTCTTTAAGTCAACCTTGTGTTTGCATTCTCACTAAATCTATACTAAAAATTTAAAGAAAAATTGAATTTACTTAATTTTGCAATTTAACAAATTAATTAAATCTTTAAAAAAAAAATGAAATACAAAAACTGTGATTAATAATCCTCTTTTTAACAAATTTTAGGTATCATGACTAATATGCTCAGGGAGGAATAATGTTTATGCAGTTTAGAGGTCAAACGGTCACTCAAATCTATCTGTGCACTTATTTATAAAAGTGTAAGGAAACCTAAAAGGTGTGGCCTGTTTTACACGTAAGGTAAAATTCCACTTCTAAATTAATGACCCTCTGTACACTAAAGCATTGATAAAATTTTATTGTAAAAGTTTGAGCTTGCTGCATAAAAATGAAACTCGTTCGTGTGTAGATTCAGATTACGTTGGGGTGTTCAATACAGGGTCATCAATCGACTGAAGCTCTCATTTTAGCATTAAACATTATCTACTCTACTGTGGCGAATCCACGGCCAAAGGGACATGATTTGTTCATCGATTCTAAATTCTATGTACGGTACCTTGTATGTGGAAGGTATTTGGTTCGATTTCCATGTTGAGTTGAAACGGGCGGTGACTTGGAAACTAGCCCATCACCAGTTGGTAAACAATACATGTAACCAACGGCAAAGGGGCTTTAATTAAATATAATCCTGGGAGGATTTTACCGACAGCGAAACAAGAACTCGGTAATGATAGAGTTGAAGAACAGGTTCAAAGGTTATTAGGAAAAGTGCCATAGAACCAGTTTCGTCGGACCAGGTCACTGATCATGACCTTCCTAGTTCCCAAGAAGAACGGACGATTTTAACTAATTCTGCACTTTAGAGTGATAAATACATACCCGGAAGTACCTAATTTCAAGAAAACTTGAGAATATAACTCAGAATGATGCTTACCTTCACGTGGCTGTGTTTCCAGCACACCACAGATTTCTGAGGTTTTGTTGGCAAGGTCAAGTATAACCAATTCAAGGCAATGCCTTTTGGGTTGTCAAAAGATAAGAATTTTTACAAAGCTAGTGGCAATTATTGAATGTTTCCTCAGGAAGAGACGGATTCAAGTTTTCATGTATCTAGACGATTGACTGATCAAGACCAGTACAGGGCATTGCTGTTGAGACAAATGGAAAAGTCCTTCAGTTGATATAGAATTGTCAACATACAGAAGTCCAATATGAACCCATCAAGTTATACATTATCTGGACTCAGATGTACAACAAAAGCCTTGTCCTTTCTTCAGAGGAGAGGTACCAGATATAGTAGAGGAGATTACTATAATATCAGACCAGGAAAGTGTTTTAGCTTAGGGAATTTTACGGCTCTTGGGCCTAATGGCATCGGTCATCGATTTGACTTCAATGGTCAGGCTACACATGCGGCCAAGAAGTTTTACCTGTTGTCTTTTTGGCGCCCACACTAAAAGTTTACTTCAAACTATTCCAGTCGCCCACGTGGCGCAGTAGTTAGTGCGTCTGCTCCAGAGTCGCGAAGTAAGAAGCTGATCCTTACCTCGCGGGTTCGCATCCAGTCCGGGACGTGGAGACCGGTCCTTCGGATGAGACCGTATAAACCGAGGTTCCGTGTCACAGTAGATGTTGGCACGAAAAATATCCCTCACTGCTCAAAGGCCCTGAGTGGCAAGTAAGGTATAAATATGCAGCCCTCCACCGACAAGTGGTGGCGTCTCCATATAAGTGAAAAATTCTCGAGAGGGACATTAAACAACAAACAAACTATTCCAGTGAAGGAAGCATTACCCTAACTGGTGGAAACAACCGGAAAATATTTTTCGGGGAGTGACCATATACAAGAGAAGCAGCCACACAGTGTGACCTTATGGACAGGTGCTTCATCACAAGGATGGGAGCTCATCTGAACGATTATCAGATTTCATGCACCTGGAGTCCCCAGTAGAGGAGTTGTCACATATAAACTAGTTAGAAATGAGGTCAGTTAGCCCTGATTCATTTTGAAGACATGTTGATGAAGACCAGAGTTCTGTTGAGATGCTAAAACTCGACTGTGGTGTCATACTTCAACAGAGAAGAGGGAACAAGGTCCTTCCAACTGTGTTGTCTAGTTTGGAGTTTGGAGATACTTCAATGGGGCAAATCGAGGGAAATATTGATTTGGGTTGCTCATATTCGAGGAAAGAATATTGTATTAGCAGATGATCCGTCTCGAGGTCGAATGGGAATTCGGACAACAGAATGGAACCAGAAGCAAGAGATTGTGAATAAGATTTTTCAGAATTCATCACTCCGAATGTCAACATGTTTGCAACAAGAGAGAACAAGAAGTTGCTCTCCCCTTCAAGATCAGTTAGCTTGGACAATACAGCTGTAGATGCACTCAGGGTGCCATGGAAATCGATTTTTACTTATGCATTTTATTCACCAATGTTGATCCCTCGGGTGCTGCAAAAGGTTCGGAAGGAACCATGCATGTTGGTGTTAATTGCACACCACTCTCCAAGGTAGTCTTGGTATCCAATTCTGCTAGAACTTCTGGTGGATACTCCAAGAAAACTGCCTATTACAGAAGACATGTTAACACAAAAGAGATGCCGATCCCGAGTCATTAAATCTCGTAGCATGGAAAATTGCAAGTCTGCCTCCTGTAAAAGAAAGTTTTCTCCGAATGCTCAGAGTACATAAAGCAGGCAAGGCAAGCTCCAACGCAGAGGATACATCGAGAAAGACTTGATTTGCAGAAGTCGGTGTAATGGACATGTTTCTCGATATTCAACCTCTTTAAAAGAGTTGCCCAACTTTAATTACATGAGGGAAAAGGTTGTACGGGTGTTGCTGGTTACAGAGCAGACATAGCTACCATACATGGAGGATGGAGAGGCAGATCCGTTAGTTTTAACGCAGACTTGTCAAGCTTGATGAAAGGTATATTTAACAGTAACTCGTGTGTTAGGCCTTTATGACCTAATTTGGACTTGCCTTTGGTTTTGTTAGCTTAATGCGAACCTCCATTTGAGCAATGTTAACGTGCCATATAATTTTTTTTTGAGCTGGAAAACATGTTCCTTGTGGCAATGGCAACAATCAGTGAACTGCAAGCTCTTTCTAATACTTATAATTTAAGAGTTGAACGAGCAGAGATAAGACTTCTCCCTGACTTGCAGTTTTTGGCAAAGATAAGGATAAATAAGGCATGGAAGCCTATATATGTTCATTCCAAGATTTGACCGTTTTGCGATAGATGTCCAAAACATTGTCCATGCAGAGATGTTTGGAAGAATATATAAAGAGAACACAGTAATTCTTCTTGGCTGCAGAAAATCTTTTCATAACATACCCCTGAGTTAAAAACAGAGCTGCAGCCAAGTCATCTCTTTCAAGATGGATTGTGTCACTTATAAATCATGTACATGAAAGCTCACAAAGTCGAGGACTCGAGGTTGAGTGATGAAGAACACATGACACTCGGCGTCTTGCGACTTCATAGACCTTGTACAATGGCGCTTCTATTCAAGAGATTATTCAGACAGACCACTGGGCTACAGAAACAACCTAGGTTAAGCGCTTCACCTTTTACCTGAAGGATATCGATGTGGGCTGAAAAGACACCTTCGCCAGAGCATCTGTGTTGGAGACAATTGACTGGGTGAAGAGAAAGAGGTGAAACTTAAGTAGTGGGTGATTGACATATTGATAACCTATCCCTCCTCTCCTTTGTATTCTACAAAGAACTACGCACGCTAACTCTCGATTCCCGCCTACATTTTACACCCATTTAATTCAATATTAATGGCAATTTGGCCATAAAATCTTTCTTGAATGCAAAGAAGAGTTCAATAGCAATATTGATTAATAATTTTAATACCAGTGCTAAAAAGTTAATTCCAGCTCTTTTTATAAGGGGGTACGTAGAGGATGTTTTCCATTGATATCGGGCTTGAAAGCTTCAGCATATTTTAAAATATTCTTGGATATGGATAAATGTTCCTTAAATCTTTTCTTATGTTTTACGCATATAAAATTAAACATATGCTACTGATGAAATACAACATTTAAGTTGTAAACCCTTTCGAAATTGGAGAAAAAACTAGCATTTTTGTCAGTTTTTGTCTGTAAACATATGCCCCCCCCCCCGTGAAACACAAAAAGCTTTGGTATGACGGGGGGAATGTTTTAAAAATATTTTCCGTTGATTTCTATAGTGAAAAACACAAGTTTTACCAAAATTATAGAGTTATCTCTCTTTGTTTTCCCAAATAAGTAATGTTTTATGAAAAATTGTATAAATATCTATATAAATATGAAAAATCATTCAAAAAATTTCTCACTTTTGAAAATTGACTTGGATGTAGGCGGAAGAACAATTCTATCGTTCGCAGTTCTTCGGTTTGTTGCAAATAATTGATGCAAGTACAGTGTAAGCATGGATATTGAAATAAACTTTTCTGTTTTAAAATGTAAAAGCCCTCTTTATAGGATATCCATACGTACCTGTACCTGCATCCCCTCCCACCTTCTAAGGTTATTATAAAGGTGGTTAATTTAATGGGTGTCGTCCCTCGCTTAAACTGAACGGAAGTAATGAAATGTTCCAGGTAGGGGGAGATAGCTCTAATGTTCAAGCATGATTGTATAGGAGCCGGGTATATTGGAAAAAGTTGATGCAGGTAAGTATATGGATATCTTATAAACAGGGGTTTTACATTTAAAAAGCAACATTTTATTACGACATAGGAAGTAAACGGAAGAGCTAATTTTAAAAACAACGATTCAATAGGTATAGCAGCAATAACAAAGTATTCTTCATTTTATTTTTCGGGGGGGGGGGGGTGTCCCAGAAACATCAATTTGAAAAATCGGAGAGGGCTATGTACATTATTGCAGCTGTTCGGTAAAAAGAGACACACACTCGGTATTGGTTATGCAATACTCCCAGAATGCTTCTTTTCGTTGTTTATATTGAGTATCTTCAATTTCACAAGGACCCTCCACACACTTTTGATTCATCTGAGTCACTCGGATGACCTATTGCCATCTGTTTTCGTCCGTCGGCGTACGTTAACATTTAACATTTTCAGCTTCTTCTCTGGAACTGCTAAACTAATTTCAACCATTTTTGGCACATAGCATCCATGAGTGAAGGAGAACAAAACTTGTGAATTTCATGGATCCCTGCCCCCCCTCCCCCCCCCCCCCCCGAGGGGGGCTTAGGGGTGGAGCTAAAACCATCAAAAATAGTGATATCTTTCAAAATCTTCTTCTTTACTCTCACAACCTGGACATCAAGCAGTCAAACTCTGCATGATTGTAATAAGCATTCATCCCTCTACCAAAATTGTGAAATTTATGAATTTCATAACCTGGGTCATGGGTTTTGGTGTTAGGGTGGGGCTGTGTTGATTCTATAGTGAAAATGCGTTATTTCTTTGAAAATCTTCTCTGAACCTGGGCATCTCGGAGGCAGAGTAAAAGTTTTAATAAGCAAGGGTATTTTTACCAGATTTTTGATATTCTGGACATTTGGTCAATTGTTCTGGTGCTGGCTAGGGCTCTATTAATTTGTATTCTACTGAGTGAAGTTATTCCCATTTGCCATTCATCTTTGATAATTAATTGAACTGTACGTAAATAATGTATATGAAAGGTTTATAGAATAAGAAAGTTATGCAAGAACTTTTATTTCACAATACGAAAAGTACTTTCATAGTTTTAATAATCAGGTAGACTTGTAAATACATGTAATAGATGAAGAAGAAAGAGACAAAAATAACTCATCTTATTAAATGTGCTTCCAAGATCAAGAGAGGCCAATGTGAGGGGTAAATTTATGGCGTGGTGATAGTGATAAATTGGGGCAAGCAGAACTTATGGGTTCAAGACTAAGTATTTCGTTGATCCTGATCATCCTATTTCTCTTATTTCTAGTTAACAAAGTTTCATCTAACAGTTTATTTTATACTTCTATGGATTCTTGAAATTGTTGTATTATACTCAGGTGACTATTAAGGCCCTTGGGCCTCTTGTTTATATTACTTATTTCTTTTGTTGTTGTTTTTATTTAATTTATTTTTATTTGTTTAATTGCCTACCAAATGAAAAAGGTGAAGATAAACAAACACTGAAAAACATACAAAACAAAACAAAAATTTTGAGCATGGCAAAACATTTAGTTCCCAAGAGTTGTGGGTTTATAGTCAGCCATATAAAACAAAATTACCGCCCCTCCCCTCTCAGTTATTTTTTTTTTAATTATTATTTATTTTTTATGAATTGATCTTGGGGTATATTTGACTTGCTGATTTTCATGTGCAATTTTTATTATATCGGAATTCTATAGTCCGTCATTACCTTTATTGAATATCGATATTTAAGTATCTACATAAACATCCGCTTATTACCACCACTTCAGCACACGTGACGTCGAAACAACTTTAACAAGATGTCTCTTGAAGCCACTATCGAAGCAAAAATAGCCTCCAAGAAGGTAATAGTGTACTCCAAAACCTATTGCCCATTTTGCTCCAAAGCAAAAAAGGTATTTGACAAGTATCTAAAGGATGGTCATGGAACTCTAAAAGCAGATGAATACGAGGTTATAGAAATAGAGAACGATCCTCAGTGTTCGGCCATTCAGGATTACATGAAGAAGAAAACCGGAGCTAGTTCTGTAAGTAGTGACTAAAGAATGGAAAATGATTAACTAATTCATTAATTATTATTTGGCTTCTATTTTGCTTTCTTAACTTAAAAACGACTGTAAATATCGCTGAATAAATGTAAATAAAATATAGATTAAAATTTCGCAATTTCTCAAATTTCCGTGATTATGATTGCAAATGAAAGTATGACTGGACGCGCAAAATCCGTAAATTAAACATCTGCATCAGTCTGTGATATTTTAATTTTAGTGAATTTTTAAGTTAATCTGGATTCTAGAAACGGTTGCAAATCAACAGAAGAATATATTTTTAGAAGTATAACATGAAAAGACTAGCCTTCCGAATGTAAAATAAGGGCTTTTTGACCCTTTAAATTCAAGACTTAGACGGTCAGACTAATCTTTCTCAAAGAGCAAATTTAAACCACCATGGGTTGGTCTTTAAGTGACGCTACATTAAAAAGACATCTTAATTATAGCCCGTTTTACAATATTAGATAAAATTACATGGAAATTTCATTGTTTGCCGTAGTCATAACGCTAATCGCCGAATGACAAGTTGATTTGTTTGCAGATGTTTCAGCCTATACTTGATATCCTTAGTCTAATATTTAATTAGGAAAAACATAATGTACGTGTATATGTAATATGTGATTAAAAAAAAAAAACTAGAAGAAAATGGGTTGATATTCATTTCATTTCATGCTGATTGTACCAGAAAAATTCAAATCTTCAACCTATACACCATTGTATCTGCAAATAATGTACATGCCTACACAACAGGTACCTGTTTTCATGTTTCATTTTATGTTCTCCCATAATATGATAATAACAAGGTATCCAACTCCATATAAACATGGAGTACGATTCTCCCTAGAATTGCAGTCATTTTTGCTTAAGGATGGATTCTTGTCAGCATTTTACGTCGTCAATGGGTCTCCATAAATTATGCAAGTCGTAAAATGCAAAATTCATATTTAATTATACTGAAGGTAAAACTATTAGTTAATTTGTCAGTACAAGTAATGTTGAATCTATTTCTTTTGAAATTAATAAATTTTTCGTATTATTTTCTTTGATTTGCGACAATCGCCATAATATTCGCAGTTCGGTAGCGAATGTCAACATGTCCAGATCATTTTCCGTAGAAAACCCCGAGAGGGTTGTTTTGTAAAATCTACAAACTGTGAACATTATCGAAGCATTGCAGAAGCCCAGGTACAGTTATGACAAATTAAATCATAGTTATTTATGCCCGGGGCATTCCGATCAGCCAAAAGCATGAAAAGGGAAGCTTGAACTTGAAGGTCACAAACATGTGCAACAGCTGTGCAAGATTGCAGATCCACGTTGCCTCGTTTGATGTCATGCCGTGTGCAGTGAGCATGTAAGTTAGTTATATATGTCTGAAGATTTTTATAATTTTGAAATTGAATTCAATTACATGCTGGTTTGTATTGATTTATGGGAATTCGCACAGAAATTATAGATGTTACCAATATTTCGTCTGCTTATTCCCGCGACTTGTCAACATTTGAAGAGGATATATTTCATGTGTTCGTCAGGGTTATGAATAATAATTCACAAAAATAGCATTTTTTGTATATGATTACAACAAATTTTATATTTTTAACTAGCCTACTAGCCTACTTCAAGACACAACAATCATCAAGTTATTAGAAAAGTAAGGTGTTCCGCTTTGGTACAAATCAAACGGAAAAATAACTTGATATTGTATATGGAAATATCAATAATATTGAAACACACAATTGTCTAATAAATAGAGCAAAATGAAACATTATTGTTAAAAAACTATTTATATTATTGTTTTTTTTTTACTTTTCTGTACTTTTAGGATAAAAAATGTCTATTTATTTATATCCAATACACTATAATATAAGACATTATACATGTGGTAGAATCTATTAAAATATCTTCATTCATTTAAATCAGTAAATGAAATACAGATGAGATAAGTTGTTTAATCTTATAATCAATTTCCATTAATTTAAAAAAAATAGCCTAAGGGATGTTCATGTCTAATTCTTAGGAGAAAAACAACCCTACTTTATCCTAGACTAGAAAAAAGACTGGAGGTCAGAATGCAGGATGATTGAGCATGGAGTGCTGGTAGATGGACTATTGAGGTACATGTATAACACGGCCACCAATCGCTCTAACTCATATCCAAATGATATGAAAAGGTTTTCGTTAGCGGGACTTCCGGATATGCGTTGGAGAGACTTTTTATCTTCGCCTCGGCGGTAAGTTGAGCTCTTTTTCTTGTATTTTAACCCTTTTTTTACAAAACAAAGAATGTGATTCGACCCTTTTTATTGAGTTGTTGCTTCGTTATGAATTGTTTGGGCTGAATTCTGTGTTGTAATGACGCTAAAAAGTTTATTCTGCAAGTTTCGTCAAACAAATCTATCCCCGGGGGGTACCCGTCGTGTCTGCGATCAACTAAAACAAAGCTAATAAGCGATTGTGATACATTTTATTTATGTCAATTTGTCCCTAAAGGATCGTTAAACACTTTGACATAACATAGGCTGTCCTTTTTTGATTTAAGCGGTAGCTATGAATGAAAAAAAAAACATGATATGAGTTAGCGGAACCAGATATGAGTTAGCGGTACATGATATGAGTTAGAGAAGCAAAATAGAATGCTAGATAATTTACTATTATGTTCAACTATACCACACACGAATTTGAATAAAGCCATATTTCAGGTGTTATGATTTCACTATCATTCTAAATTTAAATTGGATACATTGGTTGTCACCAAGGAAAAGGGGGGGGGTGTAAATGTATCTAAAATATTTCTTGTTTCAGGTTATTAATTGTCGGTCATCGAGGCTATTTTTTCATTGTCATTTGGCTATTGCCATGTTTGGACTGAATCAGTTAAAATACAGCGATTTCTTATTCTGTTAGAATTCATCTAATTTCAGGTTTCAATATGGGCCTTTTCAAAGGCAAACGCAGAAAAGGGATAGCCATATCACGATCGAGTAAAAGTTTCCTCGTATTATAACAGAAAACGGTCATTAATTGACCGATCACCATTGAAATCACCGGCTGCAAAGAAGTGTATGCTTTCTCCTAAATCATCAACCCTCTTTAAAAGTCCGAGGAGTAAACTGTCTCTAAAGTACTCGGGGGGGGGGGGGGGGGGGGGGGGGGGGCTTTTTCTGAAAATAGTCTTCTACTGTAATTTTAGCACGTAAATTTTAATTAAGGTGCTACTTGCCCATCCCCCCCCCCCATTTTTTCTTGCTATATGATCATTCATACAGCATTTGAAACATAAAGATAACATCATAATTTAAAACAAAAATAGAAAAATGAGAATATGAAGCTTTTAAATATGTATGGTTCCCTGCTGCATGGAGTACCTCATACAGAAATCTGTACTCGACTGTTTTAGACATGCCCACATGTTCACTAAGTGTATATTTATGCTTTTCTTCAGGTCTTATATATTTTGGTAATCAAGCACTGCTGAAAAAAAATTACATTCGAAATATACATACCTATATAGAGCATCAAAATTGGTAAACTGCTGAGAAATGTAGTAAAATTTATTTTGTGATAGGGATTAAGCTATGGTGAATATTTCTGCCCCCCCCCCCCTCAACTTGTCAGATAGCTACGTCAATTTGTCAGATCTTTTCGTTAGCTTGTCACTTATTCACGTGTTTAAAATCAATATGAAAATGTGTCACATTTTAGGCTAAGTCTAAACAATTCTTAGTTTGCAGTTGTCAACCTTAACTTTGAGCTGATAGATAGGAAGAAATGTTTTTTTTCAATTTTATTTTGAAAAATTTAATTACGTTTCCAGTTTTTTGGTTGAAACAAATCAAAGGAATTTTCTTGGGGTTTCTAAATGCTTCACTTATTTTAAGTCTTTCATTGACTAATACAAAAATCAAAAATAGAAAGTGAATTAGTCTCAATTTCATAAAAACTTGTAACTAACCAGTAAAAAAAATCATTTTAAAAAATGACTGGAAAGATAGTTTGGGTCGGGTGCAGTTCAAATGGTCGGTAGGCAACTTGCAAACAAATTATTTTTATTTTATAGGCCTTACTAAATAGGAGTAATTGGTTAAGATCCAATTCGAACAGTAGCATCAAGTTCAATGAGATTGGAATTTAAATAATTCTTTTGCGATTTTGTTGTCAATACTTCTAGTATTAAGACTTAACAAGCACTCATTTATTATTTCTGGCATGAATGGTCAGCGTGATAAAAATTATTGCTCTGGTTTCTAGTATCAAGCCCCCCCCCCCCCTTTCCCCAAATTTACCTTCAACAGTTTCAAATGCTAACTGAAGTGGTGTTGCCCCAAATACTTTTTGTTGCAGTAAAGTTAAGTCAGGATAAAGTATCAATAAAATTTGGTTGTGAAAGAAGTTGGAACCTGCCCACCTTCGAGTTTGGATAATATCCATTTTTTTTAATGTTGCTTGACATTTTTTTTCATATAAGTTTTCAATTTTTTTTTCCATGGCCAGCCCCCATCCAATTTCAAAAACGATAATCAGTGCCTGTTGCTAAACACGTTTGAAGATTATACCCGTTATGATTTTTTTCTAACGCATATCATGTACCACTAACTCATATCTGGTTCCGCTAACTCATATCATATTTTTTTTTCGTTCATAGCCACCCCTAAAATTAATAAAGGACAGTCTATGTTATGTCAAAGTATTTTACGATCCTTGGGGGACAAATTGACATAAATAAAATGTATCACAATCGCTTATTAGCTTTGTTTTAGTTGATCGCAGACACGACGGGTACCCCCCGGGATAGATTTGTTTGACGAAACTTGCAGAATAAACTTTTTAGCGTCATTACAACACAGAATTCAGCCCAAACAATTCATAGTGAAGCAACAACTCAATAAAATGGGTCGAATCACATTCTTTGTTTTGTAAAAAAGGGTTAAAATACAAGAAAAAGAGCTCAACTTACCGCCGAGGCGAAGATAAAAAGTCTCTCCAACGCATATCCGGAAGTCCCGCTAACGAAAACCTTTTCATATCATTCGGATATGAGTTAGAGCGATTGGTGGCCGTGTATAAGAAATATGGACACAACTTTATCTAACTATCAAGTAATGCAGCATCTGTGCTGCTATGTAAAATATTTTACTTTTTTTTTAAATTATAGGTCAACAAAAAGTTTGGACTTTCACCAGGTGGACACATGTTCAGCAAGAAATTCTCACATCAAATGAATGATGGCTGTCTGTGGAAAAGAGATTTTCTCAGAATATATCATGTCAGAAGCAGGAATTACATATTTATCTGATCAAAGAAATGTTTTTGTAGAAATGTGGAAGTCAATGCATGTTATCAAAGTCACTGCTGCTTGTTGCATGATTCCATTCTTGATTTTTTTCAGAAACTTTCAGTCAAAAATAGTTTTATTTATAATTATATAATGTTTAATTTTTTTGATTCCAAAGTACCTGATACAGTGCACGCTTTATAGAATGTGATTACTTTACAAAATATTTGATTCAGATTTGAAATCTTACTCCCAGAGTGAATTTTTCAAGCATTATCTTTCATTAGATTACAATGTGAAGATTTACATGTACTGGCATTACAACAACTTGTAAATGATATATACCTAGCTCTATGTATTCAGTTGCTTTACATTTTCAAATACAGTTAAAATCTTAAAATACAGTTCTGGAATGCATAAAAATGTGCCTGCTTTAGATCATTTAATTAAAAGGTGATTTTAAGCAAGAGCATGCCAAACAAAATTGCTGGTAGTGGCCGGGTTAAAATTTAGATTTTTACAAATGAACTACATATACAAGTACTTGCAGTAGAAATCCTAGAGGTAATTTTTAATTCAATTTCAATACAAGTTATTGACACTGATCAATAAATGTTTGTGCTACAAATTCTCAAAAAGAAATTTCATCCTTGAATAAGTATTTTGAATCTAAATGTGAAATTAAGTTTGATAGCTGCATGCATATTATTGTTACAAAGTTCAAGGATGTCATTTTCAGGCAAAGATGTCAAAGGGCATTTGATTGTCATAGATGGCTTTTTTGTTATCTTAAAACTCCAGCAAATTTTACGCAATATATGATCACATTGAGGAGTTATATTTATTGGTGCTGAACAAACTATATACTTATAAATGTGTGTAGGTATTTATTGTCCCTCGCTTTCGCGAAAGAGAGGGGACATTAAATCTCATTCGTCTGTCTGTCACAAAAACTTTAACCTTGGCCATAACTTTTGAGTGAGAAGAGATTGGGCTTTTGTATTTCACATGTACATTACCTATAACAAGACCTTTCCAAATATACTGTGAATTTTGACCCCGTGGCCTTGCATTGGCCTTGAAGTTTGACCTACTTTTCAAAAAAATTAACATTACTTTAAATTGGTCATAACTTTTGAATGAGAAAAGATAGGACTTTCATATTATGCCTGTTCATTACCTGTGACAAGACCTTTCGAAATTATACTATGACTTTTGACCCCGCGACCTTGACCTTGAAGTTTGACCTACTTTTCAAAAAATTAACATTTCTTTAATTTGGTCAGTGAATTTAAATGAGAAAAGATAGGGCTTTCATATTGAATATGAACATTACCTGTAAGAATACCTTTCCAAATGTACTATGATTTTTGACCTCATGACCATTACCTTGAAGTTTGACCTACTTTTCAAAATTTTTATCTTTGCTTATAACTTTTGATTTAGAATAGTTAGGGCTTTCATATTTGACATGTGCATTAGTAGTGACAAAGTGTTTCTGAGAATGCTATAATTTTTGACCCCTTTACCTTGACCTTCATGTTTGACCTAAATTTCAAAAATTTTTATATTTAGTGATTACTTTTGAATGTCATATGATAGGGTGTTCATATTTGACAAGTGCATTACCTGTGTCAAAATGTTTCTGAATATGCTATGATATTTGACCCCATGACCTTGACCTTCCAGTTTGATCTAATTTTCAAACATTTCATCAGTTTGCTAACTTTTGAAGGAGCAAAGATAGGGCATTCATATTTGACAAGTGCATTACCTGTGACAAGCATTTCCAGATGTACTATGATTTTTAATCCCATGACCTTGACCTTGAAGTTTGACCTAATTTTTAAAAAGTTTATCATTGCGAATAATGTTTGATTGAGAGAAGATATGGTATTTACATTTGACATGTGCATTACCTGTTTCAAGACCTTTCTGATTGTATACTCTGGTTTCTGATATTTTTTTTTTTTTACATGTGCATCACTTGTGAGAAGATCTTTTGGATTTTATTATATTTGACCTCATGACCTTGAAGTTTGATGTAGTTTTGAGAAGCTCTAGTCTTTGCCATAACTGTTATTAATTCAATAATTTATGTCTTTTTGTATGATGCACAGATAACACAGGACAAACAAACAAGACAGTAACATTATGCCATAAATAATGGCATCCCATCCACTAAGACATTGAAAGCGGGGGACCACAATTCTTTGAATTTGCTTGTTGTTTTCAAAACTCAGTTTACAAATGTAAAATATCGAATAATAACATAATACCAGGGACCTATATGTATATAACTACATATACATGTATAGACATGTATATTAGTCCCTCTGATATTCATATATTAAGCATTGAATGGCATGTTCACTATACATGTATATTGATTTCATGTTTATGTCATAAATAATGTATTGAAATCTTTTCTAGTCTGTGAAAAGTTTTTGTATGATTTTTCTCATACTTTTTTGGAAGGTTTATTATTTATTCTTGGTTATATTGAAGGTTAAGTTGCTTTGAATCAGTCCTGTGCATGTGAAGAATGTATGTGATATTTTTTCTGTAATTGCCACTAGAAAATTGATGTATTTTATAAAATTGTCAAACATAACATTCATAAGAATAAAATGACAGAGGAAATTCGAAATGAATATTTTGAATATCATTAATGTAAAATACCATAAAAATAGAATGTATAACTGGTAGAAATGAATGTATATATGTCACAATTACACCAAATATATATATTTTTGGGGATTAAAAATCTTTCTTATAGACATTAAAAACGCTCTGTAAATTGAAGATTTCAGAAAGTATAGAGCAAATTCGGGCTAATTTTTTTTTCGATAATTTGCCTGATTACTATATCTTTTTTACCTTGTAAATTAATCTTGAACTTTTGAATATTCATCAGACAAAAATCTAAATATTTGACATTATATGGTCAATTGTAAAAATTGAGATGAAATTTCATGTGAATTCATGAAAACTGAGAATTTTGAAAAAATATCGAGGAAATTCGGATTAAATATATTTATTGAATATAAAGGATTTCACGTTGTCTTTTCACCAGCTCATTTCATATGAATTGGTCATCAAAAATAAGTAACAACTTTAATTCTATGGTGAAAGATATTTTTTCAGTCAGCAAAATTTATTCATATGCATAAATTTCAAAACTTCTCTGTGTAAAAGTACTACTTTTAGGACTGACTTTCAAATGACCTTGACTGAAAATCAAGGCCGATGACACCAAAGTTTTTGGATGTTAAAACAGTGTAAACAGTCTGAATATTGAGTATTCAGAAAATCAAGATTCTGCCATTATAAGAAATATGAGAAGAATCCATCCTTAAGAGAAAGCGCGGTGAAATATGTTTACTAGCATTTTCTTCTACGATAAACTATCGTAGCTGGCAAAATCAAGATTGGCACGTTTGCTTTTATTGTATTATATCTGCATAAACACCGATAAACCACTGAAACACTGCTCGCAGACACACACACAAAGGAAAATAGAAGAAATGTTATATGAAGTATGTTATTACTCGGATAAAACTTTATTCCAGAAACAATTGCCTGTACTTAAAACATACATAGTACTGCATTTTGAACAATATTATTGATGGTTGACACTGTATATTTGTAGGTACCCCGTGTCTTCATTAACGGGAACTTTATTGGTGGAGGAGACGATGTCGTAAGAAAGGATTCGTCGGGGGAACTCAAATCACTCCTGACGGCATAGTGCACTGTTTTGGATTTAGCTTATTTATATTTAACACACCTTTTTCCATTAGTCAGTTCAAACCAATACTTTGCGGGTATTTTGCTTATTGGGTTACAGTTAACGTTTGTACTCAATTGGACATAATTTTTAGAATCTATATAAATATGCTGTACACTTAATTTTGTGGGTTTTTTTTTAAATTTGTATAATTAAATGTAATAAAATTTTGCTTATTTGAGGCTTATAATTATTTATGTAGCTTTACAGTAAATGCTTTTTAAGAATTTTGCAGTGATGTTTGCAAAACATTCTGAAAGCACATATTATAGACATTACGTGAAATGAGCATTTAACTATCCTAACGTTTGTTTACGCTTTACTAACAACCGGACATTAATCGATGAATAATAAGGATGTGGAAATCTGAGAGTGAGGATGTGGTAGTAATGTTTTTAGAAATGGCTTATAGTAAACTGCATGTAGCTCATGACATTAACTAACATGTGGCTGGCGCAGATCTTGCTTGCTTGGCAAAGAATTTATTTCAAGCTTCATCGTTTAAAAAATATACAAAAGAAGATGGGCGTGTTTGGCGTGTACTCTGCAGGAATAAGGCGTACGAAACATTTATAGTATAAATGTCTACGATTTGGTCGGCTGACCACAGCTTGACACACTTTACAAAGACACGCACATGGGAAAATGTTACATTTAGTTTGAAATACTGTGTCGAATTTAATATATCAGTCCGCTTATCTTAATAATTACTACATGTAAGACTTAGTAATAAACACCTATGGAGTATAGTTAAATGCAATTATATGTATATATTAAAGTGTCAGTAGGTTGGAAAAATTGCTTTCGCTTTCGGTGCAACAGAACCAGAATTTATCTAATTGAAAATAAATCAGTACATAAAATTAAACTGACAAAAGAATTGATTGTTTGTACTAAAAAAAATATTAACGCTCCATGCAAGGATCGAACCAAAAATATTTATTTTTCATTGCACTGGACGAGTTACGCATACTACTGAGCTATCACCGCTCCACACACTTTATGGTTTTTAAAGCGACAATGAAGCACCACATTTACACGTTGGAATTTTTTTGGAAAAAGTTCATTTTTTATTGTCTCTGGGTCTTCTCTCCATTTTTTACAAATGTTTGTTCGTCTCTTTGAATTAAAATGCACACAAATAACGTTTCAAAATCATGGAGAGATAACCCAGAGGTAGCAAATTTTTAGAAAAACGTGTTTGAAAATGTAACATTTTGTACCAAATGACTCATCTAGCCAATTTTCAAGTTCTTCTTTAGCAAATCAAAATACAATATCGGGAAAATATTTCCATTTCCTATTTCACAGGAACCCAATACGGCAAAAGAATGCTAAAATTTTATGTGACAGATCAATGAAATTTTCACTTTCCAAGTGCGCCCAGATTCCTGCCGAATGCCAATCAAAAGCGCCCTCGTTCTTAGTATATTCTTGTATTTGATATAAATGGAATGGGTTTTAACTTTATATATTGTATATATTTTCACTATTATTACCGGAAATGTACTATATATTTACTTCATAATTTTTTATTTCATATTCTCTTTCTAGCATGTCGTAGATCTTTTAAGTTGCATTAGTTTTAAGGACCACCAACTAATTTTATACGAAGCTTTAAGAGCCCTCTATACACTGCACACTAGAGAGTTCTGATTTTGTGGTATTTTTATGTAGATAGAGTGATCTGCCCTTTGATCAAGAATAAAATAAATTGAAATGTACAGTTTATTACTTAATTTGCGATCAAATCAAGCATTCATAACACTTTAATAGGCCAAGATGAATAGATAGAACACTTCATTTGCAGGTATTTTGCCCACTTAAGTAAACAACAGTGATTTATGTTCATCAGTACTTCATAGTCTTTGAACATTTTTCCTGGGGGTAAATGCAAGGCACCCTATGCTGAAAATGTGATAGATAAGCTCAATGCTTACACCTTTACATACTATAATTTTCTCAATGTCCAAAAAATAGTTTCCTCTAGTGTGTAGAGGGTCCTTAAACAGAAATGGACGTTTAATGTAAATAATAACTAGTATAGGACTACCAGAATGAAGTGATGCCTTAACTTTGCACTCAAAAGAAAGACAAGCTTAATTAATTGTAATTTATTTTAAATAGGCAATGAACAATTCTGGCAAGATCCATAAATGAGGCAGTTCGTGCTGTACATGTATTTGCAAAGAGCGTAAATACAATTTTACGAAATTCTGTAAAGGAATCGGCTCGAATGTTCGAAACATTTTTCTTTCTTGCTGGTATGTATGAAAAATCTTCAACACGTAAAACAGCATTTGAAATATTCTGCAGCTACAATATTGGGAGGAATGGGCAAATTCCACCCCACAGAAAAGAAACAATTCGGGCGATACATGTAGATCAGTTCACAGGTAATTAAAACGACAAAGTTTTCCTTTGAAATGATCAATAATTTTTTTAACACGATATAGCAGAGATTATTAACATTCTATTTGCTTTTCAAATGCTAGTATTTTTTTGAAGATATGATATATGTTCCTAGGTAACAACAAAGAAATTCTTTAGCGCATACAGGGAATAGGTTGTGGTCACACCGGTGTTACGGGAACGTGTTCCGACTATCTGTTGTGGAATGTTTCTTCTGTACCATGCATGTGTGGCTTGTGTTCAGAAATGGGGTCTGGCTTAAGGGAAGGTATAAATACACCCAAAACATCTCTCGCCACCGACATTGCTATGAATGGCAGAAGAAGGAGAAAACGTAACACGGTGGCAAACCAGCTGCTCAACTCCATTGTTAAATTGATGTAGTGGTCTGAAAGTAAAGTTTTTAAAATTTTTTTAACTTACAGGACCGATATCAAAATATTTTAGCTTTCAAAACAGCAAAAGGTAAAAAAAGGAACTTTTTAAAAAAATATATGCCAAGTCTATGCTGACAATTTACACATTTTAAACCTCAGATTTCTGGTGGAAAATAGTGCAGCATGATGACTTTGTCAAGACCAGCTCAAACGAGAATCATGTATAATCAAAACAATCTTGATTTACAGAAATAAATCCCCTAAGAAATTGATTATTAACAGGCTTAATATGACACAAAAGCATGGTCGTCCATGAAGCTTCACCTTTACGTGTCCGATGCAATATAGTTGTCCATGAAGCTTCACCTTTAGGCTGTCTGATGCCATACAATAAATATGGTCGTCCATGAAGCTTCACCTTTAGGCTGTCTGATGCCATACAATAAATATGGTCGTCCATGAAGCTTCACCTGAATGCTGTCCAATGCCATACAATAAAGCATGGTCGTCCATGAAGCTTCACCTATATGCTGTCCAATGCCATACAATAAATTATGGTCGTCCATGAAGCTTCACCTGAATGCTGTCCAATGCCATACAATAAAGCATGGTCGTCCATGAAACTTCACCTATATGCTGTCCAATGCCATACAATAAATAATGGTCGTCCATGAAGCTTCACCTGAATGCTGTCCAGTGCCATACAATAAATTATGGTCGTCCATGAAGCTTCACCTGAATGTTGTCCAATGCCATACAATAAAGCATGGTCATCCATGAAGCTTCACCTATATGCTGTCGAATGCCATACAATCTACTGATTTCTAGTTTGCGAATTAAAATTACTGCAGACCAGTTAAAACCAAATTCAACGGCATACTAAGTTGTCACAGACTTGAGCTATATTTGGAAATAGTTTTAGACAGTACCTATCTCAAGCATTACTTAAAGTGCTTATAAAATCTGGAACTCATGAGCAATAAAGGTCCACGAGATTTTACAGTCTTGTCTTGTTTAAAAATTTTCATGTCAGTTTAACAAAATCTGACACCCATTTTCATACGCATGTCGAAAAAAATACACATGCCGAGAAAATATCCACGCCTGTCGTTGTTTTTCCCTGGAAATACCAGAGGTGGGGTCAGGATCCAGACCCATAAAACTTAGATGAGCTCACTTTTGATCTTAGTCTCACTTTTCCACCATTAACTCCTTATGTAATTAAAGTGACACTGAGATCAAAAGTGAGTTCGTCTAAGTTTTATGGCCCCGGAGCCAGGTACCTAAAAGGGGGAGTAAGCATACCCTTCGAACGGCCACGCCCTATGTGTCCTACGTTTTGATCAGGTAAGCGGAGTAATCCATACTAAAAAATTTTGACTCAAAATGGTATACTAGTAACATAACCAATGGTAGGTTTATTTGCAAACAAGATCATTATAACGACCATTGAATTTGCAAAACGCTGACTTTAATCGAGTTAGTGTTGACAACTTATATCATCCAATTTCTGTCAGATGTCAGCCTCTCTTAAAAATTAATCATAATCAGGACTAAAAGTCTTGCTCTTAAGTAACGAATCAACAACATACGCAGGTGATTGTGGCACTATAGATAGTCCTGGTCTCAAAAGACTAATAGGTATTGACAGTGAGTAATTCCAATATTTTTTTAATATGAACATCAGAGTACTTGTGTATAAAATCAAAATGATTTTTAACAAAGTAATTTTGTAAATAAGTCACAAAATTTGGAAATTTGCGAGTTCATCTTTATTGAGGAAAATAAAAGAATACATTGATGAAGATTTGTTTGTTTGTATGTTGTTCTCGAGAATTTTTCACTCATATGAAGACGCCACTGAGGAAGAAATCCGACGACTACTCCTACGACGTATTGCTAAGATTTTTGAATTCTTAATTCTAAATCGTGACAAGGTAGAGGAGTCTTTATATATCTAGAACGTTCGAATTCACTTTGTTGACCACTCGCCATAGCACCGAGCCGATATGTATTTTCTTATATGAACATGACCATTAACATTAGTGATTAAAATGTTTAAGACGAATTCTCTTTGATTCAGTTAATGACAAAGTTTATAACATTAAGAAAGATGTAAATGTATAATAATTTATAATAGTAATACTTGCCTTCAGTGAAAGATAGATCCCGTCCAGTAGGTAAAGATACAAGTTCTTTACCTTGAACTAAGTTGTTGATTGCGTGAACAAGATAAGTGTTTTGATGTTATGTGATTTTTATCATGCTGGAATAAATGTACGTTTGTGAATGTCAAGGACATTTGTGAAATCTAGTATAATGCTTACTTTGCGACTTCATACCTACATCGACTATCTTGTTGATGGCCGACGTATTTTGTGTATATTCCTAAAATTCATGCCTTTCATGATACTTACTGGTAAATGCTTATCTTTTGAGGGGGGAGGGGCATCCACTGTTCTATTGTTTCTTGTCAAATTAAAAATAAAATTTTGCCACTACTATGTGGGATGGACATAGGAATACCCCTCCCTACACTTGTCGTCCTCAACTTTCCCTTTAATCCCCCTTTTTCTCTTTCTTTGTTTCTCATTTTCCCCTTTTTCTCCTCTCATACCCCGACTTCTGTCACACCTTTCCATATACGAGGTTTGTCCAGTAAAAAAAAAATTGTCTAGAGTGAAAAATAATCAACAATGCATTCCAACATTTTCACTACACTTTAGTACATTTTTCATCAATATACATAGCAAATTTTAAATAAATATATACTCAAATAAACAAGATATGGCATTTAATATTATGTATGGTATCGTCGTAACGCATAGTCCCAGTTAGTCCGAAATATCTGACGTTTTCCAGGCTTTTTTTCACGATTTTGATATTTTACGTGCCAGGAAAACGTCAGAACCGGCGCCATTAAGAAAACTGGAAATTCCGCCTTCTCCAACCGGAGTTGATTTTCGATACTTGCAAACCAAATTAAATGCCGAACTCACAATTTATCGATAGCCCAATGCTTCTAGTATCGATGAAAAGAAAACCTCACTCCACATTTCGATACAGGATTTGCAAGATTTTAAAATGCACGAAATGAAAACAAATCTCGACAGTCAGATAAAATGTTTTCATCGGATTGTATGTTTTATGAATAAATCATAAAAACGATGTTGGTGAGTTAAAAGTATTGTACTATTGATAAGTCGTGAGTTTGACATTTAATTCGGTTAGCAAGTATCGAAAATCAACCCGAGAATGCCGCCTCCGGTTGGAGGCGGCGAATTCCCAGTTTTCGTAATCGCGCCGGTTCTGACTTTTTCTTGGCACGTAAAATATCAAAATCGTAAAAAAGCCAGGAAAACGTCAGATATTTCGGACTAAGTCCCAGTGTGTGTGTGTATTGGGTTGCAAAAGATCAACGTAAAGGGCTGCGAAGTGACTATATTCATTTATTTAATTTTTGGTCACCTGAGTCACCCATATCCTGTTTTTTTTTCTTCCGTTGTTGTCCGCCGCGTGTCCTCCGATTGATTTCCGTCTTCTTCGAACCATTTTCAACCAGGGTTTAGGCTTGAGGGTGGGGTTAAGTTATTCATAATTGAAAATGCCTTGAATAAAATCTTCTTTACTCATGGAAATGTCTGCATGATTATAATCAGTACTCAACTTTTTTGTAACACAGTGAGGATATAAATTATTATCTTATTTGATATACATATACTGTACCTATATATTTAGTAATATTATTAATATCTGAATTTCTGTGCTGACAATTAAACTTTGCTTACTCTAAATAATACTATCGGTGCATTGAGAAACGGACCCTATTCTTAAATTATAAACTTGCTGACAATTAAACTTTAGAAGAATGAATACAATAAATAGAGCATCTTCATTTGACGGACTATTTTCTGTTCACGAACAATGACATACCTTCTAATCAGGATGCACAATCTAATGTTCAAGGTCCCCAGTGTTTACATAACCAAAGGACATTGCTGTATCCTATATAAGGAACTTCAGTGAGGGGGTGGCTACATCAATATCGATGAAATACTTACAATCACTGACACGGGACCCTAATGATGCAGCTTCCCTTACTAAAGAGTATCAATGGCTTTTAGTTACCATCTTTAAAGATGAAATGATTCTGTGAGCTTTCACCATCTTGAATCAATTATATTTTAACGTATCATTGAATATTGATTTGCCATAATTTGCTCTGACTTTGGTTAGAAAACTTACAAACGTTCCAAAATCTTAATCCAAACAATTATGTTGCATTTTACCTTTGCATTGTGAAATTTCTTGGATCCGCTTTAAATGAACGAAGGCGGGGTAGTTTGTATGAATGAACCAGATTGACGTACGAGCTTTAAACGTGTTTTAAATAGAAATGCATTTAAATCAATTGTAGAGTTCTATATCGTATATATACTCAAACATTGACCATTTCTGTGAAAGCTTACTCGCAGACGACACGTGTGGAACAATTTGACACGAGGGATTATCATGTCTGTGGAAGCTGCCATCAAAGAAAAGATTGCCTCAAAGAAAGTAGTGGTGTACTCCAAAAGCTCATGCCCATTTTGTAAGAAGGCAAAACAAGTATTTCAGAAGTACTTAAACAATAGATTACTAAGTAGAGAAGACTATGAAGTCATCGAGATAGAAAACGATCCCAACTGCGTTGCCATCCAGACTTACATGATGAAGAAAACAGGGGCCAGAACTGTAAATATTTGGTTTACTCTCTGTTGTAAAAGAACTAAATCATTAATTGGCTTTGTAAGAAAATCTATAATTAGTACATTAATGAAGTAGATCTTTAAATCATAGTTGCTAAATAATTTATGTTGAATATCGCAAATTAGTGTTGAAGATGTCACGATTTCACAACGAAATTTTAATATTCTCTTGATTCCTCTCTTCAATAATTTAAATATTTGATTATTTTGCCAGAGTAAGTGCAAATATTAAAGTAATTCAAGAGAAGGTCTTTTAATGCACTATACGCACACGTGTTACCTTTTAGAACATTGTAATTCGAGCTGCACGCTTAGGTATTATTCAAAATAGTCTGATTTAAATCATATTTCTCAATTACTCCCGTATTTTGATTGACGTCATGACGACAGAGTGAGTAGTATAAATTCAATCAGAATTTAGAACATCGTGCTCATTAAGCGTATCACTGGATTTTACAATGCGTGTATTTTAGAACTTGGTAAATAAATGATACGTATAAATAGAACATTGAATTTCATGATTTGTTTTAGGTGCCCCGAGTCTTTGTGAAGGGGAAATTCATTGGCGGCGGGGATCAAGTAGTCGGCAAAGACTCCAGTGGGGAACTCAAAAGACTTCTACAGGATAAAGAATGAAGAATTGTGGATAATGTTTAACTGTAGCTATTTTATCTAGAAGGGTATTACAATATAATGTCCTTTTTATGTCACTTATCATGTTTTATATATGTTTTATATAATGTTTGTTAGCTGTAATAGAAATCTGTGTATAGCAACAACCAAAAACTCAGGCAGAGGAAATTTTCATTAAACCGGTGATATTTGTAAAATTTAGAAAACTTGATGTTTACTTACCAAAAGTCATCAATGTGGCATTTACTTATTGTAATCAGAACTGCAACAAAGGAAAAGGCAAAAATAAAGGCGCAAAATGTAATGAACGGAGGATATTCGACATTTTCTGGTTTAATATGAAATTCACATTACGAGTGGACGGGATTTTATCTTTGACGAGTGCGATGCATCACGAGTGAATTTTCTCTTCATTGCATTTCCTTCGGTCTTACCAAGCTTTTGTTGACATGTGGTACTGACTACTGTGCAATTGAACATACATGTTCGGGTACCACTTGTGAAAATATCAATTTTATTCAATAAATAAATAGTAGGCGAAGTGTTTGAAATTGTGGCTTTCCATGGCCTGAACATTTTAGCGGATGAACGTTTTAGCAAGAAAAAACAGAGGGTTTAGCGGAAAATTTGTTGATATTCTAGCGAAGGTGAGACGGGGAGATGAAAGTATGATTTTGTGCAGAATTTAGTTTACCTACTCAGTAATGTTTAAACAAGCAAATTGGATTCGAGCTAGAAACAAAATCAAATTTTAGTAATCCATCAATTTTGTATTAAAACCAGTCGCAAATGGTATTCCTTTTCTCTCGATTCTTTTCTATATCTCCACTACTTCTATACAGCAGTGTGCAAGTTTTTAACTATGAATAGGTTCATGTGAGAGTGAGTTTTATTCAAGAGAAGATTTTAAAAGTTAAAGTTGGAAATTAAGTCATTTACTTGTAGCTGCAGAACTTTAAGCTCTCTGGTTGAGAAAATTCGGGGATACAAACCAGAGAGCTACAGATCCAAGCATTGAAAAAAACTTACGACTTACGGCGCCAAAATTTTCGACAAAAATATGTCAAAATTGTCATCGAAACTGATTATCTGATCACTGCCTACAACAACACTGATTATCTGACCACTGCCTACAAACACAAAACTGATTATCTGATCACTGCCTACAAACACAACACTGATTATCTGATCACTGCCTACAAACACAACACTGATTATCTGATCACTGCCTTCAAACACAACACTGATTATCTGATCACTGCCTACAAACACAGCACTGATTATCTGATCACTGCCTACAAACACAGCACTGTTTAATGTAACACATTAGCTTATTGTCTGATCAGTGACTACAACGCATTACCCGATTGTCTGATCATCCCTCTCTCCTAAAGCATGGGATCAGTTGTTTTACCCCTACTTTTGTTTTGCTGCTTTCCTTTCAATTCCAAACCGCCCTCTATGGTATTAAAATATCAACATTTCAACTAAGAAAAAAAACTTTCTTGTATACTGACAGTTTTGTTGGGATATTACTGAAACACGCAAGGAAATGAATATACATGTACGCCTGCTGAGAAAAATCTTATTTTTTTTGTTTCATCAAATTTCAAGTACATGTACATATATGTTTAATTAACGATTTTTTTCATCAATTTTCAACTATATGTACATATGAAATTAATCAAAGAAAATTAGATAAATAACAAGGCAGACTAGGTTTTCTTATTTTAGTATGTCCCTACATGGCTTTCAGTAGAAGAGTCTATTACTTAACCAGTCAGGCAGTTCGGAAAAACAAATTCCGGTATGACTCTAGATTATGTAATTGGAGAGGGAAGGCCTAACCCGATTGAATTGAATGACCTAATAGTTTATGTGTTTTTCATATAGATGTTGTAAAATCCTTTTTAGTCTAGGTATCATTAAGTAAGGCAATTATTTGAACTTAGGTAAGGAAACTGCTTATATAATTTTAAAAAAGCACAAATATAAATTAATGGAATGGAATTAAGAATATTAAAGAATGGATTAAAATAGCTAAAAAAAAAAAACCCTGTCCGCATCCACCAATCAACAAAGGAATCTAAAAATTAAAAAATAACAATAACCCCAATCTCACCCCCGAAAACTAAACAAAGGCAGTTTAGAACTTCGTTATCAATTTCAAGCAGGTATATAAGGGAGTCCATTTGTTTCCTTCTGGCACGTTGTATCATCTTTGAAAAAAAAAAACGAGGGGAGGAGGGGAAGAAAACAAAGGCAACTTGCTTAAAATAACTTTGACAAACCAACAAAAGAAAAAAAAAGAAGGGGGGGGGGGCAAACTCGAAAATCTTTTGTTGTGTGTATGTGTGTGTGTGTGTGTGTGGGGGGGGGGGGGGTTAAGGTTAAGACTTCTTTCACAGCAAAATAATGTTTATACTTATTCATACACATTTGCCTAGTTTGCCTATACTGCCAAAAAAAAGTGGTGGGCTAGGCAGCTTTTCAACGAACATTTTAAACAGTAAAAGGATGTGTCCCCTCCCCGCCCCGTGATATACTACGACCCTGTACATGTATTTATTAAGGAAACGGAACAAAAATACTAGTACATCTGATTTACACATGAAATAAACATAAAATATAAGTGAAAGTAACGGTTAAGCAGAACATAAACGGTCACTTTCATAGCTATCCCAGGTTGGTTAAATCCTTATCCAGTCTGGAAGGAATAAAAACCATTTGCTAAGAACATAATCCGCTCAGGTAGAAACATTATCAAGTAACTTTTAAAACCTAAAACTGAACCTAAAACATTCAGTTTGAAACCTTACCAAGTCGGGCAGAAATTATGAATAAGGCAAATTAGAAACCTAATCCACTCATGCAGGAACTGCAAATAGTCAGTTTAGAATGTAACCCAGTCAGGCAGAAACATGAACAAGTCAGTGAAGAACCTAACCCAGTAAGGCAGAATCATAAACAGTCAGTTAAGAACCTAGGCAGGAACATAGAACTGTCAGTTTAGAACCTAACCCAGTCAGGCAGAAACCAAACCCACTCAGGCAGAGTCATACAACAGTCAGTTTAGAACCTAACCACTCAGGCAGAATCATAAAACAGTCAGTTTAGAACCTAACCACTCAGGCAGAAACCATATCCACTCAGGCAGAGTCATAAAACAGTCAGTTTAGAACCTAACCACTCAGGCAGAAACCTTACCCACTCAGGCAGAGTCATAAAACAGTCAGTTTAGAACCTAACCACTCAGGCAGAATCATAAAACAGTCAGTTTAGAACCTAACCCAGTCAGGCAGAAACCTATCCCAGTCAGGCAGAATCATAAAACAGTCAGTTTAGAACCTAACCACTCAGGCAGAAACCTTATCCACTCAGGCAGAGTCATAATACAGTCAGTTGAGAACCTAACCACTCAGGCAGAAACCTTACCCAGTCAGGCAGAGTCATAAAACAGTCAGTTTAGAACCTAACCACTCAGGCAGAATCATAAAACAGTCAGTTTAGAACCTTACCACTCAGGCAGAATCATAAAACAGTCAGTTTAGAACCTAACCACTCAGGCAGAAACCAAACCCACTCAGGCAGAGTCATAAAACAGTCAGTTTAGAACCTAACCACTCAGGTAGAAACCTTACCCACTCAGGCAGAGTCATAAAACAGTCAGTTTAGAACCTAACCACTCAGGCAGAATCATAAAACAGTCAGTTTAGAACCTAACCACTCAGGCAGAAACCTTACCCACTCAGGCAGAGTCATAAAACAGTCAGTTTAGAACCTAACCACTCAGGCAGAATCATAAAACAGTCAGTTTAGAACCTAACCCAGTCAGGCAGAAACCTATCCCAGTCAGGCAGAATCATAAAACAGTCAGTTTAGAACCTAACCACTCAGGCAGAAACCTTATCCACTCAGGCAGAGTCATAATACAGTCAGTTTAGAACCTAACCACTCAGGCAGAAACCTTACCCAGTCAGGCAGAGTCATAAAACAGTCAGTTTAGAACCTAACCACTCAGGCAGAATCATAAAACAGTCAGTTTAGAACCTTACCACTCAGGCAGAATCATAAAACAGTCAGTTTAGAACCTAACCACTCAGGCAGAAACCAAACCCACTCAGGCAGAGTCATAAAACAGTCAGTTTAGAACCTAACCACTCAGGTAGAAACCTTACCCACTCAGGCAGAGTCATAAAACAGTCAGTTTAGAACCTAACCACTCAGGCAGAATCATAAAACAGTCAGTTTAGAACCTAACCACTCAGGCAGAAACCTTACCCACTCAGGCAGAGTCATAAAGCAGTCAGTTTAGAACCTAACCACTCAGGCAGAATCATAAAACAGTCAGTTTAGAACCTAACCACTCAGGCAGAAACCTAACCCAGTCAGGCAGAATCATAAAACAGTCAATGTAGAACCTAACCCAGTCAGGCAGAAACCTTACCCAGTCAGGCAGGGTCATAAAACAGTCAGTTTAGAACCTAACCACTCAGGCAGAATCATAAAACAGTCAATGTAGAACCTAACCCAGTCAGGCAGAATCATAAAACAGTCAGTTTAGAACCTAACCACTCAGGCAGAATCATAAAACAGTCAGTTTAGAACCTAACCACTCAGGCAGAAACCTTACCCACTTAGGCAGAGTCATAAAACAGTCAGTTTAGAACCTAACCACTCAGGCAGAAACCTTACCCACTCAGGCAGGGTCATAAAACAGTCAGTTTAGAACCTAACCACTCAGGCAGAATCATAAAACAGTCAGTTTAGAACCTAACCCAGTCAGGCAGAAACCTATCCCAGTCAGGCAGAGTCATAAAACAGTCAGTTTAGAACCTAACCACTCAGGCAGAAACCTTATCCACTCAGGCAGAGTCATAATACAGTCAGTTTAGAACCTAACCACTCAGGCAGAAACCTTACCCAGTCAGGCAGAGTCATAAAACAGTCAGTTTAGAACCTAACCACTCAGGCAGAATCATAAAACAGTCAGTTTAGAACCTTACCACTCAGGCAGAATCATAAAACAGTCAGTTTAGAACCTAACCACTCAGGCAGAAACCAAACCCACTCAGGCAGAGTCATAAAACAGTCAGTTTAGAACCTAACCACTCAGGTAGAAACCTTACCCACTCAGGTAGAGTCATAAAACAGTCAGTTTAGAACCTAACCACTCAGGCAGAATCATAAAACAGTCAGTTTAGAACCTAACCACTCAGGTAGAAACCTTACCCACTCAGGCAGAGTCATAAAACAGTCAGTTTAGAACCTAACCACTCAGGCAGAATCATAAAACAGTCAGTTTAGAACCTAACCACTCAGGCAGAAACCTTACCCACTCAGGCAGAGTCATAAAACAGTCAGTTTAGAACCTAACCCAGTAAGGCAGAAACCTTATCCACTCAGGCAGAGTCATAATACAGTCAGTTTAGAACCTAACCACTCAGGCAGAAACCTTACCCAGTCAGGCAGAGTCATAAAACAGTCAGTTTAGAACCTAACCACTCAGGCAGAATCATAAAACAGTCAGTTTAGAACCTTACCACTCAGGCAGAATCATAAAACAGTCAGTTTAGAACCTAACCACTCAGGCAGAAACCAAACCCACTCAGGCAGAGTCATAAAACAGTCAGTTTAGAACCTAACCACTCAGGTAGAAACCTTACCCACTCAGGCAGAGTCATAAAACAGTCAGTTTAGAACCTAACCACTCAGGCAGAATCATAAAACAGTCAGTTTAGAACCTAACCACTCAGGCAGAAACCTTACCCACTCAGGCAGAGTCATAAAGCAGTCAGTTTAGAACCTAACCACTCAGGCAGAATCATAAAACAGTCAGTTTAGAACCTAACCACTCAGGCAGAAACCTAACCCAGTCAGGCAGAATCATAAAACAGTCAATGTAGAACCTAACCCAGTCAGGCAGAAACCTTACCCAGTCAGGCAGGGTCATAAAACAGTCAGTTTAGAACCTAACCACTCAGGCAGAATCATAAAACAGTCAATGTAGAACCTAACCCAGTCAGGCAGAATCATAAAACAGTCAGTTTAGAACCTAACCACTCAGGCAGAATCATAAAACAGTCAGTTTAGAACCTAACCACTCAGGCAGAAACCTTACCCACTTAGGCAGAGTCATAAAACAGTCAGTTTAGAACCTAACCACTCAGGCAGAAACCTTACCCACTCAGGCAGGGTCATAAAACAGTCAGTTTAGAACCTAACCACTCAGGCAGAATCATAAAACAGTCAGTTTAGAACCTAACCCAGTCAGGCAGAAACCTATCCCAGTCAGGCAGAGTCATAAAACAGTCAGTTTAGAACCTAACCACTCAGGCAGAAACCTTATCCACTCAGGCAGAGTCATAATACAGTCAGTTTAGAACCTAACCACTCAGGCAGAAACCTTACCCAGTCAGGCAGAGTCATAAAACAGTCAGTTTAGAACCTAACCACTCAGGCAGAATCATAAAACAGTCAATTTAGAACCTAACCACTCAGGCAGAATCATAAAACAGTCAGTTTAGAACCTAACCACTCAGGCAGAAACCTAACCCAGTCAGACAGAATCATAAAACAGTCAGTTTAGAACCTAACCACTCAGGCAGAATCATAAAACAGTCAGTTTAGAACCTAACCACTCAGGCAGAAACCAAACCCACTCAGGCAGAGTCATAAAACAGTCAGTTTAGAACCTAACCACTCAGGCAGAGTCATAAAACAGTCAGTTTAGAACCTAACCACTCAGGCAGAAACCTTACCCACTCAGGCAGAGTCATAAAACAGTCAGTTTAGAACCTAACCACTCAGGCAGAATTAAAACAGTCAATTTAGAACCTAACCCAGTCAGGCGGAAACCTAACCCAATCAGATAAGTAGTGTCTGGAGTATAAATATCAAAATACTAGTATATCATTGAATAAACAACTGGTTCTTTATATGCAACAATTGGTCTTGTTAAAGCTGAACCCAACTCTTTAATAGGCTTAATTAAGCCATATTATTTTTCTTGTTTCCTATGTCAGCACTGGAACCCACACCTGACTAATTTAACCTGGTCACTGTTGGGTGTAGTGCATGTATTTTTTGTTTACATTTTGTTTTATTGAGGGTGCATTTATGTTTATTTTACTTTGTAATGCAATGACCAGTGCAACTGACATCGAATATCTTGGGTAATTATTTTTCTTGAAGTGGCAGAGGCACACAGATGTCATTTCTGTTGTGCCCAAGTCCATCATAATGACATGAAAGAGATGTCTGTTCAGGTAAACTCTGTAAAGCTAAATACATTGAACATGTTTTCTGTGCTTTCTACATCTTTATTCTTAAATTCTCCCATATCATTCTTGAGGTGTTGATTTCTCAAAGTTCAATTTTCACCATTTAAGGATAGTGCAATTATAGACTTACTCTGTTGTCCAATCCACTCAGTATATTTGTATTTTATATTTCACTTTATAATCATAATTCGTGTGTATAAAAAGGAAGTTTTTTTTTTTTTAAATCACCACCTTTTTCTTTAATTTGAACTGAAAATGAACACAAGAAAATCTACAGAAGTTCATAACTTTATTGCTTTCAATCCGTTTTGTATTCTCTGTGTACATTACTACATCATTCATCAAGTGAATTATAAAGGCCTAAAACAATGAAATTACAGTCAAACTTTGATACCTCGGACTCAACGGAACTGAAAAGAAACTTGGAGGAATTGAGAGACCAATGATGAAATATAAATACAAAAAAGTGACTGAAACTTCCAAATCACTTTGAATTATCCATGGTATTTGAGATATCAGTGTTCAAAATACTGAAGTTCAACTGTACTTAGAGTTCCCTTAATCCCCCAGTCAGGTTCTTAATGAAGCAAAATACAATCTAACAAACATGTAGTAATGTGACTGAGGTTACATCAAATTCTTCAAATAATAAACAACATAATATTATACAGTTATGGAATGGGTATGAGGGAAATAGCAAATTTATGGTTCCCCAAGGGAGGAAACTATTTCCCGAGGCAGCGAAGCCGCCGAGGGAAACAGTTTCCTACCGAGGGAACCATAAATTTGATATTTCCCAAGTACCCATTCCATAACTGCTTTATTATACAGAAACAATCATGGGAGATTTATTAAACTAGAGACTCAGACATTTTTAAAAACAATACAGAGGTATTTAAATAATCACAATTGCATATGATCAAAAATATTGTAAGATAACTAATACATCAATACCGAGGAAAATAGAATTATTAAAAAAAATATAAAATAATTTCACTGACACTTCGAAGGATTATTGTTGCCTTCATTTTGCTAGAATATTTAAGTATGATTTTGACATCGCATGTCGAAATGTTTTGACGTCATACTTACATTGCTAATAACATTACGTCACAGACTCGAGATTCCTTGAATGCTCCGCCCACTGTTCATTTTAATTGGTTAAAATTATTAATATTCATGAGGGAGTAGTCCCAGGGAGTAGCTCCGATTTTTCAGGGAGTAGTCCCCAGATGAGGGAAATAGTATCTTCTCAGGGAAATAGACAGTTTTATGGTATTAATTTTATATAGAGTAATAACAGTAGAGGTATAATAAAATCTACAGTACAATGTTCTCTGTGTACACTTCTAGATCTTTCATTAGAATGGATTATATAGGCCTTAAATCAGTAGAATTTCGTGTTAAATGCTTCAGCCAATTTCCTTGAACAAAGTTGCCCATGTGGCACAGTAGTAAGAGCGTCCGCTCTAGAGTCACAAAGTAAGGAGTTGATCCTTACGTCATGGGTTCGAATCCCACTGTGGGACGTGGATACCAGTCCTTCGGATGAGACTGTATAAACCAAGGTCCTGTGATACAGTAGGTGCTGACACAAAAAAGATCCCTCACTGCTCAATGGCCCCGAGTGCCGAGTATAGGTCAAAATTTGCAGCTCTCCACCAGCAAGTGGTGGCGTCTCCATATCAGTGAAAAATTCTCAAGAGGGACGTTAAACAACAAACAAACGATCAAAGTCTTTATGTACATGAAAATAATTAAATTATGAAAACAGAGCTTCTAACAAAATCTTCTATGAAATATACATGATGTAATACAAGAATTATATCTACAATACAACACACATGCACACATACATCTTTAACAATGATATGCTATACTATATACAGTGTTCAGTTTGTTTTACGATGTAAAGCTAATCTCAGCATCTTCTTAAAAATTATTGACAGGCTGGTTTCTTTCAAGCACTGGCACCAAGTGAAAAGAAGATGTTCACAGTAGGATTTAAACATTAATTAGCCCCAAAAAATGCAGATCAATAAGAGACAAGTATAAATCTAGTACAATAATACTGATTGTGCATCATAAAATGATATACATGTCACTGACATTGAAGAACAATAAATTGCACAAACACAATAAAAGTGCTGAAATTTTTAACTACATTTGATTTACAGTGAGTTGGCAATAAATAAACAAAACATTTCACTAAAACATAAAGTCTCAATCGACTTATGGACCAGAATTTTTTTACACTACAATGATTATAAATATAGACTGGTGACTAGAAACCAAAATGTCTTAGATTTATACATAAGACTTATACATAGAATAGTGTAGCTAATCTTTCTGATCAAATTCTACAGCTGCATGCAGAGAATATGACAGATGATTTGGTGACAATAATTGACCTGCATGCCAACACTTTCACTGAAAGGGAGTGAATATTCCCTCGTAAGTGCAAACATGCTATATGTACATTTGCAATGCAACTGATTTGTTGTTTGTGATCTTAGTTAATCATACTTATAAGTTAAATTATAGACATTTCTATTTTAAAACATCTTTTATTCCTGTCCTCATATGTCAGGCCAGTACTGTGGCAAACTAAATTTGTAACAGCTTCCTTTAGTATCACAAATGGAAGGCACTTGTGTCTCATTCTGAAAAAAAAAGGAAAAATTTCAATATAATATTCTATATATATATATATATATATATATATATATATATATATATATATATATATATATATATATATATATATATTAGGGATGTCAACGAGTACCCCGTTAACTGGGTACTCGATCGAACGTCCGAATATCGAATACTAAAAATGGTACTCGGTTACTCGGATATGTATTTTTTCTTATTTCAATGTACATATTTTTTCAAAAACTTATCAAAAAATAACTTAAATATGCATATGGGTAATTAGCGTGTCATCATCTACACATGTAAACACCCAATATAGCCTATGGCTGTGTATATACAGTAATTAGTGACCAATCACCTGGTACACAGCTGTTCTCACCTATTGTGGTCCTTAATTTTTTTATGGCTTCCATGATTGTTTTTCAGTGAACATTGTTCAATATGGTCTATTATCTTCAAATCATTTTTACATAATTTAGTTAATATACGGCAGCGAAATCGGACATGCATAGAAATGCCCCTACCCACTTCAAAATAAGTAAAGATTTAAAAAAATGTTTAAAGTCAGTTTCCATAGCAAGTTTAGTGTATACGGGGGAAACAACCAACATATGAAAAAATATTAGACTAGCGATCCAAACAACATCCGTTCCTTCTCTTTCGCTAGTCTAATCATCACAAATCTGCATAACAGATTGTCCTCCTTTTGCATTGATGAAATAGATCCTAAACAAGAACTGTAAACTATCTGTAATTTTGATGTATTAATTGCGTCATTTGTGTTAATTTAATAAATAAATTTAGTACCAAAAATCATTTCTGTTGGACTCCATGTCTCCATGTTTACATACATTCATAAAAAGCGATAAAAACAGCTTTGGGGTCTAACAAATTAACAATTAAAAATTAACAAACTTGTATTTACATTTATATATATATATATATATATATATATATATATATATATATATATATATATATATATATATTGTGTCTGCTTTCCTTTGATACCAAATACAAGAGACCCATGGGCCACATTGCTCATCTGAGCACATTGGCCTAAGAAAAAGCACAAATCAGTTCAGTATTGAATAGTATTTGATTCCCCATTGTGGCCCAACCCTGGCCTAACCCCAGGGGTTATCATTTGAACAAACTTGAATCTACACTACCTGAGGATGCTTCCAAATCAATATGACTAATAATGGCTTTAATGTTCTTGAAAAGAATACCGGTTATTTTTAAAGATTCATTCTACCCCCGGGGATTATCATTTGAACAAACTTGAATATAAACTATGTAAAGAAAGTTTCCTATAAGTTTGAACTTTTTTGGTCAAGTGGTTCTTGAGAAGAAGAATTTTAAAGATGCCACCACATTTTCACTTTTTCTGAAATATCTTCCCTTGAAAGAGGACATGGCCCTTCATTTGATCAAACTTGAATCCCCTTTACCCTAGGATGCTTAATGGCAAGTTTGGTTGAAATTGGCCTAATGGTTCTGGAAGAGAAGTCGAAAACGTGAAAAGTTTACGGACAGAAGACAGACAGACTAGTAGACAGATAAAATGTGATCGGAAAAGCTCACTTGAGCTTTCAGGTCAGGTGAGCTAAGAAGTATATGTAAGGAAAAGTCCTGAACTTCTATAATTTTCTTGGATGTTCTTAAATAGAACAGGACAGGACATCTACTGCATAAATGTATCAGAAGGAATAAACTTCCAAACTTACCAAGAAAAATCAATCAAGATCCTCTCCAGTTCTTCATTTTCATAGTTAAAAAGAACTCTGCTCCAAAAACTTTAACCTGGGACACCAACACCAATGCTGAGGGTATCACATAAGGTTCCCCAATTTCGTTGAGTTGAGCTAAAAACTAAGAAATGATTTTTTGTATTATATTCTATGACATTTCTTGTATAAGTATCTCATTCAATTTCAATTACATCATTTACAATGATATATTATCATAGGTGAATAGCAGATGGGAATAATTTCTCTCAGTAGAATATAAATTAATGAAGCTCAGTTCAAGCCCTGCCCCAAACCCGGACACTTGACAAAGTGTTCCAAAATTTAAAACATTTGTTAAAAATGCCCTTGCTCAACACAACTTTGTACTCTTTTTGTCTCCTAGTTGCCCAGGAGCATAGATGAAGATTTTCAAAGAAATAACGATGTTCAGATTCCACACAGCCCCACATAAACACCAAAAGACCTGACTCAGGGGGCTATTATTTTCATAACTTTAAAAGAGGTACCCTTGCTCATCATAACCATACCATTCATTTGTCTGCTTAATACCACTAGGTAAAGAAGAAGATATTTAGAAAATTTATGCATTTCACTATCTTATCTAAAGAACACCTAAACACTCTGACCTAGATTGAGCCATGAAATTCACCATTTTGAAAGAGGCACCTTTGCTCATCATAACTATGCTTTTATTTTTGGTTAGCTCAATATCCAGGTGCAGAAATGAAAATTTCCAAAGATATATTGCATATATATATACTTTAATAGGCCCCCAAAACACCAGAACCATTGACCTTGGAGCACCACATTTAACAATTTTAAAAGAAGTTTCTTGCTCATCAAGCACTAAATTCATGTGCTAAATACCCAGTAAAACCTCACCCTGACACCAGAACCCCTGACTTTGGAGCCACTTATACTTAGATTTCTGCTTAATACCCAGGAGCAAAGATGATTTTCAAAGAAAAACATACCGGCACACAAGCATCAATAAAGCCCCACCCTAACACCAGATCCCCAGGGCCTGGGGCCAAAAATTTTACAATTTAAGTAGAGGTGCCCTTGCTTATTAGAACCATGCACCTAGTTTACCTGATAAGTTATACAGAGAGGAGAAGGTTTTTAAAAAAAATTAATCAATTTTCATTATATGATCATTAGAGCTCTGCCCTAACTCCAGAATCCCTAACCCTCCTTCATGAATTTCAAAGTTTTGGTAAGGGCTCAGTGCTTATTACAATCATGCCAACAGTTTGACTGCTAGATGTCCAGGAGTTATGATGAAGATTTTGAAAGATTGCACTAATTTTGATGGTTTAAACTCCACCCCTCAGTCCCCAGGGGGAGGGGGGGAGTGACCATGAAATTCAAAATTTTTGTACCCCTTCACTTATTAATGCTATTCCAAAATTAGTTGAAATTGGTTCAAAGGTTCAAGAGAAAAAGCTTAAAAAAAGACCTATAGTTTATGACCAACAAATGACACACATCCACAGAAAAGTGACTCAGGTGACCTAAAAATATATTTCTTTGTACATAACTTGTCTCCTAATGTGGTCTTATCCTATATGGGGGTCATGATTTGCATAAATTTGAAACTGCACTACTTGAGGATCCTTGCTTATTAGACTTCCTTAACAAAGCCAAGCTGCTCTTTAGGAAAAAAAAAGATTTATAAGTATTTTTCCTATATATATGTATTCCTGTGTCAAATCTTTCCTGATCCTAAATTCTGGGACCACAGTTTGAACAAATTTGAATAGATCTACTCTTTTGTCTAATCCTAATATAAACTCCTTTAGTTGCATGATAGGCTTCTTGATTGTAAACATGACCTTTTATGCACTATAGCTACATATAATCAGTACAATATAAAACAAGAGGCCCATGAGCCACAATGCTCATCTGAGGAATACAACCCTTCTTCATCAACAGATTCTTTTTCCTGTACATATTCCTACTTAAAATTTGATATCATATTGTAGCCCCACCCTTTTCCCAAGAGTCATGATTAACAAACTTGAAATTACACACCCGAGGATGCTTCCATGTAATCATGACTAATCATGACTTTGCTTGAGATTTATACAGATTTTTCCTATATATTTGTAGGTAATACTTTCATCCTCTACTGTGTCCCCACCCTACCCCCAGGCATCATGCTTTGAAAAACTTGAATCTAAAAAAGTTGTTGTGGGTGCTTTATTGTCAATATGACTAATCATGCCTTTGCTGTTCTTAATACAAAATAAGATTTTCCCTATGTATTCCCATGTAAAACTCTGATTGCCTGCACTTGCCCCACCATACTCCCAGGGACATGAATTGTATAAAACTTAATTTATTCTATGTCAGGAAGCTTTTACTTGGGTTTCATATTTTCAAGCCTAGTGGTTCTTAAGAACATTTGAACGATCATACCAAATTTTTACTGTTTCTTAATTATCTCTGCTGGGAAGAGATGTGGTCCTTTGTCAGAATGAATTTCCTTTACCAAAGCATGCTTTGTACGAAGTTTGTTTGAAATTGACACAGTGGTTCTAGAAAAGAAGATGAAAATGTGAAAAATTATGAAGGAGATGGACAAATGCACAAATTTTGATCAGAAAGAGCTCACTTGAGCCTCCAGCTGATATGAGTTAATGCTAAATAGAGATGTTAGTGTGAAATAATTAATTCAGGAGGTAATTGAATTAGATCCCTCTTCCTTAAAACTTTGATCATTTTTTGTGGTCCCATCCTACCCCAGGAGTTCATGAATTGAACAAACTTCAATCTACACTACCTGAGGATGCTTCCCCCACTTCTGCCCCACTCTACACCCCGTGGTCATGATTTGAGCACACTTCAACCTACACAACCTGAGGATAATTCAATATAAATATGACTGATCATTAGTTTGCTGTTCTTGAGAAGATTTTTAAAGATATTTCCTATATATTTCTATTTATAAATTTGATCCCCTGTTGTGGCCCCATGGTTAAGCTGTGCTTAAGATGAATATTCTTTAATGAGTTTTCCTATATATACCTATGTAAAAATTGTTCCCCTGTTGTGACCCCGCCCTGAAAAAAATAAGGCAGAACATTCAAGAACTTAATGAAAATTGTGGACTTCCTGATACCACATCAGAGCGGAAGGACATGCCAGATATAATAATGCCACCTTCAGTGCCATTCCAAGCTGCCACCAATGTGACTTATACCACAAGTGAAAATGTTACTCAGAGGAAAAATGTTGTGGCAGTGTTGTGTGGGAATAAACTATGCAAGAAAGGCAGACACCTGAGAAGCAAAGGAAAGGAAGTTTTCTGCCTAAGACACGAAGACTGCACTGCAACCATTCCTCCAGAGGCTACCACTGAAGATGAGAAGAGATGGGCTGCAAAATGGTGAGTTACAAAGTGATGACCGTCCACTAGTCATTTCCCATTTCACCAGTGATGGAGATGGAGCAGCTGCATCTGGTGAATCTGAAAAACAAGGACATGTCATTGAAAACCTTAAAGACTTGCATCATTTCTTTGACTCTCAAAGACAACAGAAGAAATCCAAAACTGCGAAAAATCCAAAACTGTTAAAATGCATGTACAGTATATATCTCAAAGAAAATACTGTAGATCTAAAAGATATCAGCTCTACAATAAAACATAGGTAATCAAAGATTACATAACTCAACTCAATGAATGTTTGTGTAAGGCAAAGTCCCACACTAAACAAATAACCTAGTAGTGTGCATCCCTAGATGCAACATTTATGCAATTTTGTTCTGATAGGGCTTTACAGTTACTTGGGAATGAACTAATCTAAGAACTTTTAACTTGCCAATTATCCAGAAATCCAGCATCTGAAGCGAGTTTGAGAATGTTCATCCCTTGATGCATCATCCTTGCAAGTTCGGTTCAGAAAGGCCTTATAGATTCTTGGTAATGGACCTGAACCAAAAACTTTAACCTGGTCACTCATCTGGAATATGTAGATCAAATCAAGCATCTGAAGCAAGTCCAGTAGTGTGCATCCTTAGATGTATCATCCATGCAAGTCGGGTCAAGGTACAGCAAATAGTTACTTTAGAATGATCCTGCTCCAAAAACTTTAACCTGGTCACCCATCTGGAAAACGTAGGTCAGATCCAGTATCCGAAGCTAGCCTGGTAGTGTGCATCCTTAGATGTATCATCCATGCAAGTCTGGTCAACATGGGTCTATAGTTACTTTAGAATGAACCTGTTCTATAAACTTTAACCTGGTCACTCATCTGGAAAATGTAGGTCAGATCCAGCATCTAAAGAAGGGTGGTAGTTAGCATCCTAAGATGTATCATCCATGCAAGTTTGGTCACGATAGGGCTTATAGTTACTTGGAAATGAGACCTGCCCCAAAAACTTTAACCTGCTCCAAAATCTTCAACCTGCTTTAAAAACATTAACCTGGTCATCTTTTAGCTGAAATTGCAGCATCTGAAACCTTGACTGGTACAAAGAAACACACTATAAACATCTTCCATGCAACTCTGATTTATGTAAGGCATAGAAGTGCTGAAAAAGAAAACTGCTGCAAAAACTATAACCTGGGACGCCGGAGGTATCACATAAGCTCCCCCAACTTCTTTGAGGTGAGCTAAAAATCTAAAGACACTTACAGTAAATCAGTAACAGATTCAATATTAAAAAGGAAGTTGTGTGAAAAGGGAGGGGGGAGGGAGGGGAGGGGGGGGGGCATTGATGCTGTGTATTTAATTTAAATGTATGAATTTTGTAATTAATAAATAATTTGTAAATTTATAGACTATATAATAATTGTTGTTATGTTTTATTATGCACTGATTCTATTCAACTGTGTAAATGGGGAAAATGTGGAAATGTAAATGATGTATAATTGTATGAGTAAAATGTGACATTTTCTTATATGAGGGAGTCCATACATGTAAAAATGTTTTAATTTTATCTTATTAAAATTATTTTAATTAATTATCTTGTTTTTCTTACCTATCTGATGAACACAACAAAGGTTACAGAGGTGATTGGTAGAAATACGGGTGTCAAAACTCTCTGTTGATGACCAGACAGCATACTGCATTGTATATCCGCCATTACTGATCTTACTGACCATGTACCAGGAGCAGAGAAGAAGATTTTCAAAGAATTAATGCATTTTCACTACACAGTCAATAGAGCCCAAACTAACACCAGAACCCCTGACCCTTGGAACATGAAATTCACAAGTTTGGAAGTGGCACTCTTGCTCATCATAACTATGTACTTATTTAGTTTATTTTATATCAAGGAGCAGAGAAGAAGATTTTCAAAGAATTAATGCATTTTCACTATATAATCAATAGAGCCCCAACCTAACACCAGAACCGCTGACCCTTGGGCCATGAAATTCACAATTTTGGAAGAGGCACTCTTGCTCATCATAACTATGTACTTAGTTGGTTTATTTAATATCCAGGAGCAGAGGAGAAGATTTTCAAAGAAATAATGCACTTTCACTAGATGATCTATAAAGCCCCACCCTAGCACCAGAACCCCTGACCCTGGGGCCATGAATTTCACAATTTTGGTAGAGGGCTCAATGCTTATTACAATCATGCTAACAGTTTGACTGCTTGATGTCCAGGAATAAAGAAGAAGATTTTTAAAGATTGCATTAATTTTGGTGGTTTTAGCCCCACCCCTTAGGCCCCAGGGGGGCAGGGACCATGAAATTCAAAATTTTTGTTCCCCTTCACCCATAGAATGCTATATGCCAAATTTGGTTGAAATTGGTTGAGCGGTTTCAGAGAAGAAGCAAAAAATGTTCAAATGTTAACACACATTGCACGATGACAGACAAAAACGGATAGCTATAGGTCACCTGAGTGACTCAGGTGACTTAAAAATTGAGACCAGAAAAAATACACCCTGACAGTAATTAACAGTAAACATATCTACCCTGAAATACACGTAGGCTTCACATGTTAACAAACATACTACACACCATCCAGGATGTTGCACCATGCACACCTAAAAAAAAGTTCCCTTTAATTAAGTGGGACAATTCTGCTAAAGATATGATATTCTGAGCTCATGAGTCCAAAATTAATACTGTAGGCCTAAAATTAGATGCCAAAAATGAAAAAATAAAAATAAATTGTCTCTCGTTATATATACAACTATAACTGACTAAGTTCATTTTGATTGGCTGTTTCCTTTGAACATACTCACGTCTTGTAATGAAATCTGTATTCATTTCTGAAAATATAAGTGCATAACATCAAAATCACTTTTCTTAAAGTTCTCCTCAGAAGAATATTATCTATGAGTGAAGGCAATGTCTATCATAAATTGAATGTTCTAGTAGTGTGCACATCTACATGCCTTACCATACAAGTTTGGTCTAGTTAGGAATTATAGTTTCTTGGGAATGTCCAAAATAATCATCCTGAAAATAAATGTCTTATCATCCACTTAAGTCAGAAGCATCATCCATGCAACTTTTTGTACAGGTAGAGCTTATAGTTACTTGAAACTTTGGTACTTTGTAAAAGTTTTATGGGCAAGTTCATTCCCAAGTAACTATAAGCTCTACGCTTAAAGTTACTTGGGAATGAACTTGCCCATAAAACTTTTACTGGGATGTCAACACACTTATAAAGCAAAAGCTCATCTCGACTTTGTTGAGGTGAGCAAAAAATATTCAGTTTACTGCCTTTTGAACATTTGTTGTCACATTGTAGAATTGGTAGTGTTTTCTTTAAATATGATTAATTATTATGCTGAGGAGTGTCCAAGAAATGTAAAACAATGTATTCTCTGGGGGAAAAAGTGATTCTATCACACCATCTAAGTTTGTTGGTATGCCAGTCTAACCTACCAAATGAACCACTTGTAGAAATCTTTATGGATGAGGAATTAGTGTCTTATAGTCATCCTGCCTCCCAATGATGGCATCATCAGAATCTGTCTCCATTCACTGTAATTATGACAAACTATTGCATAATTTTAAGTTGAAAGGAAAGCAAATGATATTTATATGAAATAACAAGATGTGTTTGTGAAACATTGTTGTCCCCTATGGCAGTTCAAGACAAAGGTTTGGATTTTTCAAATTTAGGTTGAGGTCTACAAGGTTAAAGTGAAGAGTTTAAAAAGTGTTTGTATTCAAAGAAAGGTCTTCTCACAACAAATACCATCTTCTCTAGTCAAAGGTTTCTGATCTGCTACATGTACTCTCCTTACAAACCCTTGGCATATGGTGCTGTCAAAAGATGGGAAGTACAGTCTAAGCAAAAAGTCTGAATCAGATCTGTTCATCAATTTTTAAAATCTCTTATACAGATAAAATGCAGGAATGTTTTTGAACTCAGTCAAATTAGTTTATCAGCTAAAAGACATATTCAGGACATACATGTATATCAAAACATACAAACAAAGTGATTACAGTCTTTTGTCCCTTTTAAGTCTATTTGCTTTAAGGGGAGGGGATGGGTGGGTACTGAATAGCATCTTTTGATTTTATCAAATGACAACTATGTTAACCTACCTTTTCTCATCTTTGCTCCAGCCTTTTCTTTCTACTTGTTTTACCTGGAAAAATGCACAAAATTTTCATTTTAGGTGTTGTACTACATTTTAACATCTTAGAATTTTATGAAATGGGATCTTTTTTCACAGTTTTCATCAAAAGAGCAGATCTGAAAAAAAATAATGACCTTCTTAAGAGATATATGAACATGTATATGCCTATTATGAAAGCATTTCCATATTCTAAGAAAATAAACCACCAAATACATGAACTTGTTTTTAACAAAAAAATACTGTATAAGTGGAAATCTTAGTGAGATGCCAATTTAGAAATTTACCCCCAAATTTTTAGCAAGAAGTAATTTAAGTGATTTTGTAATATCAAGAGAGAAAGCTATAACAGCCAAAATAGAATAAATTGTTAGCAATATTCAATTTTAGCAATCTCAGTTCCCTCACTAAAAATGCCAAAATTGAATCCTCCCTAAAAATTCTGCTTCTATGGTAATTTGAATTCTCAGAAATTATACTCATTTACAGAATTGCAAATGATTTCTTGCAATGACAAAGAATTTAAAATAAGTATAGACGATTATAAAATACAATAAAAATCTTTGAGTATATCTGGTGCAGTTTTTTGGGGTTATCAAACACATTTTTAAAATTGTTCTTTCATTTGCAAAAATTCCAGTGAAGTAAAATATGAAACTAGGAACATTACTTCATCAACCAAACAATAATAAAAACAAAGGGGGAGTTTCGATAAGGCGGTTTTTCGGCCCCTCACGAAATTTTCTGAAATTTTTTATATTTTGTAGAAAAACTCCTTATCGTCCAAAAAATATGAAAATAATTTATGTGACACATTTTCCAGTCACGTGATAATTGAAAATTTAAGTATACCCCCTTTCGTATATTTTTGGAGTAGACATTTTTATAGGGGGAAAGTGGATTTTTTAAATCGTCAAAATAATAAATGAAATAGGGTAAATATGAATAAAGACATAAATTAACCAATTTCAACAATTTTTTTTACGGAAAATGGTATTTACCTTAAGCGAATGTTTTTTTTTTTAAGGTGCGATATTTTTCTGGTGTGTTAAATGTTACTTTTCTTTAAAAGAGGATGAATTGATCTTATAAAACGTAAACATATATAGAAAGTTTTAACATCATAATTAATCGACAGTTTATATGTAAACTTTACAATCAATATTTAACATTTTCCCATACGAAAAATGCAAATGAAAAGATATATGGACATGAGACAGGTAAACGTAAAAACGTCATATACAGGGATATGCAATACATTTTCATCAATGAGATTATACAACTACATATTTTATAAAAATATACCTTAATATCATAAAATTGAAATTAAAGAGGCTGGGGGGTTGTGGCCATTTTTAGACTATATTGATCTCCTTTAGAAGAAGAGCTCCATATGAAGATATAGAAAATGATCAAATTTTAAAACTAAAATTTTTGAAATTTTTCTTTGCCAAATGATAGTTGACAGCTTAAGATATCATATCTAAAAATTAAAGTTAAATCTGGTGGTTAATTTGTGGTTAATTTGTTGACCCCCCAGCCTCCTTAAATAAAATGTTTTGAATTAAAAAGATTAAAAAATAAATGCAACTTTATATACATACATGAATAAGAAGTTTATTTAAAAGAATCATATTGCTATGTAAGCCGGTACGTTGTAGGTGCAAGGTAAGAAAAATATTTTATCTGGCAGCCACCACATAATTATTTGGCGGCCACTAGAAAAATATATCTGCCAAATAGCTTTCCTGCGGCCAAAACATAAATAACTGGCAGCGACCAGAAACTTATTTGGCGGCCAACACATAAATAACTAGAAGCAGGCAAGTAAGTTTCTTGCGGTGTAGACATGTAATCTTGCTAATAAGGCATGAAACTCCCAGATTTGACTACAAACAGAAGTTGTAGATGTCGTTAAAGGCAGAGATTTTAAGCACCGCCTTTAAAAATACCTGGTCTGTGTACCTCTGTCAATCAAGTGCATTAAGGTACATCACTGGGTGCTACAACTTGATTGGCAAACCACTAAATTTTTTCTGGCAGCCGCCAGATATTTCAATGGCAGGCCAGATAATATATTTTTTTTTTACCTAGCACCTACCGGCTTCAGTATATTGCAATGTATTTGATAATATGAATAATATTAATTACAGTCAAAAATATTTTATCATGATACGTAATATGTGAATAGCCAAATGATGGAAAAATCTATAATACATTGAGTGTTTCCTTTTCATTATGAAACTTAGAAGTATTTGCCTGCATTATGTTTTCAGCATAACTGAGAGAATCCCAGCCAGGACTAATTTCCTATCGCTTCCCCGCTCTCCATAGATACTTAAGTTGCTTCACCAACTCTAGTCACTCCTCATTTAGAGAGATTTAGAATTCATTATAAATGATTTGCTAGACCAAAGCGCAGTTCGAAATACACGTGTAAATGCCAAAGATATGTGTTTAATCCTTAATCAGGCAGACATATGCGCCTAGACATCCAGACTTAAAACAATCCACGTTCCCTATATGTCAATCACACGGAAATACATGGGCACTTCTCTAGCATGTTGGAGCGTGAATTTCTATACAAGAAAGTCAAAAATATTTGTATTTTTGACTTTCTGGTAACTATGCATGATAAATAACGTTAAGGAATGGACTTGCTTTAAAACTTTTTTGTTCAGTCAGTCAGAAAATGTAAGAAAGTTCCAGCATCTGAACCATGTCTGGTAGTGTGCAATCCTAGATGCATCATCAGTGCAAGTTTGGTTATGATAGGGCTTATAGTCACATAAGAATGAGACACACTTCAAAATCTTTAACCTGCTCTATCATTAAGGAAATGTAGGTCATATCCAGCATCTAAAGCAATCTAATAGTGTGCATCTGTAGATGCATCATGAGGCAAGTCTGATCAACAAGTGCTTACAGCTGCTCTGCTCCAAAAACTTAAACCTGCTTTTAAAACATTTACCTGGACATTCTTTGGGTAAAATCCAGCATTTGAAACCTTACTGGTGACAAGGAAACATGCTAGATCAGGTGACTGTGATTAATATAGGGCATAGATACCGATGCTGACGGTATTACAAAAGCTCCCCCAACTTCGAGGAGGTGAGCTAAAAATGTGACGTTAGCATTAACGTTATATGTTGGCGACAAATATAGTATCAAAATGAAGACAGGATACGATAATGTTTTCTACTGTTAATACATGTATAATCGAGAATCTTCTTTAATTCAACAAAATATGCTACTTTTGGCTTAGTATTTTAACATAGAGTCAGATCAAGAAACCAGGAGTTTCTACTTTTAGATATGCATGTTATGCAATTTTCAATTTTTGGATATGAAGTGCACAGGCGACACTCATCATATTTCAAGAAATTAGTGTGCAGAGTATATCTAATTACTGAACAAATTTAGGTGAGTGTCCCTCATGCACTTCATATTCTAAACATTTATTTATAAATGCCACCCTCTTATATTTTCCCATGAGCCTAATGTTAACGAATCTGAGTGTACATCTAAGTATGTATCAGCTACGGTGTTAATTCTTCTCATATTAACTTTTAAAATATAAATAACAAAAGTTAACATATTTATCTTGAATTCTAAACTAGTTTTGAAAAAATAAATTGAAATTTATTTTTAAGAAAAAGTGGGCCGCTGAGCGGCCTTATCGAAACTCCCCCTTTAACATCAAAATTTCAAACTCAGAATGTCTGGATCTAAACTGACTTGTTTTGTTCCAGCTTGACTGGGTTAGGTTTTAACTAGAGTGGGTTTGATTCTAAACTGACTTATTCATGTTCCTGTCTAACTTGATTAGATTTCTACCTGACTGGGTTAGGCTCTAAACTGACAGTTTTATGAATCTGCCTGACTGGGTTAGGTTCTGAACTGACTTGTTCATGTTTCTGCCTGACTAGGTTACATTTTTTCCTGACTGGGATAGGTTCTAAACCGACTGTTTTATGTTTATATCTGACTGGGTAGGTTCTAAACTGACTGTTTTATGTTCCTGCCTGACTGGGTTAGGTTCTAAACTGACTGTTTTATGTTTATATCTGACTGGGTAGGTTCTAAACTGACTGTTTTATGATTCTGCCTGACTGGGTAGGTTCTAAACTGACTGTTTCATGATTCTGCCCGACTGGGTTAGGTTCTAAACTGACTGTTTTATGTTTCTGCCTGACTGGGTTAGGTTCTAAACTGACAGTTTCGTGATTCTGCCTGACTGGGTTAGGTTCTTAACTGACTTGTTTATGTTCCTGCCTGACTGGGTTAATTTCTTAACTGACTTGTTCATATTACTGCCTGACTGGGTTATGTTTCTACCTGACTGGGTTAAGTTCTGAACCGACTGTTTTATGCTTCTGAATGGGTTATGTTTCTACCTGACAGGGTTGGGTTTTAAGCTGACTGTTTTCTGATTCTGTCTGACTGGGTCAGGTTCTAAACTGACTTGTTCATGTTCTTGCCTGACTGGGTTAGGTTTCCACCTGGCTGGGTTAAGTTTCTGCCTGAGTGGGTTAGGTTCTAAACTGACTGTTTTATGTTCCTGCCTGAATGGGTTAGGTTCTAAACTGACAGTTTCGCGATTCTGCCTGACTGGGTTAGGTTCTTAACTGACTTGTTTATGTTCCTGCCTGACTGGGTTAATTTCTTAACTGACTTGTTCATATTACTGCCTGACTGGGTTATGTTTCTACCTGACTGGGTTAAGTTCTGAACCAACTGTTTTATGTTTCTGACTGGGTTATGTTTCTACCTGACAGGGTTGGGTTTTAAGCTGACTGTTTTCTGATTCTGTTTGACTGGTTCAGGTTCTAAACTGACTTGTTCATGTTCTTGCCCGACTGGGTTAGGGTTCCACCTGACTGGGTTAAGTTTCTTCCTGACTGGGTTAGGTTCTAAACTGATAGTTTTATGATTCTGCCTGAGTGGGTTAAGTTTCTACCTGACTTGTTTGGGTTCTAAACTGGCTATTTTATGATTCTGCCTGACTGGGTTAGGTTTTAAACTAACTTGTTCATGTTCCTGCATGACAGGGTTAGGTTTATACCTGATTGCGTTAGGTTTTGAACTAACTTGTTCATGTTCCTGTCTGACTGGGTTACGTTTCTACCTCACTGGGTAAGGTTTTAAATTTACTGTTTTACAACTCTATGTGACTGGGTTAGGTTCTTAACTGACTGTTTTATGATTCAGCCTGACTGGCTTGGTTTCTTAACTGAATTGTTCATGTTCCTGCCTGACCGGCTTAAGTTCTAAACTGATTTGTTCATATTACTGCCTGACTGGGTTATGTTTCTGGGTTAGGTTCTGACTTGAATATTTTATATTCCTGCCTGACTGGGTTAGGTTTCTACCTGACTGGGTTAGGTTCTGAACTCACAGTTTTATGTTCCTGTCTGACTGAATTAGGTTTCTTCCTGACTGGGTTAGATTTTAAGCTTACTGTTTCACAATTCTACCTGACTTTGTTAGGTTCTTAACTGACTTATGTTCCTGCCTATCAGGGTTAGGTTCTAAACTGACTGTTTTATGATTCAGTCTGACTGGCTTAGGTTCTTAACTGACTTGTTCATATTCCTGCCCGACTGGGTTAAGTTCTAAACTGACTTGTTCATATTACTGCCCGACTGGGTTATCTTTCTACCTGACTGGTTAAGTTCTGAACTGACTGTTTTATGTTTCTGACTGGGTTATGTTTCTGCCTGACTGGGTTGGGTTCTAAACTGACTTGTTCATCTTCCTGCCTGACTGGGTTAGGTTTCTACCTGACAGGATTAGGTTCTACACTGACTGTTTTATGATTCTGCCTGACTGGATAAGGTTTTAAACTGACGGTTTTATGATCCTGCCGCACTGAGTAAGGTTCTGAACTGACTGTTTCATGACTCTGCCTGACTGGGTTAGGTTCTAAACTGACTGTTTCATGATTCTCCCTGACTGCATTAGGTTCTTATCTGACTTTTTCATGTTTCTGCCTGACTGGGTTAGGTTTTTTCCTGACTGGGATAGGTTATAAACTGACTGTTTTATGTTTTTACCTGACTGGGTTACATTCTAAAATGACTGTTTCATGATTCTGCCTGACTGGGTTAGGTTCTGAACCGACTTGTTCATGTTCCTGCCTGACTGGGTTAGGTTTCTACTTGAATGGGTTAGGTTTTAAAGTGACTGCTTCATGATTTTGCCTGACTGGGTTGGGTTCTAAACTGACTTGTTCATGTTCCTGCTTGACTTGGTTATGTTTCTACCTGACAGGGTTAGGTTCTAAACTGACTGTTTTTTGACTCTGCCTGACTAGGTTAGGTTCTAAACTGACTGTTTTATGATCTTGCCGCACTGAATAAGGTTCTGAACCGACTGTTTCATGATTCTGCCTAACTGGGTTAGTTTTAAACTGACTTGTTCATGTTCTTGCCCGAGTGGGATAGGCTTCCACCTGACTGGGTTAGGTTTCTGCCTGAATAGGTTAGGTTCTAAACTGACAGTTTTATGTTCCTGTTTGACTGGGTTAGGTTTTAAGCTTACTGTTTTACAATTCTACCTCACTGGGTTAGGTTCTTACCTAACTACTACCTAGTTCTTGTTGCAACCGGAGGCACATAGGGCAAGGATTAGGGATTAGGGGCTAGGTTCTTAACTGACTTATGTTCCTGCCTGACTAGGTTAGGTTCTAAACTGACTGTTTTATGATTCAGCCTGACTGGGTTAGGTTTTTAACTGACTTGTTCATGTTCCTGCCTGACTGGGTTAAGTTCTAAACTGACTTGTTCATATTACTGCCTGACTGGGTTATGTTTCTACCTGACTGAGTTAAGATCTGAACTGACTGTTTTATGTTTCTGACTGGATTATGTTTATACCTGACTGAGTTGGGTTTTAAGCTGACTTTTTCTGATTCTGCCTGACTGGATTAGGTTCTAAACTGACTTGTTCATGTTTCTGTCTGACCTGGTTATGTTTAATCCTGACTGGGTTAGGTTCTAAACTGCCAGATTTATGTTTCTACCTGACTGGTTTATTTTTCTACCTGACTGGGTTAGGTTTTTAACTGAATGTTATACAATTCTGCCTGTCTGGGTTAGGTTCTAAATTGACTTGTTCATGTTTCTGTCTGACTGGGATAGGTTTCTTCCTGACTGGGTTGGGTTCAAAACTGATAATTTTATGATTCTGCCTGACAGGGTAATATTTCTGCCTGACTGGGTTTGGTTCTAAACTGACAGTTTCATGATTCAGCTTGACTGGGTTAGGTTCTTAACTGACTTGTTCATGTCCCTGCCTGACTGGGTTAAGTTCTAAACTGTCTTGTACATATTACTGCCTGACTGGGTTATGTTTCTACCTGACTGGGTTAAGTTCTGAACTGACTGTTTCAGTTTCTGACAGGATTATGTTTCTACCTGACTGGGTTGGGTTTTAAACTGACTGTTTTCTGATTCTGTCTGACTGGATTAGGTTCTAAACAGACTTGTTCATGTTTCTGTCTGACTGGGTTATGTTTAATCCTGACTGGGTTAGGTTCTAAACTGCCAGTTTATGTTTCTACCTGACTGGCATAGGTTTCTACCTGACTGGGTAAGGTTTCTACCTGACTGGGTTTCTACCTGACTGGGTAAGGTTTCTACCTGACTGGGTAAGGTTTCTACCTGACTGGGTTAGGTTCTTAACTGAATGTTACGCAATTCTGCCTAGGTTCTAAATTGACTTGTTCATGTTTCTGAACTGACTGTTTTATGATTATACCTAACTGGGTTAGGATGTGAACTGACTGTTTTATGTCCCTGATTGACTGGGTTACATTCCTGACTGCGTTAGGTTCTAAACTGACTAATTCATGTTTCTTACTGACTAGGTAATGTATCTTCCTGACTGGGTTAGGTTTTAAACTGAGTGTTTGATGTTTCTACCTGACTGGGTTAGGTTCTAATATGACTGTTTTATGTTCATGCCTGACTGAGTTAAGTTTCTATCCGACTGGGTTAGGTTCTTAACTAACAGTTTTATGATTCTGCCTGACTGGGTAATGTTCTAAACTGACTTATTCAATTTTTAGCCTGAGTGGGTTTTGTTTCTGTATTACTGATTTGGATCTGAACTGACTATTTCACGTTCCTGCCTAAGTGGGTTAGGTTTCTGCCTGACTGGGTTAGGTTCTAAACTGACTGAAGGAAGTCACTTTAAGTCTGGGTAAGCTAGGTTCTAAACTGACTTTATCATGTCCTTCCCTGACTGGAATATATGTTGTTCTGAACAAGATTCCTAAATGACCACACTCAAGTTTTTGCTTATTCTTAATTATTTCCACTTGAAAGGGGGCATGATCCTTCATTTAAATCTTTACACAAGGATACTCTGTGCCAAATTTGGTTAAAATTAGTTTCAGAGAAGAAGAGGAAATTGTGAAAAGTTAACCAAAAAATCAATGATGTAAATGACTACATGCTACAATCTAATTGAAATTAAATCCTTTGATCAGCTCACATATGATCGCTACACAAAGTGTGTAGGGATCATATGTGAGCAGATCAAAGGATCTAATTTTAATTAGATTGCACATGCAATGGACAAATTTGGATCAAAAAAGCTCACCTGTGCCACTGTGCAAAAGGAGGAAGGGGTATTGATGCTGTGTATGTAGTTTATATATGTTCTATTTTTATTACATATTAAAATTATTTTCAACAATTACCTTGTTATTTTACCTGTCCAAAGAACACGACAAAAAAGATAACAGGGTGATTGGTAGAAATATAGGCATACAGGTGTCAAAACTCCCTTTTGGTGAACAGTCTGCATCACTCATTGTTTATCCACCATTAGTGATCTTTAACAGAGGAGACTATGTAGGTTTCACATGTTGACAGTCTACACACCATTGAGTAAACTACATCATTTCCAACTAAAAGAAATCTTTTTTATTCACAATAAATGGATTGAAATATGCTGCTCAAAATAACTTCAAAATATCAATAACTTCCTCATTCAATTTAAAATAAAATCTTATTGAAAGTACCAGATCATAAGTTTAGTTTAAGTACACTTCATACTTTCTTGGACGTTAACAAACCTAGATGAAAATGGCAGATAGGCAAGTTCAATTGCTGGTGATCAGATACAAGAAGCTCAGGCAGGTCCAATTGCTGGTGACCAGATACACTTAGTGGTTTGGATTGTGCTGACCGGGATGTCGGCATGGGTGGATTAGAGCAGCTTACAAGCTATGCAGGAGTCCAAGTTTGATTCCCTGTCAATCCTTTCCAGTTATAATATTAAATTAACATATGAAAAAGCATAGATATTAGCGAGCGCAGCGAGCAGCGCAAAGCGCCGCTCATCACTGGGAGCTCTAAAAGCAATGCCTGGGCGAAGAGAAAATTCTGACTTTGCAAATTGATCCAAATGAATTTTTTTCCACAGTTACCTGTGGTCCCATAATGCTTTGCGAATTGCTTCTCCCCACAAACAACGTTCTCGCGGTAGCAAGAAGTTCCAAAAAAAATATACACCCACGTTGATTTGATGGATATATAGCAGACAAATAGTAGATTAAAACTTCTTTATTAAAATAAGCCCTGTTCAGACTTTGTTTTGGTAATGCTACTTACAAGCGACGTTATATGACGTCAGAGTCTAGACGTACTAAAAGTCTCGTGCAGTTTGATAACTTTGAAGAGCCCGATCTAAATTAAAACTGAATATAGGTATCTGCGCTCACCCTTACGGTTGCACCGTCAACATATTAAAAATATACAAGACATTGTACGTTCGAAAATGACAAAATAATTCCCCTACTCTCGCACTGAAAGTCTTCAAACTTCTATACATTTATAATATATATATATACACACTTTTGAATAAATTCACTAAATTCTAAAGAAAATAAGGAGCTGTGTAAGAGTGTGGGGTGCTAACTTTATTGAAAAATGAGAGGGGTAGATGTTGATTATACTAGGCCTACGTTTTCGTGGGGTTTCTAACATAAACCATAAAAATACACCTCACCCTCCGGCCGCCAGTCCGCTTCTTTTTTTCTTATACAATGCACATAACACAGCTCATCGATGTAGCATCAATGTTTCGGTGTATTTTTCTTTGTGACCTCTTCGTTTCTACTTCCGTTTCATTTTCAGTTCTTGCTAATCATGCCAAACGTTATTTCTCCCGCCGCTAAACTAACTTCGGGATCGATGTACTCAGCTACATAATATAAAACTGAAACCATACCGGAATTAATTTTCCCGAACTGCTTGACTGGTTAAGTAATAGACTCTACCCTTTCGGTAAATGTCAGAATGCAAAAGTTTTGAAACGGTGCCTTCCAAGCGGCCGTTTGGACATTGAAAGATATATGACGTAACACGATTAGGGGTAAAATATATATGTTTCATTAAAGGGTACCATGTTTCAGACAGGAGAATTCATATAATACGAGAGATTGTATCCAAAAGTGTCACCGTAAATCGAAGGTTTTTTTTTTTTTTTTTTTTTTTTTTTTTTTTTTTTTTTTTTTTTTACAATGGAAGGATTCGTAGCTCTCTGGTATGTGTGTTCGGATTTTTTCCCCCTGAAATTATGGTTTTCCAGCAAAATGATTGTCTGATTACTGCATACTAAAGCCTACAATGTCTGATTACTGTTTAAAACAAAATTTGTAGAAAATAGAATCAATGCCATCTTAATTAAATTAAAGAAAAAAAAATACTCAGTAATCTGCAAGATAATTTTTGGTTTAGTCATATGTCCTTTTGTAAAACAGACACCAGGCCAGGACTACTTGACCACTCTTGAGAGTAGCTTATCAAAGTTCAATCTTCATAGAATAAGTGTTTCAAGCACTTGACATTTTGACTTCATATTCTTTTACTTTACACCTTCTCAAACTTGAAATTCTTAATTCAAAGCATATCCCTTAGAGCATTGACTTCAAATTCAGGCTCCGGAGCCATAAAACAGAGAAGATCTAACTTTTGATCTTAGTCTCTTTTACAAAAGGAATATATAGTGGAAAAGTAAGAGTGAGCTCGTCTCAGTTTTTGTGGCCCCGGAGCCTGATGATGCATATGGACAGATTACAATAAGTATGTTCATTTAAATGTTCACAACATTGATAATTATGTCAATAAAACAGTTTATTCTTCATATTATAACAATAAAAAAAAAATCAGATTTAGAATGTTAAATGTACATGTAATCAATCATTGAAACAGCAACAATGGACCCACGTATGATCCAAATCATATAACTAACACGTCCAAATCGTGCATAAAAAGACCGATTTATTAAAATCACACATTTAAAAATATAATAATGAGAAGTTCTTTTCCATGTAACATGTACATCTTTTACATCATGTACACTGCACAGGTTATCAGTCCACTGAATGGTTCTAAATTAGGGATGGCAAAGGATATTCGAACATTCGAATATTCATTCGATGAGTTGACATTCGAATATGAATTTAAGATTCGAATATTCGGTGTTTTTCAGATTTCATAAAAAGAAGTACTGTGATTAATAAATTTTGATTAGAACAGTGCAGGAATTATCCCTGTTTAATTTACTAGCGATCAATTTCGATCGCCTGATTTCTTTCACTACTTTCTTATCTTATAGGTATACTAAATTACATTTATTTTGTTTCGAGTAAGGTGTTAAAGAATTGTACAATAATGCTGTATGTATAATACAAAACGTACTTTCATAGTTTTTATTAGTTAGATACCATCGGATCTAGAATCGAGGACAACAAAATGAAAACCTTCTTAGAATCTCTAAAAGACGCGAAGAGTATAGTTTTCAAAATAAATTTAATTGATCATTGAATGAATGTCCGATAGAATTAGTCTGTAATTAATATTGCTCAATTTCAGAATAAATGTGTAAATTGCTTGATTATCTCGGGTTGTACATAATCCTATATTTTATATTCATTAAAGGGAAATTAGTTAATTACCTAGGAAAATTGTCAACGGAAATATTTGTTAATATTTTGAAAACATTGTATGAAATATTATAATCATATCTCTTATTAGGCAGATAACTGTAATTTATTACGCGTATTGAAATCTGAACAGTACACCGTTACGACTATATCTTGCCTTTGGTAAGACGACTGGTTCCTCAATTGGAGCTACTATAAATACACATGTTTCATTTGTTAAAATTATACTTTTCTAGATTGAAATCAATTATTCATTTCAAACATTGACAAATATCAAATGAAATTTCTTATTGTACACCTACAAAAGTTTTCGTACAATTTTACTTCCAGTATAAGTATACATGTACCTACGCTAAACCTTTCATAAGAGTAGGATGATGCATATATAAATTAAACAGATTTTATTATTTTATCGAATATTCGAACATATTCGAATACTTTCATTGAATAGTCGAATATGAATTATTGACAAAATTGACATCAGTATTCTAAATATATAAATAATGAATACCGGTAAATCCACAGGGTCATATTATAAATATAATTATATACTTGTCTGAACACAATGTTGATGAGCTCTTCTGATATGTATATCATGAAACATTAGAACTACTGTTCCTGAAACTATAACAATGCATTCACTAAAACTGAGTATCACTGTTTGAATAAATGCTTAAGATTACAACTGCGTCCTGAAATAATTACTCGGATATCTCCATATTGGTATGTATTCTCTTCGGATTCCAAGTTAAGCCACTGACTTTGAAATTGACATGCAGAGCAATCGTTGTATATTTCCATTTGATGCCGCCATGACGACTGATCAATTTTCATTCACAATATCCATGAGGTTTTTTCACAAATGAATATCTACCACACTTTCATTTTCTTCGAAAGCAGAATATTTCTATAAGTCTTTGTGTCCATGGTTTTGTGGAATGGTGATTCTGTAAGTAATTGTAATCGATAGATAGGTATAGAAATAAAATGATACCCACAAGCTACAGGTAGACTGTGTATTGCTCTTTTAGTTGAATATTACTAAACACACGAATATGTTAAACTTGGAGAAAAATACAATAGATTTACAACAGAATTAATAGATACATGTATAACCTTGTATACAATGTAACTTATATATTTCTTGTTAGAGTAATATCAAAATTATTATTTGATGTTAACTACAAGATATATTCTTCACCATTTACGTAATAGCATATATTCCTTTCTTATTGTTTGATGTTTATACACATGAGTGTATATATTCTATTCCTAAGATCACATTTCTTACCTTGGGTTTCGAGTTATTCTCTGACTCTTTCTGAACTATTTCTCGTGCTCGGTTGACAATTTTTAAAACATAATCCTAAATTAAATTGAAAGAAGATGGATGAACAAGGCGGGCGAAGTGCCTATAGTGCGACAAACATGAAGTGAAAAATAAAATCTCAATTATATAAAAATTTTCTTTGATATTTCATCTAGCATTAAAGTATATTTTATGCTAAATCTCTACAATTTACAAAAATCTCACAAAGACTGAAATTATTTGCCTACGAAATACCATACACACACTAAAGAGGACAAAAAGGATCATTTTCTCACACTTTAACAAAATTTTTCGATATGAGTGGGTCTTCGCTCCATTTTTTTGAAAGTTGATCCTAAAAGTTTGCATAAAAATATACATTTTTTGGTTTACAAAAACATGGAGAAAAGACCCACTATACCTTAAAAGTACACTTTTATGACAAAGCATTCGCATCTTTCCGAGAAATACTTGAAGTCCATTAAGTCAAGGGTCATATCACAAACATGATTTAAATGCCACTTTTCGTCAGGAGCTGCGTGGCGTAGTGGTTAGCGTGTTAGTCTCAAAACAATACGATACTCCGGATTTTTATTGATAGGGGTTCGAATCCCACGAATACCATTTTATTTTTTTTAATAAAAGAATAATTTTTTCCGAGATCTTTTTTCTCAGGAAAGTTTTGTTAATCATAATTTCATAAATTTCAATAATGAGAACTTTATTTTAAATACTTAATTCACAAATTGAATATGATTTTATCAATATCTGAAGCTATAGGCATTCTGCACGCCTTGTTCACCCATCTTCTTTATAAGTATCCAATCAGCAAACTTTGTACGTAGTATTACCCAAGTGAATGAACAATTGCAATGAAATGGCATTATGTCCAAAGAAAATATATTCAACTGCGTATCATTATAAATTATTAATTAATAAATCAAAATAATGAACTCTTCATAATGATCTTTACGATTAAAACCTACCTTTACAGCTTCCAAGTCAACATCTGGTAAAGGCTCCTTTTCTTCCGATGGATTCTAAAATGTAAAAATTTTGGAAAGGAAATTATTTCTTGATAATGTACGTTGATTTAAAAATAGATAGTAACCCCCCCCCCCCAATCGCCTCTAATACAACACAAAGTACTATCCCAAATGAGCGTAGCTTTCTTATTGTATCACATACCGATAGTTTGTTGCGTTCCATTTCCTCTGAATTCAGTCCTGTTTTGGGATCATCATGGAAATTCGTACTGGCCTTCAGCTCAATTTCACATACATTACATAAAGACTACAAATATGTTTTAAAAGTCATTTTAAAAACAAGTGAACTCTATCTCTGAAAAAGGAAGTAGATATAACAAACATTTCCTTGAAGGTATACACACAGTGATAAATAAATACCTCATCCTCGTTAGTGGCCTTGTGGAGTCCGTTTTCGTTTAGAGTGTTGACACCGTCTAAATCGGTGATTTGATTATTCTCGCTGGAAGAATCCTAAAAAAATGAAATCATCTACATCTAATGTTATTATTTTCATAGTGAATAGGTCTTGATTGATATGTCATGATTTGTCAGAAAATATTTTCATGAGCACAGTAGATTTAGTGCCATATGGAAAACCGTTTATGTATTTATATAGTGTATATATAACGCTGAGGTTAATGAACTGAATACAGCACGTTATTGTAAATAAGGTCACACATGTACCACATGCCAGAAGACTCCAGGTTCAGCCTCAGGGGGTGGAGCTTCAGCAAAGTTATTTCACAATTGAATTCTGTGTACATTTATGGATTTTAGCAGCCTAGTGTAAATTAAATGAAAGTTTACCCAGCATGATGTAGATGGACGTTAAGGAAGTGTGCCTGATATAAATTACTGTTCGGCAAATGGGCGTACGTTTTTCTTTCAAATGCAATTTAAGACTGATATGGTCCTGTGATATTCTTTGTTTTTAGCACATTTACATAATGCTAAGGACATATATAAAACATCATCAGGACTTCAGCAGATATATATATTCTGTATTTGACGTTTTTGTTCGTCATAATTGTCAACAGTATAGATACACAACCTACAATCAGTTAAGTTTAGTGCGAGGTTCTGATATCTGAGTCACATGTATTGGATACAAATCTTTCTTTAGACTTTCTTTATAAATCTTATGTTAAAGGTATCACTCTGGTTATAATCAACTTTTGCATCAGGTATGGACTTGTACGATCCAGACTATATTGTACATTACATTGACTTATGTACACTTGCCTGTTCTTTGTTTTACAATTTGTCATTTATGACTTTCTGAAGTCCAAAGCATACATCCAATTTTATTCATATGATCTTTTCATCTATTAACAAAAAGACCAATCCTTCAAAATTTAAGTATTTTTGTACGCATAAACAAACAAGTTATATTAAGACAAACGACAGAAGGTCGTGAGTTCGAATCTCGGCCGCGACTGACCAAAGTCGATAAAAAATAGGTAGCAACTGTTCCTTCGCCGGGTGCTGGGCACTTTGAAGTGAAAGTTGCGGGCCCTTCGGATGAGACCTTAAAAACCGAAGGCCCCGTGTCGCGGCAGACCCCTCACTGCTCAATGGCCCTGAGTGCCGAATATAGGTCTAATTTGAAGCCCTTCACCGGTATATGCATGGTAACGTCTCTATATGAGTGAAAAATTCGAATGGGACGTAAAACAACAATCAATCAATCAATTTTTTCTATTCAATCCTCTATGAGGGCTTGTGCTAATACTTTGAATGCCAGCACCCTTTAAATATCATTTACTCTCTTTTTACTTTCTTTAATTCTAAATTAGAGATTTAAATGTTTTAGATATATTGTATGGAAGGAGTTGCACAAATGACATTTGAAACAGAAACACAAATTAAAGGTATGGTGCAAAATTAGCAATACAGGGTTACTTTCAGCATTAATAGCTATTGTGTGCAAAATTCCAATGGTCTGTCTGACTTTCTTTTCCAATGCAGTAATAGTCTGTCCAACATGAGCTTCCACCTCATTTTTGACGATAGCGAATACATAAAGTATAACATTTCAAACCATTTTTAGTCAGACTGGATGCATATAACTTTAAAACAAACCAGTATGACACAATATCGCAAAGTCTTTGGAATTTACAATGTTAATTTCGGTCACTGTTGAGAAGTGTACGAGGGAGTAGTCATTATTTCCAAAGAATATCATTTAAAATCGACATTACGTCATTACGTTCCTGATGGCAAGCAATGGACAATAAGGAATAATGACGGACTCTTTTCCAAAGTTGTAGATATTTTCGTAATCTTAAATCAACTTTGGATACTTTTAATTTGCTGCTGTGTCAATACACTTGTTTGAAATTGAAGGATTGTTAAGCAGAAAGTTTTGGACAATTCAATTCAGGGTTCACAAAGTCTATGGTTGATACATTTTTTTGTATTTATAAACAAAGTGTAAAGTCTATTATTAAATGTTTATGTCTGGGGTAAATGAGCCACGATACTGCGGAGTTACACTACCAAATAAATCTAACAAATTTGAACAATACATACATTAAGTTCATTCAACTCTGTAGTAAAAATACTGCATTTGTGAAGGAACATTCAGAGTGAGACCATAGGACATATGGGAAGACAGAAGGACAAAATGATATATATATCTATTGTTATAAAAACATGATATTAGTACTTATACTACAATTTAGCACATTGCAAAACCGCAGAAATTTACTTGCTTGACATGAACGTATCAAAAATCTCCATAAAATTCACTATTTTGAGTAAATGGTGTCAAAATCTGGTAACCTTTACCTTATTATTCAGGTTAAACCATTCTGTACTTTGATTCTCTTCATTATGACACAATACACTGACGTCATCAAGGTCAGTGATCAGGCTGTCATTATGTTTGTCTCTAGTGTCCTGTACAAAATCAATTAATTAGTTTATAGTTAAATAGCAGTATACGAAATGATGTAGTTGTTTGTCTTATAGAGACAGAGGCACCTGAAATAATCGAAAGGGAGAGATTACGTACATTGAAAATGCGCGCTCTAGCCAACAACAAATTATAAAATGTTCCTATTTTGGTCATTCTCAACCCCCCTACCACTGAATCAAACTTGATGCATAATATAAAATACTTTCCACGTAAAAAATGTTGATGTACACTTTTAACGCAATTTGAAAAAAAATTTCGAAGTGCTTTGATTTTGTACCAAAATTTTTTTCAAAGTGCCTTAATTTTGTTCCAATTTTTACAGACTTTGACAAAATTTTTCAAAGTGCGTAATTTTTTCAAAGTGCGCTGCCACAGACCTCCCTTCCTGAAATTATCAATAGCCACAGCTTCTGACGTAATGGCAACCAAAATAGGATTCTAATAGTTCAGAGGTCACGTGAGATGCAATCTTTTATGGAGGTACATGCGTGAAAAATTCCTGAATTTACTAGTATGGACTATCACTGACACACCGTAAATGTACAGTGAATTTGTTACGTGCAAAATGTAAATAATAAGTTAAAAAATAGATATGAGGTGCCTGTCTTCTATTCAGTTCCAATTTTAAAAGGGAGCACAGGATTATCTTAACAATTTTAAAGTCCATGTACTTGTGTATGGAGTACGTCGAACGACTTTCAGAATTGCTCCTAGAATAACTTATATAAGCTATTAAATGCAATCTAAGCCTACTTTTACTTTAATGACTTTCTTAACACCTCACCTCGTTTTCTCCTTCAGTCTTTAAGATGACGTCGCTGACATCCAAATCTGCCATACTGTCGAATGGTGCTCCGTTTTCACGGATAGATAAATTGTTTTCAACCTACATTTCAAAAAGTGCAGAGTTCTTTCATATATGTAATTGTCGCCATCCGTTACATTCAGACCTTAAATACATATATTTAAAGGTACAACTTGATAATCCGAAGTAAAGCGATTATCAAACCCAGCGCAATTTTACATAAACAACTGTTTGTAGGTCGAACAATACTTCATTGAATGACGGTAATTCAAATAAATATTTTCATGTTAAAATTCATTTGGTTGTAAAGTGTATTTTAGCCGTTAGGGTCAGTACAAAGAGGCCAAAGAACACATTATATATATATATATATATATATATATATATATAAAGCACATTTTACAACAACTCTTAAACTAACATAACTGCCCTAAGTGAAGAAATATTAATATAGAAAGCACAAAGAATTTCACTTTTTATAAGGATACCCACTTCCGCCCCAGCCCGGGGTTGAACTCTCGACCAACGGAACCTGTCTCCTTGCAGTACAGGAACAGCGCGCTAGACCGCTCGGCTATCTAGGCAAGTCAAAAAAAACTTGCTTTCGAAATTCTTTGTGCTTTCTATATTAATATTTCTTCACTTAGGGCAGTTATGTTAGTTTAAGAGTTGTTGTAACATGTGCTTTATAAATAAAAAATTAATTTCATTACAACGTGTATTGGTAACGATCCTCTAATAAACTAATGTCCAAATAAATGTATCTCACTTCCATTCTCAATGACCGTGTAGTGTAGGGCAGCGCCGCGAGAATCCCATCGGCATCGAAAGCAAGTTTTTTGACTTGCCTAGATAGCCGAGCGGTCTAGCGCGCTGTTCCTGTACTGCTAGGAGACAGGTTCCGTTGGTCGAGAGTTCTACCCCGGGCTGGGGCGGAAGTGGGTATCCTTATAAAAAGTGAAAATCTTTGTGCTTTCTATATATATATATATATATATATATATATATATATAAACATGAAATGACTCTTGAAAGCCAAATAATCCAATAATAAAACAATCAAATGACAGTTTCAATCAATAGCACTGATCCTATGCAGCTATATACCTTAGTAAACACTACAAATAGTAAATATTTAATAGGTAAAAAAAAAATGCTGGGAATGTTCTTTTCTTTGTAAAAATAGACGTTTGTCAATTTTCAACTATAATGGCAAGATAAGAAAAAAAAAACTCTGTATGATAAATCAATCATTTTTCTTATGAATAAACTTGATATTCTGACCCTTCTGGAAATAAGCTTTTGTGAGATTAAAAAGAAAATCTTATTTCTAGACATCGCCATGCGCGGATCACGAAATTTTTGAAAGAGGACAAGCCATCTTCAGCATAAAAAACAAAAACCAACAATCAATTTGACAAGCTTGAAAAGTGGAGCGTGTTTAATTACCAAATGTCAAACTTCGTTTCGATGAAGAGAGGGAAGGGTTGAGATTGGGGTCAGAGGGATGAAGAAAACCGCATTTTACTCTCAATTACTCTCAAAGTCTTTTGACCCCTTCCCCTATTTAATTATAGCCCCAACAGAGAGGTATTATTGCAGAAGTCTTATACTGCATGTATTTTCCGAAAATACCTTTTCACTTCTTAAAGTCCACTGTATACGGCCATAAAAAATGTGAATTCAAGTACCTTACACCTTTTAAACTTCGATTTCCAAATCCTTTTAACAATTAATCAGCATACAAACACATATGAAGGACCAAGTCATTTACACCATAATGTCTTACCTTATTGTAGACCTGTCGGTCACCGCTATCAGAATGGTTTTGCAGGTTGTATGAAGTCTTCATTTTGTAGCACTCTATTCACATTACAAAAACTAAACAGTGTAATATGCAACTGAGAACTGAGAATGGCCGTGAAAAGTCAAAGACATCAGTGGAAAACAAGACGAGATGTCACATTTGTTTACCTGCCATCAACCATCAAAGTCCAGAGTGGTCACGCTCATTAATTCGTAAACACGGCGCTGTTGTTCCCTATTCTATACTGTCCGATTAATTGATCAGATCTAATAAAATCAGGCATTAATTCCATTAGTCAAAGGTTAAACATCGCTTCGCTATCATAGTGTAGTAGCCTGGTCATATAGTATGTAGCTCAAGATGTCGTTTGTGTCACTTTCTTCCATATCCGTTCTAAGTTCATCAGGATCGATCCAATCATTGCCGACTGACATGCACTTTTGGTTCTGTCTTCTTTACAGCAAATAATTATACTACTTTCAAGCTTTTTCCCCTCCCTTCTTGCTGACTCTTGGAAACGCATCATAACTTCTGAGCTTGTTAAGCCAGATATATAGTTTTTTCCTATTTCGCTTTATCGATTTTTCTTTCGAGATTAGAATCTTCACGAAAAGTACTTATTAAATCGAGAAGAAACACAGGCACGGACAGGTAAATTGTCATTAATCCAATTATTAATGTAATTTAATGGTTGAAAAAGATACAAAAACATTATTTGTTTATCTCAAAATTTAAAAAAAACAACTCTTGATGACTATAATAAAATATGTACCACTGCATCATTTGAGCTGTACTAACAAAATGTTGATGTACAGAGTCAGAAATCAAAGGACAACAGTATGAGAACCTGTTGCTGATATTGTATATATATCTTCATGAAGTCTTGAATGTGATTGTCTCTATTTCATAACATTCGTCTCAAGTTTATAGAGTAATCAAATACCTGTAGATATTTTGCTCAACTGTATAGTCTTTCAGAATTCGTAACAAGAGGTTAATGTCCAACAACGCTCACCCGAGTAGCCTTTGCCCATTTGTTCCGATTTTGTTGTTGGTTTATTTATTTATTTATTTATTTTTTTAATTTCCCTGTTATTCCCCCCAAAACTGTTGACCCCCACATTGTGGTCTAACCATAGCTCAAAAGGGGTTATGCCGTAACAAAATGTGAAACCAAGCTACTTGCTTGGGGATACTTCAATCACAATAGGACAACAATAGCCTTGCTGTCCTGAAAAGTTTTCCCCTGTATTAATGCATTATGTAAAGTTTTATTTAAATAGTCCAACCCTAACACCATGGTCCTTAATTTGAAATTACTGGGTATTAAAAAAAAGAAGCCCGTAACTTTGCAATATATATATATATATATATATATATATATATATATATATATATATATATATATATATATAAATGCTACTTCTAGAAGAAATCCTAGATTTCTCATGTAAAAAAATATTTGAATTCCTTAGCCCTACCCCATCCACAGAGGTCATGATTTGACCATATCCGAATCTGCACGGTAGATGCTTTCATATTAATACCTTTTTTTCCCTGCTCTTCTTGAGAAAAATATATTTCCATGTTAAATTATGATCCCCTACTGTGGTCCATGCCTTAGAGGCAATGATTTGAAAAAAATATGCCTGTACTACCCTAGGATGACCCTGCTGATCTTGAGATTTTTTCTTTATATTTTTAAGCAAAACGTTGATCCCCTATTGTCGCCGAATCCCACGTTCAGGGGGTATGATTTGAATAAAACCCGAGGATGCTTGCATATTAATATGACAGAAATTGAGAAGAAGATTTTAAAGACTTTTTCTCCTTAATGAAATATGAAGATAACGAACAGTATTCAAGCACAAAGTCCATTAAAACAATACAAATCGGGAGAAGAGCAAACACGGACCTCCAAAAACATCAGAGGTGGGGTCACGTGCCACGGAGCATCCCCTGCCAAACGGTCACACCCGCCGTGTGCTCCTTGTCATGATCGGGAAATAACGGAAAAATCCGTCGACAATTTAGTGTGTAAATAATGGCCTAACAATTTGTATGAAAAACGTTAGTCAGCATATGACTTAATGGCCGATTGTATTTGCTGACAAGGTCATTGTATCGACCATAGAACTTACGAAATGATGACTGTTGATATTATTGGTTCATCAACTTGTTTGTCAATAACTTACCTTGTTTTAGAAATTGTTCATACGTAGAGCATGCTCTTGTGTATCGAATCAACTGAGAGATATACACGCCATATGCAGGTCATAAGGGTCTATTGCTGCATAAGTACGGGAAGTTAACGATTGAAAAGTAAAAGTAATCACGTTTTTATCATGAAGATTTGTTGTTAGATTACCATTAATGTCTTTTTCTAGTAAAATATCCAAATATGAAACAGATGTGTCAGACTCTGTGGCATCTTATTTCAAACTGACTGGGTTATATCGTGTCGACATATGAATGGAAATAACTATTGTTAATTGATAATTCGATATATCTAAATGACTGCTTGAAGGCCACAGCAAGAGATTTCTTTTTCTCATGTATCAGATTGTGAATAAATTCTGCTTTATATGAGTACAAAAATAGGTCTGCTAACAACGGGGCGCAATTGGTACCCATGGAAATTCCAACAGATTGATTGTTGGAAGACCTGGTCTCCAAAAACCACATAGATATTGTCAATCAGAAACTCAAGCATCTTCTTAATATCAACTTCAGAGTTCTTGTGTGTACAATCAGAATGTTTCTTAACAAAATATTTTTCAAATGACCAATGACAAGGTAAGTAAATTTACGAGTTCCATTTTTATTGAAAAATCAGTTGTCAATAATGTCAACGAGTCCGGACTTTAATTTATCGTTGGGAATGGTTGTATACAGAGCTGAAAAGTCGTAAGTTTGTATGTTATTGGTTTAGGTAAAATGTTGTAATTTCAAATTTTTCCAAAAAGACTTGGAATTTTTAAGCATCCACATCTGATTTACACCACTTCTCGAATATATTGTTGCACAGTACTCCTGAAGTTTCTCTTTCACTGCTGTTAATATTTAAGTGAGGAGTAGAAAGAGACTTGGCAGAACATTTACTGGAACCCGCTATGTATCTTTGTTTGTAGGACTTTTTATGAAGTTTTGGAAACCAATGTAAATATGGTAATTCAAATTCATTTTGGTTGTTGGGAATATATTAAAAATTATTCAAAACTGACATATTTTTTGAAGAATTTCCTTCTTAGAAAGGGAGCCATGGGTATAAGTTGGATTGCCACTTGTAAAATTAAATCCCAGTTATTCTAAAATACAATAATGAGCCTTACAAACAAAGACAATGTTGTTACCCGCAGTACATACTGATCGTGTGCTCTATTTAATTCTTTTTTTCACTTCTGAATTATTGAACACAGAATGATAGATGGTTTTCATATTGCTCCTCAATCGCTTAATGCGAGATTTTAACATACATCTGATACATCGTGTGGAAGAAAGTTTACAGCATATTCCAGTGTAAAACGTGATCCCTATTGTTCCACCACCCTACCCCTGGGGAGTCATGAATTGAACAAACTCATTAATCAAGCTTTCTCATATTTTTGGAGTTTTTTCTGGTCCAGTGATTCTTGATGAGAAGATTTTTTAAATGCCACCAAATATTTACTATTTCTTTATTATCCCCCTTTGAAAGAGGACATGACCCTCCTTAATCTCTTTCACCTCGGGATGTTTTGTGGCAGGTTTGGTTAGAATTGACCCAGTGGTTCCAGAGAAGTCAAAACTGTGAACAGTTTACAGATAATACATCCCAGAAGCAGGGCCCTATTTGATCAGAAAAGTTCACATGAGCTTTTGGCTCAGGTTAGCCAAAACAAAAAAGATGGAACTAATACGCGTTTGCCAATTATCTCTCAGTGGATGTTATTGACAAAGATGGCAAAGGTGTGATAGACTATCAAATGAGGTTCTATTTTAATGCAGGCTTTGTATTATAATGATATTTCTGTTCTCTGATCAACATAATAGGTCTGTAGGGACAATACTTCAGATACAAACTGTTGTGTACGTATATCACCTGACGCTTGCACGTTTTTCATAATGATCTGTTGTGATGTTATAGAACAACAAAATGGTATCCTTGCTATCGATTTAAAAAAGTTGAAAAGGTCACATACAGCGATTTAAATTTCTATTTCAAATATACCCATTAAAAGTGGAATATTAAGCATTAAAAGATGGACCAGCTTTATATTCAATTGCATTGCTTTCATATCCCATGGTCCTAAGGGGAAAATATCTTAAAATCTGATCTTTGAGAAAATACACAAAGGATTTACAACGAAAAAGGGAAAAATATCAAAGGATTTATAACGAAAAGGGAAAAATATCAAAGGATTTATAACGAAGAGAAAAACAAATCATTAAAACTCATCTTTAAATAGATTAAGAACAAAGAAGAAATAAAAAAAAATCTGTCTTAAAATCCACCAAGGGATTTACAACAAATAGAAAACCAATCTTCTAAATTCTCAAAGGCATCTACAAAAAAGGAAGAAATCTTAAGAAAATCTTTAGATCTCCCAGAGATCTATAAGGAATTTAAGAGGATGTTTTCTTAAAAACATACAATATAGGTATATGGAAATCTGTATTAAAAACTCACCAAAAGATCCACAAAAAAGAGGAAAATTATCTTAAAAACCCACCAAGAGATGCAAAAGAAGGCTGAAATCTATCTCAAAAACCCTTTAAAACTAAATGAAAAGATCTAGAAAATTTTACCCTTAAAAAAGAGATTAAAAGCAAGGAAATTTACCTTAAAAACCATCAATAGATCTGCAACAAAGGGGAAGGAGGAATAGATCTTAAAAGCCAAGAGAAAATCTATCTTTAGTTAAAAACACCATATAGATCTACATCAAACAGGAAATCCATCTTAAACATCCTTTAAGGTTTTTATACACCCCGGTATGTTTCCCCTTTTCACTTGATTAATTTTTCTATTGATATTAAAATAGGAATTAAATAATAAAGAGAGGAAATCATAGACAGCTAAGGAAATATTTTTTATCATCTCTTTTTCTAACAATATATTGATTGTCATA